TCACAGCTCAAGCGACAAAAGCAGCGACTGCAATCTCAGTTTATACATGTTTGAAGTTTGTTGGTTTTTTCATCAGACAGTCTAATGAAGGTCTTGTATTTGGCTTTTGTTCACTCAAACTGGGGCATCAAATTTTTTTGAGTCTTAAATCCCTTCTTTTTTTCTTTTCTTTTGGCTTGGGATATTTATGGGTCTACGACTTTATAAAGTTTATCCCCTGTTTCTCATGTCCAGAAGAATTTGGTAAAATCTGATAAAAAAATGTCTGTAAGTTTTGGAGGTATTCAAATATAATTTCTTCAGAATTTGGCCGAGGATTGTTGACCTAAATTTCTTCAAAGCTTTATCTGAGCGATTGTTCTGTTTTCTTTGTGCATATTTACATTAACAATTGATTCGATTTGAGATTTATCATTCATCATTGTTCCTCGCGATCATGCGGTGAACAAACCATTGGTTCATTCATGCTAGCCAGATGAGTTCCATCGAGTTGTCCTCAGTCATAGAGTTGTCTTTTTTCGATATGTAAGCTTGAAAATGTTGCTTGAAAGGCTTCTAAAACTGCTCGAGCTTTACTTCGCATAAGAAGCTGAAAGTGATTCACTCACCTCGTGACCGTGTCGTCGTCTTGAACAACTGCAGACCCGCGAGGACGGCTACAATGAAATCCTGGCGCGTCAAGAGACCCCACAAAACTTGCGCGAGGACTCTGAGGAGGTAGGCGGCGGCCAGCAGCTTCCCCTGATGGCGGCGTTGGGCGAATAATCTCAGTGGTGCTAATGGCGGATGGCAGAGGATCCACACCAGCAGAGCCGAGGCGAAGAGAGTCATGTAGGCAGTGAACAACCACCAGGGGTCTGCATACGAAGCAGTAAAGGTAAGCAGAGAACGCAGTGGCTGTTCACCGCCTACATGACTCTCTACGCCTTGGCTCTGAGGAAGCCCGATCGTAGTGGCTCAGCTTTGATCCCCTTCTGGCTCCGGAGGCTGGCGGTGGCGGCCTACAGTGAAGATCACCGAGAAGATACCGCTAGGAGCAGCTTATAAATGAGAGCCAGGATGGCGAGGAAAGGAAACCTACCGCCGTTTCGGTTTCGGATCGCTTTCACCTCGTGAAAAGGTCACCGGCTCCCACTCAACTCTCCGCCACGTGGGCGGCCACTGAGTAATGGCTGACCGGCCCTAGAGTCGGCCCCCGTTACGGCTCACTCCGGTGACTTCACTATCAACCTTTCGCAAAATAAAATAAGTTGAGTCCGGATCCAAATTTTTCCAATTCTGTAGGGGATTAATAAAAAATATAGAAATACTTGTTAAAAGCCAGAGTAACTGGGCTTTAACGACAGGCTTAGCCGTTGTAATAAATTATATTTAAATGCGCGCTGCAATAATCAGTCAACCACATTTTGCGCCATAGGAGGCCGGTTCTATGTTAATAATGGGCCTATCAATTTGGGCGTGGCGGCTCTCGGGTGTGTAAGACGTCCGCAAGGGCCAAACCCCGGCCTCTGGGAGCCCAAAGACAGCAAGCAACCCAACCAAGTGGGCCTTTCTTTGGGCCCAACCCATTTGAATTCTTGCCGGCCAATATGAAATTTATAGAGGGAGAGACGATGAATGAGCAGCAAAGAAAATGGGCCTTGGGTTAGCCCAGTGGGTGTCTCTTGAGCTTTGGGCCTTGAAGACCTCCAGGGACTCTGCAAAGGGCATACTCTCTCTTCTCTGACTTTCTTATTCTGGGCCATGTTGGGCTTTTCAGGCTATTCAGGCCCATTTAAATCTTTTGATTATGTCCCACCAGTAATAAATCTAAACAATGTGCATCAATATATATTATATACAAAACACAAATTATAACCGTTTTGAACATAATGTACATAGGAAGGAGTAAACTAGGCCTAAGATTTTGCACACGGCGATTTGTACACAGCTAGACGGATCCTTGAAATGGCTAATCCTGACAGGCCCAAAATCTTTCTTCCAGTCACATGACCATGCCTTAATCTCTCTCTCTCTCTCTCTCTCTCTCTCCCCCTCCCACATTGTTAAAGCAGGTAGATGCGACATGGTGTTTAGCGCCGCGTTCTGTTTGAAAATTATTATCAGCGGTCGGTCTTTCCTGACCCCAGTAAATGTTTCCGAGTATTTTACCGTCCTCAAGGACTACATGGGGTCGATAGTTCCTTCAGCGGTGAGTTGGGATGCAGAATCGTCGTCTCCCTCAACAACTGCAAGCCCGCGGGAGCCGCTGCCCCGAGAATTTGCTTACCCGGGTGGCGTTGGGCGAATCTCGGGGTTGATGATGGATTCGAGAGGGTCGACACCAGTAGAGCTAGGGCGTAGAGAGTGATGTAGCCCGTGAACAGCCTGCGGGGGGCTCCGAGGTGTGGGTCTGACCCCAAAGTCCCTGCAGCGATCAGAAACGTCGTCATGGTGCCGGAATTCAGCTCGAGGTGTTGAGTATCTTTCCCCCCCCCCGGCGGAGGGTCCCCGAGGGAGAGAGAGGGAGGGAGAAAGGGAGAGAGGGAGGGAGGAGAATGAGCACGATGATTACCTTCCATAGGTTCCGCAGCTGTATACCATCACAACAGAATGAGAGAGAGAGAGAGATGAACTGGTAGCGGGGTGGGGAAATTTATCTTGACGGAGGAGGGCCACGTCGAATGATATTCATAGCGGGGAAGCGTGGTGGAGCGTGGAGGGAACCAGCAAAGGAAGCTTCCTTGGTCCGCTAGTCATGCGCCACTGACATTAGGCCCAAAGAATTAAGTCCATGGCCAAGTGGCGGGAGTCGGCGGCGCTCCTTACGATTCATTGAGATGGGGAGAGTAACAGACCACTGCACACGTAGGTTTATCGAAAAAAGAATCTCAATCAATCAAAATACACTCAGAGTCTCAAAGAAAAAACGAGTGGGCAAGTCTCAAGTCAACCGGACGATTAATAAGAAGCTTTCAAGATCATCCTCCGTTTGTTTAATGCGACCAACGGCGAGGGTTGCTTTTCGTACGAAATACTCTGTCAAACCATTGCCCAAATTGGTTGTTGTTCCTGCTCTTGATCGTTCATGGGCACTTCTCTGAGATCCTATTCAATAAATTAGTCCTGAAAAAGGAAGTAAATGGCCAACAAGGTACTGTTCTTCTCGCAAGCATGTTCCTGCTTGAGTTACTATCTGAGGAAGGAAAAGCACTCTTCTTCTCTTAGGTACAGGTAGGGAGCACTGAGGATTCTTCCTCGCCTTCCTTACAAATTCCTTGACCATGACCTTGACCATGGTTCTGTTACAGATGTTACAGATGCTGCACAAGTTAAAAGACTGAAAATTGAGGAACCCTGCTTTTTCCCCTGTTTCAGGACTTGTCTACTGCTCCCGGAATGATTATAAATCAACAAGAGAAAAAGCTATAAACTAGAAAAGAATCCAATGATGACGTGAGATTCAGCCTATTTGTTCAGAAAAATTCACAGTAGACTGACGGATGGTTGTCTTAATCAGGTTAGAAGAGCAGAGTGTTTTTGAATTTTTCCCCTAACCCGAAACTTGTATTATCAGGAATGTTAAGATACTGTCATTGTTATTGTTTTCATATGGAATGTTTTCCTACTATTTATATATATCCATTAGGAATGTAGGCTTTAGAAAAAGCATATTAACAGCGAGATTAGGAAATATGGTATTCAAGAAGCTTATTTAGGATAATAAAAAATGTTTTTCTAAAGGATATGTGCATCAAAGAAATAACTAAAGGATTTAATTGAAAATGTCGTTTACAATAATCTCTTTACATAGTTTATGACGAGGTTTCCTGGGTATTTAAGGCCACCAGAGTACTGTGGTTTGGGCCCTAGTTCAGTGAACGAAGCATGCAAAGAGTGGTCTTTATCTCTTGCCAGGTAACTGTTAAGAAAAATTGCTTTTGGAATGTAGACTATAAAGTTAAAGTTTGGGTCCTTTACCTATGGAACAATTATTCAGAATTTCATGGAAATCCCTGTGTTTCTCAACTTGAATATAAGAGTCCCTGTTGGCCATTTAATTTCTTACATGAAAAATTAGTGTAGCAGTGTGGATTGTGAATATAAACATATTCATTCCAGGGGATTTCTTCAAACCCTTCGTTTGAATATCTTTATTCAATGTATCATCTGCCAGTGAGGAGATTTAGTGATTTATTCTGAAATTGATTCAGTGGCATAATTACTTGTTTGGTGGATCACTTGCTGTGCAGGAGAAAGCATTTGAGCATCCGTAAATATCAGCCCTGGGTGCACACAGGTGAGCAATCAGGGGAATTCAATGCTTAATATTTTGGTTACAGACAAATTTATGCATAAAATAATTTATTCCTGGGGATATATATATATATATATATATATATATATATATATATATATATATATATTGGCCAAAACTGCTGGCGAGATCGTGACACTGCTGCTCTCTTCATTCTCAAGCATGTTTATGGCAGCATTCCTGAAGACCCGAAGAAACAAGGCCGGAAAACGGTGAAGAGATTTCGAAGCAAAGTAGAACAGCAGCGCTTAATGCCACACGCCATGCTAGATCACCATCCAAGGTGATCTTTTCAGCATCACTTTCACCACCTGAGAGATGCAGCCCTCCCTCCTCTCCACTGAAGCAAATTTTCAAAGACGATAACCAAGTAAAGTCAAGACAGCCAATGGGCGAAACTGTATGCTAGGCATCATGTTTTTGACCGCAGGCCCAAAGGCTTATTCTGTCCCAAAGGTCGGATACATATGGGCTCAATAAGCGAATGCTAATAATAACCTCACGACAAGACCCAAATAAATATAATATTAAAAAAATGGGGAACGGGGAGAGAGAGAGACCGAGAGCTTTGGGCCTTACAAGACGGACCGTTTCAAGTCATCCATCTTAGCTCAAGTATGAACTGGGTCAATCCAAATCGAAGTAAAATTTCGGACGCTGGGCTTTTCTGCTCAGCCCACTATTCCCCTTCCCAACCTAGATTATGTTTAAAAATTCTTACAATATTTATTTTTGTGTATTTAAGAATAAATATTATATCAGATTATGTTAATTTATTACGGAGAAGCTTCTGGACTGGTGCTTCTGCGTTGCTTGTAGTCCATGTGCATCACGGTGAATGGGGATTTTATCTCTCTCTCTCCCCACCTCATCACCTCATCTGAAGAAGTAATTGGGAATCAAACTAATGTTCCTTCTGTTTGTTTAAATATATCTAGATCAATTCCTCACACCTCCTTCCTTATTGGATCCACACCCAGATGATCCTTGGGCCATCCTCCGCCGTTGGATGGAAAACTAACGACGAAGAGAGATCACTATCTAGGGGTAAAACGGTAAATAAACACCTCCCCGATTCACTCGAGAGATCATCTACTATAGCTTCAGTTCTAAGAAGCTGAAACTGGTTCACTCAAGCTTGTGGCCGTATCGTCGTCCTGAACAACTGCAACCCCGCGAGGACGGCTACGCGGAAATCCTGCCGCGCGGTGAGGCCCCACAAAACTTGCACGAGGACTCTGAGGACGTAGGCGGCGGCCAGCAGCTTCCCCTGGTGCCGGCGTTGGGCTAATAATCTCGGCGGTGCCGACGACGGATGGCAGAGGATCCACACCAGAAGAGCCAAGGCGTAGAGAGTCATGTACGCGATGAACAGGCACCAGGGGACTGCATCCGAAGTAATTAAGATGAGCAGAGATTTCAGTATGTCGAGTGACTCTGATCCTACTTGCAACGCGACTTCCAGCTCGCCGCCGCTGGCCTCCTGCCCGCCTCCATCGTCGTTGATCGGAAGGGCGGCAATGATGACATCCCCCGCGGCCGCCTCCATCATGAGTCTTCCACGCACCCCTACAAGATGGACGAGGGAATTGGGAAGGAGGAGAAGAAGATGGAAGGCAGTATACAAAGCGGGGGGGAGCACTCTGGTTGGGCGTCTTCTTCCCCAGCGGAGCGTCCCCGAAAGAGAGGGAGGAGGATTACCGTCTACAGGTCCCGCGGACGTTTATCATCTCGACAGAACGAGCGGGAGATGAACAGGTAGCAAGAAGACGACGGTACCCCTCGGAGTTGTGTCCATATATATAGAAGGAATCGGGGGGAGTGAAATCCTTCAAGATTGCCCCTCTTGGTCATGGTGAAAGTGATGTTCATGTCGACGTAGCTCTTGTTGATGGCGGCCACGATGAGCTTGTCGCACTCCGGCTCCATCCACGTCGTCACGAAGGACGCGAGGTTCAGCCGCGGGTTGCCGTCGAGCATCAGCTCGTCGTTGATGATCTGAAACGCCGCCTCCTTGGGGATGGAGTTGTCCGGCATACGGAACCTGCAAAAATCACAGAGGGCACCCACCCATCAGACGGAGAGTCACCATAGGCGGTGGCGGCGGCGCCGGATCTGGTCACGGCGGCCGTCGCCGGCCAGATCGGAGGCGTGGAGATGATCACCTCGGCAGGGAGGTGCGGACGTAGCGCGAGGCGAAGCTGGAGTGCACCGAGACATCGAACTCCGACGCGGTCTTTGAGAGAACCATAATTCCGCAGAGCCGGCGCCGGCAAGGCGGAGGAAGACGAAGGAGAGGGGTGGACATATTATTAATTACGTTATTTTTCAATGTTTTTTCGTTTTTTTTATTTTGACATCTCCATTTATCCCAATTTCCGCCCAAGTAAATTTTCATGTTCGACAACTATTTGTTTCCCTACCGGTCAAACTTTAGCTATCATTTCGTTCGTTGAAACTTCAGCTATGACGACGGTGGAGCGGCGGAGGGGGTGGAGCATAGCACTTCGCCCGCCTTCCCTCCCTCACGTCACTCCCACCGTCATTCTTAGAAGAAAACGCCGTTCTGGGATGGCCCAAGGCCCATTTTACTGCGCACCCTATTCGTTGTCTCTCTGTATCATATTGGGCGGCAGGAATCAAATGGGTTGGGCCCAAAGAAAGGCCCACTTGAGGATAGGGTGGGGGGCTTATTGTCTCTGGGCTCCCAAAGTTCCGGCCTGGGCCTTACAGCCCCCCCTCAGGACCCAAGAGGCGGCCCGAGTCTGGCCAAATAGACAGGCCCATTATTTGGTGTTAATGGGGCTGCCCAAACTATAGAATGCCCATTATTTGTTAACGTGGTCAATGATTATTGCACTAATCATTTAAAGATTATGCACTAAAAGAGCTAAGCAAGTCATTAAAACCCAGTCAGTCGGGGTTTTAACAATAATAATTTTTTTTCTGCATGACCCCCTACATATTGGAAATTTCAGATCCAGCCTCTTCTTATTTTATTTTGGGAAAGACCCCCACACCGCTTGGGCATCACGAGCTCGCAAACGTGGCGGGGAGCTGCGTGGGATCCGCTTACCCCTTATGACGAGGTTAAGGCGACCCGAACCAAACGGGTAGGTTGCCTTTTCCTCCCACACACCCCCCCCTCTCTCCTCTCTCTCTCTCTCTCTCATCTGTTCCTTGCGGCATTTCCTCGACGATCTGCAATGTAGGCGTCACCGGCAACCGCCTCGCCCCGGGGGTGTGTGGGGGGGGGGGGGGTGGTTTTCCGACCTGCCGCCCCCCTTCGGACCTGAAGGTTGAGAGCCACTGCAATCGGCCCTTCCCCCCTCACTGAGATCTTTCTCTGTTTCATCGTTTCTTCAGCAGTGAGCAGGGCAGATTCGTCGTCCTCAACAACTCCAGCCCCGGGGGGGCGGCTCCCTGGAGATGTTGCAGCGCGATGATGGCGCACCATGCCTGGAAAGCTTGGGCGAGGACTCTAAGGTTGTGGACGGCAGCCAACGGCTTCCCCGGGTGGTGCCATTGGGCCAATCTCAGGGCCGACGACGAATTCAGAGAGGATCCGTTCCATCATAGCCGATGCGTGTAGAATCAAGTAGGGCATGATCGGCCAACAGGGGTTTTCGAGTTGTAGGTCGGATCCCAAAGTCCCTGCGGCACTCACAAGCTTCACCATGGTGCGGAACGCAACTGTCAACATGTCGATGTCGCCGCTGCCAAGAAGGTTGAAGATTGGAGCGTGCGACGAGGAGGTTGAAGATTGGATGCAGAAGTCACGACTATTTATACGGTTGGTGGGTAGGTCTCCCCAAAGCTATTTATTTTATTTAATGGAGAGTTCGTTTGGCAAGGCATCTACTGGTGTTAGGCTACGCATCCCACCAACCCTCGGAGTTCGATCATGCCTATGTTCATCTCACAGTGTCATTAGACGGCTGCACATCTTGCCGACCCCCATCGTTTGACTCGGTGAGATGAGCAGTAAGATCTGTGCCCCCCGCCCCCCTCTAATTCTTCCTAACCGCATCACCTAATCTCACCCCCGGTCAGCGCCTCCAATCACAACAGATCCCATCGTATCCACCTTATAGGAAGCTTCCTTTTGGATCACCACCAAGATTCTAGGAAGATTGTATGTATATATTTTTCTGGTTGCTGGATTTTTTGTGATTCACCACTTGTATAAATAGTCGAGACTTGTACATCCGTTCTTCGTCTCTTAGCCAGTCTTGGTTTCTCGTCCATCTTCTTCTCCTCCAACTTGATTCTAATCTATTTTTGTAGGGATGGAGATTTACGATAGACTGTCATGATCAGCAACCTTCCATTCATGGACAGAAGTAAATTCAGGAGGAGACAACATCTGTAGCAGCAACCTTCCATTCATGGTGACAGTCACGTTCCAGCACAACGGCGAAACTTTTGAATGCTGCAACTACGTGGGGGGTCTGACCCACACCTCAGAAGTGCCTAGTGAATGATCATGGCCTATTTGATATTCTCTATGTGTATTGCGGCTGTTGTGGATCTACTTCTAGTTGTTGTGAGCCTCGAGATTGTCAAAACTCAACCCGAGGAAGCTTCTCACTGTCGACTACCTCTTCAGAGATCTCGTGCAAGGTTTCCAGGCGTGGTGCTACGCCATCGTGCTGCAACATCTTCTTGTTAAGGATGACAAACATGTCCTGCTCACTGCTGAAGATTTGATGAAACAAATGAAGATTTCGAGTGATGCAGTAATCAACAAGTGAGTGGCTGATTGTTGTGGGAATAGAATATTGCAATGTACAGAAACTAATGTTCTATCTTTTTTGTTTAAATCTATCTATCTGTATCAGTCTTTTTAATCTCTCTAGCTCCCATCTTCTAATGTCTAAACTCCGATGGATCAGACAAGTGCGCCAGAGAATCATAAATCTCCTTGTTGTTTTATGCCAAGTGGGTATTGGACAGACAAGAGAGCCGTAGGCAAAACTCGACGGCCAGTCAGCCAGTGGGCCGCAAGCAGCAGGCATAACCATAATCTTAGCTATCCATAGCCATCTCTCAGCAGCACCGTCCACACTTGTTGTCCTAGAAGAAAGGCTCTCCAATCTACAGAACATATATGTAATAAGCATACCATTTCATAGAATAATCATAAATTTTTAATCCACCTAATTCAGAACCAACAGACAATAAGTGAGTGGAGTGAGTCGTTATATTTAATTACAAGAATTAAATTTTCAACTATCTACATTGATCTGTCAGGCAACTCGATAAAATCTTATTAGAAGAGCATTGCTAAAACTCAAGAGTAACTCAAGAGTAACCCATCCCAACTCCTCGAGACACGCTTTTTTCCTCCTCTCTCAAACAGCATCCAAGATGATCTTTTCAACAGCAGTTTCACCAATGAGATGTGCAGCCCTCTTCTCCACTGCAGCATTTTTTGAGCGGCCACTCAGTAATGGCCGATCGGCGAGGGAGTCGGCGTCCTCTACGGCTCACTCCGGTGAGTTCACCATCCGACCTTTCGCCAAAATAAAATAAGTTGAGCCCGAATCCCAATTTTCCAATTCTGTAGAGGATTAATTAAAAATACACAAAATATTTGTTAAAAGCCAGAGTAACTGGGTTTTAACGCCGTTTTAATAAATAATATTTAAATGAGTGGTGCAATAATCAGTCAACCACATTTACACCATAGGAGGCCGTTCTATCCTAATAATGGGCTATCTATTTGGGCTTGGAGCCTCTCGGATCCTGAGGGCCACCCGGCCCCCCACGCCCCTCAAAGTGGGCCTTTCATTGGACCCAACCCATTTGATTCTTGCCGGGCGATATGATATATATATAGAGGGAGAGACAATGAACGGGCAGAAGAGAAAATGGACCTTTGGCCAGCCCAGTGGATGGCTCGCTTGAGCTTTGGGCCTTAAGGACCTCCAGGGACTTTGCAAAGGGCATATTCTCTCTTCTCTGACTTTCTTATTCTGGGCCATGTTGGGCTCTTCAAGGAATTTTCCGGCCCATTAAAATCTTTGATTATGCCCCACTAGTAAAAAATTGAAATAATGTGCATGAATATACATATATATATATTATAAAAATCATAAATTATAACCGTTTTAAACTTAGTATATATATATTTATACATAGTCATGGTCTATCATCAATGAAACATTTTATCCATTTCTTTCTATGACACTCATCCTCTTCATGATTTACCTGCAATTTTCCACGTTTCTAGTGAACCTCTTGGAAACATGGTCAGCCTATTAAGCAACAAATAATAATAAACCAAAAAGGTGCTCCAAGTAGTAGATAATAAAAATTATCTAACCATAATAATCTCGGTGATGTCATGTTCATAACAACTTTCAAAATCACATCAATCTAAAGAGTCTTTAATAGGGTGCACGAGAACATCAAGCATCTAAAAAGAGAGATAAGCTAAGAGTAGGACTGGTCAACAAACTACATCTTATTCACTATTTCTAGGAATTGTTTGACAGGAAGAGGACTGTGACCACATAGCCTCTTTGGAAAAGTTACAATCTTGTTCATGAAGACTAGAAACCTCTTGTCATTGCCCTACATAGTGTGCATAAGAATCAACAAGTGATTAGTTGAAGAGATGGAAGAACATGTACAAGTAGAGGTAGAAGCAGACTTGATAGCCTTCCAAGGACAGCCTTCCTTTAGTAAAAAAAAAACAAAGTGTAGGCCAATGACTCAAGATCATCTCTTTTACTCGCTGTGAGGCCTAAATGTACATGGATGCTTGCATATCATGTAGTGCCTCTATAGAAGATGAGAACATGAGATTTTATGAATCCTCTTATTAGCTAAACATATAATAAAAAATAAGAATATTTCTTTCCAAAACACCTGAAACTATGTGGCTGTTGGTATAATCTAACATGCTGATCCAATGAAGTGTCCCTCCACATTGAAGTTGATTAAAAGTTTAATGACGCATATTATCAATTTTAAAGACTGAACAAAGCACAAATATTGTTGAAGTTGGTACAAAGAGGGACTCCTTATCAAGAGCAATGCATTTATATACTTGAAAAAAAAACCCTACTCTAAAATGAATAGCTGTGAGAGGTGAAAAAAAGAAGTGATTGGAGTGACAACATGCCTAGCCAAAAATCGATGAGGAAAGCCTCTTCTCTTTGAGCTTCTATGCTTACCTAATAGTCTCTCTTGCTTAACATCTCTATGTACAAACTTGACATTATTTTGGTTGGAAGGGGGGGAAGGAGTGCACAAGGGAGCAATGAGTTAATTACTATAAGTTTTGTAATAAAATAATTGAAAAAAAACCACACTGCCACAAAGCCATACATACTCTTTTTGGTGTAGCTTCTCAAGGATCAATATTGCCTCCACAACAATACAAGCCACCATATATGGCGGCATCTTATTTAAGGAGTTGATCAAGTCTACTAGCATAATTTTCAATAGAATTTTGATTTTAACTATGGAGTCAAGATTATTTTCTTACACTAGTCTAATGGATATGAACATGTCCAAAAGACTTGGTCCAAGTATGTCCATGACCCGCAAAAATCATCTTCAATAATTTCATAATTTCCTTTCAATAAAAATTTCAATTCAAGTAAACAAAAAGATGAAAATCTCTATCCTTACCAAGATGAAATAATCTCATTGGCAGCCCTTGTAGTGTACCTTAGGCAATCTGTAGCATCTCTTGAGATGGCTAAAATCATATTCACCAAGTTAGATGAAGAACACTTTTAGATCGAGACAAATGTGTAATAAATTACAATAGTAGGGACAACTTGCTATTAGATTATGGCATCGGCTCACTATGGACATGGCCCATTAGGGCCAATTAGGGCCACTATAAACTCTTGTACTCATCTTCCTTTTGGGAGATCTCAATTCCAAGGGTTTATGGGGCTCTTCTCTCCACATGGTATCAGAGCCATAGGGGCTTGATCTGTTGCCCCCGCTCTACCGCTTGCATTAACATTCCTCGCCATCAATCCTTTGCGGCATCTTTGACATTGCCTCTATTCATGGTGACCTCATCAAGGAGCTCTGTCACCATCAAGGCATTTCCCTCTGGGTGCTGATCTCAGGGCATCCAGCCCCTCACCAGTGGCCTTAGCAACCAGTTTCTCTACACTGATGCCTATGCAGCATCTACGCCCACTCTCTCTCATGCACAGCCTGCCTTGCCCCATGCCACATGTCGGCCCTCTCTTGCCCTCCATGCCAGTATGTTTGTACCAGCTCTCTCATATGTTGGCTTGTGATCTTTGAGCCTCATGTGTGTTGGCCTATGTATGCATCTTCTACCTCCTTACGTATTATTTGCTCAAGCTTCTAGTCATCTCGATGAGTCCAATTTCTTCCTTCAATGGCAGATACATTAGGGTCATCCTCCACCTTGCCTCTTGGCTTTATTCTGCCATCTTCAGGCCTTCTAGGAGTGACATATGATGCCTCATTCCCTCCTCGGCATTCTATTATGGCTGCATTGCCCCGCCTGCCTACATCTTTGATGGCGCCAATTATGACTTATGGGCATCTGCATTTGAAGATTTCTTTCATGCTCATCGACTTTTACATCACCTCCAGTCACCTCTATCTAATGTCACATCTCTAGACTATCTTCATTGGGGACATCTTAACTCCACCGTCAGCACCTGACTTTGTCAAAGTGTTGAGCTTTCAATTATTCGTCTTCTCAATCGCCTAAAGCCAACTCGCCTATCATGACAAAATTTCAAGATGATGTATACAAACAAGACCGACATCAATTGCATCATTTGTCTCTATGAATCACTCTTTGCTTGTAAGTATGGCAGTCAATCACTCCAAGAGTATTTCGATGAATTGTAAGATATCGTCACTGAGCTATCTATTTATCAACCTACAGATCTGTCCACCCTCACTCGCTATTATGACAAACTCTACATAGGGGCCTTTCTCAGTAGTCTCCAACACACCTCCTACTCTAGTCACTCTTGTAGCTCTCAACCCCTCTGCACTTATTGCCATAGGTGCTTGTGGAGATCATGGCTCCAAGCCCACTAGGAACGAAAAGGGATCAACTAAGTAGAAGAATTCTTTCCCTCTATGCCCATATTGTGGTAGAAAAAATCCCTTGATTGAGAAATGTTAGGAGTTTGGCAACTAGTATGGGGTCAAGCCACGCTTGTTGGTAGCTTGTCTTCTATGGCTCCTTTGTCTGCATCGTCTACTCTCATAGTCTAGATGACCATAACTCAAGAGTATGCAGAATGGAAGGCCACTCATGCTCTCTCCCATGGCTCCTCTACCAATCTTGCCTCCACTTCCGTGTATGATGCATCCACTTTAGGTACACATGTTTTACTTGTCTCTTGTACTTCTTGACTTATCGACTTAGGGACCTCTACCCATATGATAGGGTCCCCCTCCATTCTCCATTCTCTTACACCCACTGATTCTCTTCCCCCTATCTCCGTTGCTGATGGTTGTCCTAGCCCTATTAAACTAGCATGATCACTCCCACCATCAATGTCACATATAGGATATACTTTATATTTTCAATTTTCTTAAGAATCTTCTATTGATTAGTGCTGTTACTCGTCCAGAACCTGCGTACCGGATAGAAGATTGGTTTTGACTGTGAGAACTCATTTCTCACTCTCCTTCCTATTTCTAGCTTTGTTTTCTTCTTCTATGTAAAATTCATATATTTTATGGCATTGCCATTTGGGACATCCATATTTATTGAAACTTCCAAATTTTATTTCATGACTTACTCTTTTTGAGTTTGTGTGTGAATCATGTCAACTAGACAAATATCACTACTTTACATATCTACCATGAGATTTATACTCACTTCTCGACTGTTTGACTTCATTTATCATGATGTGTAAGGGTTATCTCGAGTTATTTCTTTAATAAGGTTGTAATACTACATTATCTTTATTGATGACTATACTCATGTTATATAGGTATAATGTGATTTAGTCATTGTATAATAAATCACGTAAATTTAAAATTTATAAATTTATAAAAAAATATATATTTTAGATTTTTAAAAATATTTTATAATAAATAAATCAATTATAACTCGATAAAAGGTTCTAAAAATAGTAAAAAAAATTCAAGTCGATCACAAGGATGTAAGATAATATCAAGTAATAGTTCAGAATTTTCTTAAAGTAATATAGTTTTTATAATTTTTAAACTAAATGATGAATATAAAATATTTATAAAAATTTATAAAAAAATAAAATAAGGATGCAGACATTAAGATGACATCAGTGCCGATGAAGGTAAATCGAAAAAAAATAGAGTTCCATTTAGTGATTATTAGATAAGCGATTATAGATGGTTTGAATCTTGAAATCACATAAAATATTATATAAAATAGTTTTTCTGTCGCTCAAGATTGGTTGAAGAAACCCAAGCAAATAAAAGTCATATGGTTCCATCATGATGGAAAGACTAGCAAGAGGTGAAGGTTGGAGAATAGATTATATGCTTCAAGTGAGTCTCTTTTCTTCTATCACCCCAAGAGTGTAACAGTAGTTGACAAGTGACTACTAGCTGCAGTACACTTCAATGCCCTATGGAAGGTGATGGAACACTATTAGAAATAGCCATATCAATAAGACCTCTATTCTTGATGCCCTTAATCCTACACACGATTCTCCTTTTCCAGTGATAATAAAGCTTGTGTGTTTTTGTACATTATCTTAGGCATTTTGAAAATAGGAATAGTAATTTATTCTACAATTGATTCAATGACATAATTACTTGTTTGGTAGATCGCTTGCTGTGTAGGAGAAAACATTTGAGCATCCATACATATCAGCTCTAGGTGCACATACATGAGCAATTAGGGGAATTCAATGTTTTATTTTCCTTAATTATTTTCTTATAGACAAGTTTACGCATAAAATAATTTATTCTTGAGGAAACATGGTTGCAAAAACTACTGGCGGGATCTTGACACCACTCTTTTCATCCTCAAGCATCTTTATCATGACATTCTATTAGGAAATAGTACTTGGAACAGGATCTTAATGGGCTTGGACTAGCCTGTTAATGCATAGGAAATTAGAGAGTACAAGTACAGCAAGTCTTCTAATATATAAATGATAATGAAAATGTAGAATGGACTGTAATAAAGCAGGACTTTGATTACTATGGTCTAAAGAGGATAAACACACCTCGCGACCAGTAAACCAACGGATAAAAGAGTAATGACATGATCTAAGGAATAGAATACAAGAGAGACAGAGTTAATAAAGTAATAATACCAACCACCAGTGGAGGAGAGAGAGGACAAAAGGAGGGAGATGATGTCATAACTTCTGTTGCAGCCACTAGAGAGGATTGGGTTTCCTCTATCTTTTCTCTCTCCCAAGCTCCCTTCAAATATAGGTGATAGAAAAGGGGTTGAACTGTTTTTTGGACAGAAAATAGTCATAAGTGAAAGCCCAGTAAGAAGGGATGTGGCCCACATGGGCCGTGTTGAATGAAGGATGATCAAGTCATCGTTACAAATCTCCACCTTGACTTGGACATTACAATGATCTTCAAAGCTTCATACTGAAAACTCTGTCAGCTTCTCATGACTACAATAGAAGAGAATATAACTGCATATATTCTCTCAAAGATAAAACGAAGAAGACAAGTTAGATCCAAGTGTTGTGAACTCCAATCAGGTTCAAATAATGTTATAACTTTGAAATTGGAAGAGGTTTTATTAGCATATCAGCTAGATTGTCTTCAGTACCAATCTTTTGCACACTAATTTCACTTGAGAAAATTATATCACGGATAAAATAATGTTTGATGTCAATATGCTTTGTCTTTTTGTGATACATCTGATCTTTGGTGAAATGAATAACATTTTAACTATCACAATGGATAATAATTGAAGCTTGACATGAACATAATTCAAATAATAAACCTCTTAACCATATAGCTTTCTTTAATGCCTCTGTAAGTGCCATAAATTTTGTCTCTATTATGGACAGAGCAATAGTAGACTGTAGGGAAGCTTTCCAACTAACAGCACATCCACTAACTGAAAATATATAACTAGTTAGTGACATCTGTTTATCAAGATCTCTTACAAATCTGAATCCATAAATTCAGTTAAGGTATCACTTATTCTCTGAAATTGTAAATATGTATCAATAGTACCCCTCAAGTACCTAAAAATCCACTTAATAACATGTCAATGTGTTTTACTCGGATTAGCCATATAATGGCTAACTACACTGATTGCATGTGATATATCAAGATGAGTACATATCATAGCATACATCATGCTACCTATAGCACTAAAGTATGGAACATGTGATATAAAATTTTCATCTATTAGGGACTATGGTGATAGAAAATTTGAAAGCTTGAAATGAACAGAAAATGGAGTATGAATAGACTTAGCATCTCACATATTAAAACACATAAGTACTTTCTGAATGTATTTAGTTTTGGATAAGTATAGCTTATCTTCACTCCGACTTCTACAAATCTCCATTCTGAGAATTTTCTTAGCTGCTCTTAAATCTTTCAAATCAAACTCACTATTGAGTACAGCTTTTAATTTGTTGATTTTAAATATATCTTTTGGTGCGATCAACATATCCTCGACATAAAGTAGCAGATAAAGAAATGAATCATTTGACAACTTTTTAAAGTAAACACAATTGTCAAATTTACTATGAGAGAATTCATGTTGTGTCATAAATGTATCAACTCTCTTATACCACTATCAGAGAGATTGTTTAAGGCCATATAAAGATTTCTTCAGCAAACAAACATGCTTATTTTTTTCTTCAACAAGAAAGCCTTCAAGTTACTACATATAAATATGCTCTTCAAGATTGCCATGAAGAAAGGTTGTTTTAACATCCATCTATTTTAACTCTAAATTATATAATGTAATAATAGATAATAGAACATGTATAATTGTGCTTAACGATAGGAGAAAAGGTATCATTATAATCAATACCTTTGACCTAACTGTAACCTTTTGCAATTAACCGTACTTCGTATCTAACATCATCAGAGTTTAGAGTGTCTCTTTTCTTCTTGAAAACCTACTTGGAGCTAATGACTTTCTGTCCTTTAGGGGCCTCCACCAACTCCCAAGTCTGATTTTTATAGAGAGATTTAATTTCCTCCTCTATAGTAACTAACCACTTGTCCGCATTCTCACGAGATATAGCATCTGAAAACTTAGAAGGCTCATTCAGATCCAAAGTTTCTTTAGCAATGGTCAATACATAAGTGACTATATCAATATATTCATATCTCAATGCTGGCTTAGTATCTCTCCTTGACCGATCACAAGTAAGAGAGTAATTCTGGTTTTGTAGAGATATCTCCATAGGATGCATGTCAAGCACTAAAATATGTTGTTACTGGGAATACATCTTATGTGAATCAGATATATCTAACTCCACTTGATTTGGAGTATTGTCATTTGAATCTATAATTTTAAGGGTGGACATCCTTTCTCTAGGATGTAGAATTACAACTTCATCAAAAATAACATTCTTCTCAATTAAAAACTTAGGAGATTTAAGATCAAGAAGCCATAACTTATATCCTTTGACTCTGAAGGCATAACTAAGGAAGATACACTTCTTAGCTCTAGGCTTCAACTTGTCATCATTTATATGGACATATGTTAGACAACCAAAGATTTTTAAATTTGAATAATCAAGAGGGTTACCTAACTAGACTTCTTTAGAAGCTTTGAAGTTAATGGTAGAGGCTAGATATCTGTTCACAAGATGACAAGTTGTAGACATTGCTTCTGCTCAAAAGTCTTGACCAAGACCTGTAGATAATAGCATACAATGGGCTCATTCTAGTAGAGTTCTATTCATTCTTTCTACAACTTCATTTTGCTGTGGAGTATAACAAATTGTCTTGTGCCTGACAATACCTTCATTTTTGTAGAAATCATTAAATTCGGTGGAGTAGAACTCTAGATCGTTGTCAGTCCTCAGTCTTTTGATTTTCTTCTCAATTTGTCTTTCGAGCAAAGCCTTCCATTGCTTAAAATGCATAAAAATTTCACATTTATGCTTAAGCATGAATACCTAAACTTTTTGAGAAAAATCATCAATAAATGATATAAAATAATGAGTAACATCTTTTGAAGGGACGCGAGAAGGACCTCAAAGATATGAGTGTATATAATCAAGAGTACCTTTGGTCTTGTGAGTTGTCATTTAGAAGCTAACTCTTTTATATTTACCTAAAATGTAATGCTCACAAAATTCAACCTTGTTAGTACTTTGCCCACAAAGTAAGCCTCTCTTACTTAATAAATTCATTCCTTTCTCACTCATATTCCACAATTTGGTGACATTTTCTTTTATCATTGAGGTAGATGTTGCAGCGACTGAACTAGAAACAATGATCCCTAATAAGATGTAGAGGGTACCACATCTTTATCCTTTCATCACAACAAAGGCTCATTTGTTGACTTTTATGACCTCATTTTCACCTAAATATTTGCAGCCATTAGCTTTAAGAGTGTCCAAAGAAATGAATTTTTTCTTCAAATCAGGAACATGTTTGACATTAGATAATGTTCTTGTGATACCATCAAACATTTTGATATGAATTATGTCAATACCAATAGTCTTACATGAGACATCATTTTCTATTAAGATGTTTCCACCATTGTTCTGCTCATAAGTGGAAAAATACTCTCTATGAGGAGTCATATTGTATAAACAGCCTATATCTAAGATTCAATCATCTTTAAATCTGATGGTATGAATAGAAAGAACAAAATAATGGTTCCATCTTTGGTAACACTAGCCTATGCTGAACTTTAAGCATGATTAAATTCTTTAGAGTCTTTTTGTTGCCTTCTCTTGAGTTTATAATAGTCAGCCTTCACATGTCCTTTCTTGCGACAATAATTACAAAACTTATTTTTGGAGTTTGATTTGAATCTTGACTCACCTCTATTTCCTCCTTGACTTTTCTTCTTAGGTCTATCTCTTGCAATAAGACTTTCAGGTTACTGTCCTTCTGAAATAACAATCATATCTTTGTCAATCAACTCTTTCAAAAACAAAGAAGATTTAACATATTCAATAGATATAATATCTCTACCATATAATAAAGTTTCTCAAAAGTGTCTATATGACGGTGGTAAGGAACATAGCAAAAATATGGCTTGATCTTCCTCTTTTACTCTTTCATCAATATTTTCTAAATCTAGTAAAATAGAATTGAACTCATCAAGGTGAGTTTTGATTGATGTACCTTCTACCATCTTGAGTGAATAGACATTACTTTAGAAATAATTTACTGGTGAGCAATCTGGTCATATATAGTGACTCCAACTTTGACTATAGTGCAGCCATTGTAAATTCATGAATGACCTCAGGCAGAACCTTATTAGACAAACTAAGTTGAATGACAACAAGAGCTTTTTTGTTTAATTCTTGTTTTAATTCCATAGACATAGTGTTTGACATTTTCTCTTTTCCTAATAATGCTTTATGTAGCCCTTGGTCGGTCAAGAGGGCTCTCATCTTGACCTGCCATATTTCAAAATTCATACTTCAGTCAAACTTTTCAATATCAAACTTAGTAGACATCTTGTATCTTTATTTGTGTTGAAAAAAGACTCTAACCAAGCTTTGATCCTAGTTTGTTAGGAAATAGTGTTTAGAACTAAATCTTAATGGGCCTGAACTAGCCTATTAGTGCAGCAAAAACTAAAAAGTACAAATATAATAAGTCTTCTAATATATAAATGATAATAAAAATATAGAATGTACTGTAATAAAGTAGGACTTTGATTACTATGATCTAAAGAGGATAAACACACCTCATGACCAGTAAACCAATAGATAAGAGAGTAATGACAAGGTATGAGGAATAGAATACAGTAAAGACAAAGTTAATGAAGTAGTAATACTAGCCACCAGTGGAAGAGAGAGAGGATAGAAAGAGGGAGATGATGTCGTAACTCTTGTTGCAGCTGCTGAAGAGGATTGGGTTTCTCATGCCCTAGATTTGTCTATTTCCTCTCTTTTTTCTCTCTTCTTGAGCTCCCTTTAAATACAGGTGACAGAAAAAGGGCTAAACTATTTTCTAGACAGAAAACAGTCATAGGTGAAAACCCACTAAGAAGGGACGTGGCCCACATGGGCCTTGCTGAATGAAGGATGACCAAGTCACGCTTACACATTCCTAAAGACCCTGAAGAAATAAGGCCTGACCATAGAGAAGAGAGTTCAAAGCAAAGTAGGCGGGCTGTGGCCACATTCTTTAAGAACAAAGTCATGGATGAAGACATTCCTTTGACCTTTTTCAACGAGGCCATGGTCAAGGAATTTTCAAGGAAGGTGAGGAAGTCAGCGCAAAAACCTGATGATTAGTTGGAATACCTTAACCAACATACCAGTATGGTAAGAGTTTCTTTCCCTATACTATTTTTTAATCAATTCAGGCTGAAAAAAATGAAGAGTACTCTCCATTTTTTTAATCATTCAAATATATTCTGCCTACAATGATAGTATAGGGAAATCCGGTGTACATTTGGCCTAGTTTGGGCTGCAGATTGCACAGCTCTAGACTCCTAACAGCTCCTGATGATTGCATGCATCTGGGTACTGAATCTTCTCACAAACATATACACATATATTCCTGATTGGGTTATTATGTGATGAATTCAAGGATTATTTGATTTGGACAGGGAGGGAGCACTGAGGAATCTCCTTTCTTTTATTTATTTTTGTGTTTTTTTCTCCCTCCTGTGCAGCTTTCTTCATCGATTGCCACTCATTGGCCCTTGTACAGAGAAAGGGGTTTACAAAGAAGAGGCAATCTATCTAGTCTAGTCTAGTCTAGGGTATATCCCCTGTTATGCAAATAAGTATGTGCAGTATAGGTTGTATAATTGTTGCTGTTAGATGGTAATGAGGACCGTGGGCCGACCTTCCCCTAGATGGCACATCTGCCCTTTGCTCACCACTGATGAATCGATGAAACATTATTGTTATTATTTTCAGAAAGCAAAATAAACATTATTTATTTAGCACACATGCAAAAGAAATAAAGACACATATACTCTACATGTGCAAGCCACAAGCCACACATATGACTTATTTATTTACCACAACTCGCTGAGAGGTGTGAGGGTAGCAAAGCTGGGATGGCTGCTCCGAGATGGTTCAGCAGGATGAGGCCACACCATGCTTGGAAAGCCAAAGTGAGGACTCTGAGGAGGTAGGCGGCGGCCAGCAGCTTACCCGAGTGTTGTTGGGCAAAACTCGGGGCGGATTCTGGATTCAACAGGATCCACACGAGCAAAGAGAAGAGAAAGAGAGTGATGTAGGTGACAAACAGCCACACGAGGTGTTGGTCTGACCCCACAGTACCTGCTGCTGCGATCAGAAACATGCCCATGGTGCCGGTGATCAACTGTACTGCTTCCAAGGACAGTTTGAATGCGACTGTCAACTTGCTGCCCTCGCTGCCGCCTCCGTTGTCTTTGATTGGAAGAATGACGCTCGGCTCTATCATCCGAGGGAGGAGGAGGAAGAAGGGAGCAGTAAGCTTGACGGAGCGCAGAGATAGACACATGATAAGTTTTCATTATCATGAGTTAATAATTAGTAAATAATATAGTTTTAGCCTTAACTCGTGATAAATAGACTTATATATGTGTTAAAGTGTGAAAAGTGATTTTAAGTTGATTAATGTGAATTTTTGGGTAATTATGTGATTTTATACAAATTTATATGATTTTTATAGTCTTACTTTTGAGATAAATAAAGAAAAAGAAGTAAAAATAAAAATATTACAAAATGGGGGGACCCGTCGGCCAGCCGGGCCCGCGAGCGGGTCGGAAGTGTAGTTGAGGAGTAGCCACGAGTAGGGGCTCGAGCGATTTGGACCGATAGAGGCACGTGTGCGCCACTCCCCTTCCACGTCACCAGTGGTCAGTCGGCTATGGGGCAAGGAATAGTCGTATACACAAGAGAAGGGACTTGCTTCTAAAATGTAATATTAATATATATTCGCCCGAAACTTTAGCACACAAGTGATGTGGGACTAAACCCGCATCACAACTTCGCCACAAAGGATTCAAAGATTTTAATACCTAAAAGACCTCTTATTTATAATAGAGATATATCATGATGATGCCATTTTATAAGGGCATTAGAGTACTTATGTCAATCTCTCTCATGCAGGTGGGCAACCGGCACGAGTTCAAATCCTCTTAGAGCCTTTTTTTTTTTTAAAACTTATTATCGTGATTTTTTTATAGATCGTCGGTGAAGGAATAAGCAACCAAAATTACTAGATCATCGACGAAAATCTTGTCAACACGATTTGCGGAGCATTGTTACTAAAATTACTAAACGATCCACGATAAAAGGATCGCGAATCCATCGAGTAAAGGATCTCTGATTGATTGACGAACAAGCCGTCGTCAGGAAGAGGATGATCCGGCGGGAGATGAGTCGCTACCTCTTGAGAGAGTACCAGATGCGATGAAGAGCCTTCTCTTGCTATGTGGACCTAAGGATGAAGCTCCATAACACGTACCTCACCTCCATTCAGTTCCTCTTCGTCGGGTGACAGCCGCCGAAGAGCTGCAAAGTCACCGTTTTTCTGCTCCACCGGGTAACAGTTGTCGGAGATGATTTAATGACCTACTTCATTGATCTCTAGACTTCGCAAGGAGATCTAGAGATTGCCCACGTCGTCCTTGTCCAAGGAGAGCCTTCAAGGCTATGGACACTACATGACGATCCTCCCGAATGCTTAGAATTCTGGTGCATCGTCGACGCATCACTGCCGCGATGCCAAAACTCTAGTTTTCTACTTTCAACTTAATTTTCATTTTATTTAGTGATAATTTGTTTATTTTAAATTTACCAAGATATACTTCATTTTATTATAATTCTTTCGGCTTTTACAGATCTTAATTTGATCAATTAAATCGTCTATAATCGTTTATGTAAGAATCGCTAGGTGAAACTCTATTTCTACTAGATTTGCATTCACTAGGCGTTGATGTTATCTTGACATCCACACCCTTATTTTCCTTTTTTGTAAATTTTAAATATATTTCCTTTTTATTTTCTGGTATAAATTTATATAAAAGAGTATTCTTTAAAAAAAATTCTGAATAATTACCAGAATTATATTACATCCTTGTGATAGACTTAGAAAATTACTGCTATTTTTAGAAGTTTTATTGAATTATAATTGATATATTTGTTTAGAAATATTTCTAAATATCTAAAAATTCATATTTTCTAGTTTTATAAATTTTAAATTTACGTGATTTACTATACAACGACTAAGTCACGTCAACGCACAACCAATATATTTCAACCATCATTTTTGATTGCCGGATTCGGATTAAGTCGTTTTCTAAGTCGTCCACCATTGGATAGAAATCTAATGAGCTGAGAGAAGTCTCCACCGAAATTCGTAAGAGAAGAGTCCATCGAACTCTCGTCCGGACTCTCATCCGGACTCCACCGAAGTTTTGTGGGGTCACATCGCGCGGCAGGATTTCAACGTAGCCGTCATCGCAGGGCTGCAATTGTTCAAGACGACGACACGGCTACAACCCTAGTGAACCACTTTCGGGGGACGAGAGTCCGGACGAAAGGGAGAGGGGACGAAAGGGAGAGTGAACTGGGTGGCGGCCCCACCCGGCGGATGAATATAGCGACAATCCCGGCGGCCCCACCCCTCCCCCCGATTTCATCTATATACATGGACGCAACTCCGCATTGCATACTGCCTCCCTCCCTCCCTCTCCTTCGGGGGACGTTCCGCCGGGGAAGAAGACGCCCAACCAGAGTGCTCCCCCCCGCTTTGCATACTGCCTTCCATCTTCTTCTCCTCCTTCCCAATTCCCTCGTCCATCTTGTAAGGGTGCGTGGAAGACTCATGATGGAGGCGGCCGCGGCCGCGGGGGATGTCATCATTGCCGCCCTTCCGATCAACGACGATGGAGGCGGGCAGGAGGCCAGCGGCGGCGAGCTGGAAGTCGCCTTGCAAGTAGGATCAGAGTCACTCGACATACTGAAATCTCTTCTCATCTTAATTACTTCGGATGCAGTCCCCTGGTGCCTGTTCATCGCGTACATGACTCTCTACGCCTTGGCTCTTCTGGTGTGGATCCTCTGCCATCCGTCGTTGGCACCGTCGAGTTTATTAGCCCAACGCCGCCACCAGGGGAAGCTGCTGGCCGCCGCCTACGTCCTCAGAGTCCTCGTGCAAGTTTTTTGGGGCCTCACCGCGCGGCAGGATTTCAGCGTAGCCGTCCTCGCGGGGTTGCAGTTGTTCAGGACGACGATACGGCCACAAGCTTGAGTGAACCAGTTTCAGCTTCTTAGAACCGAAGCTATAGTAGATGATCTCTCCAGTGAATCGGGGAGGTGTTTATTTACCGTTATACCCCTAAAGGGTGATCTCTCTTCGTCATTAGATTTCCATCCAACGGCGGACGATGGCCCCAGGATCGTCTGGGTGAGGATCCGATAAGGAAGGAGGAGGTGGGAGGAACTGATCTCGATATATTTAAACAAACAGATGGAACATTAGTTTTTGTACGTTCTCTCTGATTCCCAATTCCCAATTACCAATTCCTTCTTCAGACGAGGTAGAGAGAGAGAGAGAGAGATAAAATCCTCCTCCACCGTGATGCACATGAACCACAAGCAGCGCAGAAGCATCAGTCCAGAAACTTCTCCGTAATAAATTGACATAATCTGAAATAATGTTTATTCTTAAATACATAAAAATAAATATTGTAAGAATTCTCAGTCGTAATCTACGTTGGGATGGAGAATAGTGGGCAGACCAGATAAGCCTAGAGCCCGAGTTTTTTACTTCGATTTGGATCAGCCCAGTCCATACTTGGGCTAAGATGGATGAATTGAAACCGTGCGTCCTGTAAGGCCCAAAACCCCTCTCTCTCTCTCTCTCTCTCTCTCTCTCTCTCTCGCTTTCTCTCTCCCCACTCTCCACTTTCTTAAAATAGTATTTATTTAGGTCTTGTCGTGAGGTTATTATGTGTTCACCTATTGAGCCCATATGTGTCCGAGTTTGGGCTTGAAAATCGAGCACATTGAGAATACAGTCTTACCTTTGGCACAAATTTTATTTGGGACATAATAAGCCTCATTGGGCCTACATTCAAAGAGCCCAATATAAAGCCTATCACCATGACGCATAGCATACGAAGTACCAAAGTATCTTCATTCATTGACTTAAAATTCTTGTCTTTATTATTGACATTTCAGTTTCTGTCTTGACTTTATTTACTCATCCTCTTTGAAAAAAATATTCCAAGTAAATAAATAAGTCAGCTACGTGGCTTGTGGCCTGCCTATGTAAAGTTTGTGTGTTTTTATTTCATGTGAAAATAATGTTTTCTTTGCTTTCTGAAAATAATAATAATAAATACTATTTGAAGAAAGTGGGGAGTAGGGAGAGATAGAGAGAAATAGAGAGAGAGAGAGAGAGAGAGAGAGGAATTTTGGGCCTTATAGGATGGACTCGAGTTTTGTCCATTTTTGCCTATTTATTTAATAATAAATAGGAGTTTTGCCTATTTTTTCTTTCTAATAATAATAATAATGCTTTACTTGGTGACTTGAGCTGACACTGTGATCGTTCTCTCCATTTCATTGGTTCATCTAGGGTGGGCAAAGGGCATATTTTCAATTCCCAATGCTCGATTCCTTCTTTTGATGAGGTAGAGAGATATGAAATCCCCCTTCACAGTGACTCACATAAAGCACGAGCAACGAGGAAGTATAAGTCCATAAGCTTCTCCGTAATAAATTGCCTCAATTTAAATTAATATTTATAGTTACATAAAATATATACATATATTATAAGAATTCTTAAACATAATCTAGTTTTTTTTTTAAATTGTGAAAAAAAATGTGTATAATTTATGTCAAACCCCAAAGAGAAATGTAATTATAGATCTATACTTGATGACAAAATATAAAAGAGGAGCGACTGATACGTAAGTATGAATATATATATATATAGATATGTGTAGAGACTAGGTCTTTTTCTAATTTTATGATAGGTTAAATTAAAAAAAGACACCAAGAAGTTAACTACCTATTGTTTATAAATATGGGGTCATGATCCTTAAGTCACACATCGTGAGTCACGCTTAGAGCATCCCATCTCTCTAGAGCAAGTCATTAGATGACTCTCTTGTGTCAGTCCAAAAGGTCATCCTCATATTTGTACCTTCATAGATTCAAGTATGATTTTAATCCATTCTCATTATGCTTTATCATTCTCTATCTATCTCAACATTAGATCCTAATGTGTTGAATTTTTAGAAAATGACATCTTGTTCATAATTTTACGTTCATCTTAGTATCATTTTTGATACCTTATTTTGAGAATGGATTCAGACAACCACTATGAAAATTGTAAGGTTTTGACCTTACCTTGGACGGATTAATGGGCCGTACAAGCCGTGCAGATTGGTCTGTCGACTCTTCTTCTTTTCCTGTAGATAAGGAGGAGCACTGGTTTCTGCACACCTCTCTTCCCCTCCTTTCCTCAAGGAAGATTTCCATTTAGAAATCGAGGACTGCATGAGGGGCCCAGCCATCCCTCTTTTCCCTTTACGTTGTCGGATGGAAGGCAAGAGAACGGTGGATGGCGCTTCCAGATGTTTGGATGCCGGAGGGCTTCGGAAGTAAAGAATAGGCGCAGGCCGACGCCGGAGGTTTCCGAAAGGATGTGCCGGAGGCAGAGGACTGCGGCGCCTTCCGCACGTCCCTAATCCCTTTGGTTCTTCCTCTTCCTCTCGTCGAAGGATGGTTTCTGGGCCTTCCCGAAATCGGTGCGGGGATGGGGGGGACGTGGAGGGGAGGGAAAACCACTGCGGCTCCGTTTTTTGAATGGGAGGCCATTTTGGGCTGATCATTTCAAGCCCAAAGGCATCGGAACGACCCGGTATTCCGCTTCCCCTTTGGACCGAGCCCCACGTGGCTCGACAGGATTCTCTCTTCATGTGACGGTTCGTGTGTCGCTCCGCCGCATGAAATGGCCGCACCATTTTTGGTGCATGCTGGACGGGAGAGGAACCGTCACGTGGGGTTTGAGGTGCCGGCCGCCAGTTCGTCGTGTGAAATGGCCCACCATTTTTGGTGCGTGCCGGACAAGAGAGGAACCATCACACGACGGTTTTGTACACCGCGCGTGCCAGTTTTTTTGGATATGCGACTCGGCTCGTATCGGTTCGAGTACATGGCTCGGCTCACACCAGTTCGAGTGATCAGCTTAGTGCGACCCGGACAGCCAGAACGGTGCGCTACGCTGGTCAGGTTAGATGGCGTGCCGACTCGACATAAGCCGATCTAGTTAGTCGACGTGCCGGTCTACAGTGATAATGTCATGATGATGATGCCAACATTTGGTCTACTTATGTCATGATCATAAAATTATTTATTTCGGATGTCATTTTATTTCTAAAATATGATTGATTGATTTTATTTTGAGAAATTCTTTATGAAGTTATTTGAAATTTTTAATGTTTATACTTATATTGAGTATGGTTAAATGTTAAATAACTGTCATAATTCAAATTTTGATACATATTCGATATTTTAGAATTATTACTTAAAGCCATATCTTATCAAAGTAAGCTCTCTTGTGGATATTAATTTTTCTAACATATAAGATGTTGTGTATGTGATTTTGTGGATACTAATTGGCCCAAAGAAATGTTTAATATTTTATAAATTACATACATTTGTGATAATAAATATGTGACAATTATTTGGTATTTTTATGTGAATAATAAGTCAGTCCAAAGAAAAGTTTATCATTTTGTCACACTAAAATATTACTTCTAATTAATATTATTGTCCAAAGGCAAAGTATTAATGTTGTACTCAATACCTTGTGATGAGAAGTACCATTATTTGAAAATTAAGTTACTTATGTGAGCTTTATATTATTATTTATATAATTTCAAGTTCTATTTTTATTATTTCTGCTTAGATAAACTCTATTCTTATGTTAAATGACACCAACTTCAAGACTTGGAAAGAGAATATTATGATAGTTCTTGATTGCATGGATCTAGATATTACATCAAGAGAAGATCGTCTTATCTCTCTTATGAGGATAAGAGAGATACTGATAAGTGAGATTGATCAAATCGCATGAGTCTTATGATCATGAAGTGTGACATTTTTGAAGCCTTCAAGGGCACTTTGTTTGAAGAGCCCACTACAGTAAAAAAAATTCTTAAAGAACTTGAGAAAAAAATTGTTGAGAATGGCAAGGTTGAAACAAGTATAAAGACAAGGAAAATATAAGAGAGTATATTCTCAAGATGTCTCATTTTGTATGAAAATTAAAGACACTTAAGTTAGAGTTATCAGAAGATTTGTTCGTGCACTTAGTTTTGATTTCTCTTCCTACACAATTTAGTCAATTTAAGGTGAGTTATAATTGTCAAAGGGAGAAATAGTCCCTAAATAAGCTCATATCACTTTGCGTGCAAGAATAAGAAAGGTTGAAGTAAGATAGACATGAGAGTGCTCATTTAGCCATGACCTCTAGAAATAAAATCAAGAAAAGACTTACGATCAATGAAGTTGTAGGTGAACCACCACTAAAGAAATAGTAAATGTAGCAAGATAAAGAATCTAATGTTTCTTTTGTAAACATGGTGGCCACATGAAGAAGGATTGTACCAAGTATCATACTTGACGTACAAAGAAATGTGACATTCTTGATTGGATTTATTTAGAAGTTAATCTAACTTCTATACCCTTCTGGTGCTACTATTCATATATGTGTATCTATGCAAGATTGACTCCATTGTCATTAGTCAATTGATAATGAAAGATATATCTATTCATGTAGTGGTAATGTAGTAGTGGTGGAAGTAATAAAAACTTTTAGGTTATTGTTAAAGATTGGTCAGTATTTGGATTTGATTGAAACTTATGTTGTATTGTCTTTTAGATAGAGCTTAATTTTTGTTTCTAATTTAGATAAATTTAGTTATGGTTGTCTATTTATAAATAAAAAAAATATTCTCTTTGATAATTTAAATTATATTAGTACTAATACTTTATCAAGTCATGATAACCTTTACTTACTTGACATAATAGTCCATTCTAATGAAATCCTACATATCTATTTGAGATGTACAAAAAGAAAATTAATCAATAAGAATTATGCTTCATTATGACACAAGATTAGGTCATATCTCTACAAAGAGAATTGATTGACTCATTATCTAATAGAATTTTGATTATAAGGATTTTGACACATGTTGAATGTATCAATGAGAAAAGAACAAACATAAAGAAATATGTGTTAATTGAATTTCAGATATCTTAGAATTAATACATACAAATATTTGTGAACTTTCTTATGGTCTCTTAGAACTGTCAATAATATTTTATTACATTCATACACGACTATTCTCGATTTGGCTACTTGTATTTTATTCATGAGAAGTTTCATTCATTAAATATGTTTATAAAATATAAGACTGAAGTTGAGAATCAATTTAACAAATGGATTAAGGTCATTAGATCAGATCGTGGTAGTGAATACTATGATAGATATGATGGATCAAGCAAACAACATCTAAGACCTTTCGCTCAGTTCTTAGAGGAGTGTGGCATCGTCCCATAGTATATCATGTCAGGATCTTCTAGCATGAATGGTATTATTAAATGACAAAACAGAACACTTAAAGATATGGTAAGGAGTATGATCAGTCAATCTACTTTGTAAGATAACCTCTAGGGAGAAGCGTTAAAAACTACAGCTTATTTATTTAACCGGATTCTAACTAAGGCAACTATTAAAACTTCTTATGAACTTTGAATGGGTAATAAATCTAGTTTGAAGTATTTGCACATTTAAGGTTCTTCAATAAAGGCAAGACCTTACAAACCTAATGAAATAAAATTTAACTCTAAAATAATTAGTTGCTACTTTGTTAGATACTCAGAAAAGTCTAAAGAATATAAGTTTTATAATTCCACTACTAAGATTATTTTTGAGACAAAAAGTACTTATTTCTTTGAGGATGTTGAATTTACAAGGAGAGAGAAAATTAGAGACATTGATTTTGAAGAAAAATATGTAAATATTCCTTCTATTGCTATTGACAATAACCTTGATGACATTATCTTAATTAAAATCAATCAAGAAGTAACTTGAGATCAAAATAATGTCATCATGCCTCTTATTTTAAAAGAATAAACTCAACATACTCAAGAACTAGTGTTATTAAGAAGATCACTAGAGAGAGGAGGAATACAATTTCTTTTAGAACATGAGATTGACATCGAAGTAATGGAAAATGATCATATCAATTTTCATCAAGTCATATAAAGTTCTGATTCTTTTAAGTGAATTGATGCCATGAATAAAAAGATTAAATCTATGAAGGAAATGACATATAAGATCTTGTCTCATTACTCGATAGTGCAAAGTTTATTGGTTGTAAATGAATATTTAAAACCAAAAGAGATTCGAAGGTAATATGAAAAGATATAAATCTCGTCTTCCTACTAAGAGATTCATTTAAAGATAAGGCATCGATTATACAAAGATTTTCTCTCCAATTTCATTGAAAGACTCTTTTACAATAATAATGGCACTAATAGTTCATTTTAATCTTAACTACATCAAATGAATGTAAATATTGCGTTTCTCAATAGTGACATTGATGAAACGATATATATGGTGAAACTAGAAAAGTTTGTGTTTAAGGACCTAAAAAAATGATACACAAATTTAAAAAGTCCAAATAAACTTTTCGTCAATAGTATCAGAAATTTCATCAAGTTATCATCTCATCTAGTTTTGAGATGAGTATGAGTGACGAATGTGTATATTATGAGTTTAGCAAGAGTAAATATATATTTTTGATTTTATATATCAATGACATATTAATTGTCAGTAATGATATAGGTTTACTTTATGACACAAAAAACTTTTATCAAAGAATTTTTAAATAAAATATTTTGGTAAAACCTCTCTTGTATTAGGCATTGAGATATATCAAAATCAACCTTGAAATATCTTGAAGTTTTCACAAAAAAACTATTTTGAGAAAGTCCTTGTGACATTTGGTATGCAAAGATGTAAATCTTATGATACCTCTATTGCTTAAGGAGATAAGTTTAATCTCAATTAGTGTCATAAGAATAATTATGAGGTTAAAGAGATGCAGATTTCTTATGCATTAGCCATAAAGAGCCTTATGTATGCTCAACTATGTACGTGTCTAGATATTACATACGTAATTGGAGTACTGGGTAAATATTTAAGCAACCTTGATGTGGATTATTACAAAGTAACCAAACAGATTATGCGATATTTATAAAAATATATGCTCACATATAGGAAATTAGATCATTTGGAGATCATGGGGTACTCATTCTAATTTTGTTGGATGGATTAATAGCAAATGATTCCACTACAGGCTATGTCTATTTGCTAGCTAGAGGATTTACATCATGGAGAAGTGCTAAACAAACACTCATAACTTGTTTTAATATAATAGTAGAGTTTATAGCATGCTACAAGATATCTAATTATGGAATTTGGCTAAAGATTTTTGTCATACGATTGTAAATTATGAATATAATTGAAAGATCACTAAAGTTATTTTGTGACAATAAATCAGCCATTATATTTTTCAATAACAATAGAAGCTTGATGAAGTCTAAACATATAGACATCAAGTTCTTAATTATTAAGGAAAGAGTTCAAAGTGGCCAGATGTCTATAGAGTATATTGAGACAAACTCTGTAGTAGCATATCCACTTACTAAAGGACTATCACTAAAGGTTTTTCACAAACATATTACTCATATAAGTGTAATACCTCGTGAGGATATGTAATTTTAGTAGAAGTCTATATTTTGATGCTCATATATTTATAGACATATTCTTTAATTATTTCATGCATAAATAACTTTTATGATTATTCCCACTTTGAATGTGATTGTTTGATCTCCCTTCAGAATAAGAAGGATTAAGTTGAAAATATACATGTATGAGTCACATTCATGTAATTGTCATACTACTCATTCATACTTGATCTATATCATTCATTATATTGATATAGGTGATAATTGTTGAGTTCAATCATGCGAAAAATGTGAATGAAAACCCCTTTAATTCTAGATTAGTATAATGATTGACGAAATTGTTAAAAATGTCATTCACAATGATAACAAAAATTTTGAGTTCATAACATCATAATGTACAATATCAAATTATATATATATTTTGTCCAAGTGAAAGATTACTAGAATTAATCTTAATACAAATAATGATATATATAAATTATATATATTGGGGTTATCATTAAATTAATCATACTTAAAGTAATTCATTAGAGTTTAAGTATTTAAGATTATGACCTCTCTCATTAGTATAGACATAAACATAAATGTGTAAAGACTAGGTCTTATTTTAATTTTATGATGAGTTAAATTGAAAAAAGACACCAAGAGGCTAACCACCTCTTGTCTATAAATAAGGGGTCATGGTCCTTAGGTCACACATCCATAGTCACTCTAAAACATTCTATTTCTTTAGAACAGTCATTAGACTACACCCCTGTGCTGATCTAAAACGCCATCCTCATACTTGTGACTTCATGGATTCAAGTATAGTTTTAATCTATTCTCATTATGCTTTATCATTCTCTATCTATTTCAACACTAGATCTTTCAGATCCAATAGTGGCCTCATCTCACTAAAGCGTCTCAGAGCAGGCATCCTAATGATGCTACAATTGTCGAGGGCTGCTCCTTAACTTCTGAAGGACTAAAGAAATAGAGAGAGATGGAGAATTTTGGAGCTAGAAATCACTATGATCAAGCAATTTGCACCTCTCTGCGAGTTGTGCTAAATAAATAAATCGTCTATGTGGCTTGTGGCTTGCATATGTAGAGTATATGAGTCTTTATTTCCTGTGAAAACAATAACAATAATTTTTTACTTGGGGACTCAAGCCGGTAGTTCTCTCCATTTCATCAGTTCGTCAGTGGTGAGCAAAGGGCAGATGGGCCATTCAAGGGAAGGTCGGCCCACAATTATGCAGCCCATACTGCACATATTTGCAAAATAGGGAATATACACTGGACTAGACTAGACTAGATAGATTGCCTCTTCTCTGTACAAGGGCCAATGAGTGACAATTGGTGAAGAAAGCTGCACAAGAGGGAGAAAAAAACACAAAAATAAATAAAAGAAAGGAGATTCCTCAGTGCTCCCTCCCTGTCCAAATCAAATAATTCTTGAATTCATCACATAATAACCCAATCAGGAATATGTGTATATGTTTGTGAGAAGATTCAGTACCCAGATGCATGCGACCATCACGCAGGTTGTCGGGTGAACTGCTGGACCATCCAGAGCCGTCAGGAGTCTAGAGCTGTGCAATCTGCAGCCCGAACCAGGCCAAATGTACACCGGATTTCCCTGTACTATCATTGTAGGCAGAATATATTTGAATGATTAAAAAAATGGAGAGTACTCTTCATTTTTTTCAGCCTGAATTGATTAAAAAATAGTATAGGGAAAGAAACTCTTACCATACTGGTATGTTGGTTAAGGTATTCCGACTAATCATCAGGTTTTTGCGCTGACTTCCTCGCCTTCCTTGAAAATTCCTTGACCATGGCCTCGTTGGAAAAGGTCAAAGGAATGTCCTCATCCATGACCTCGTTCTTAAAGAACGTGGCCACAGCCTGCCTACCTTGCTTCGAACTTTCTTCTCTACGGTCTGTTGCTTCAGGGTCTTCAGGAATGTCGCGATAAAGATGCTTGAGGATGAAAAGAGCGGTGTCAAGATCCCGCCAGTAGTTTCTGCAACCATGTTTCCTCAGGAATAAATTATTTTATGCGTAAACTAGTCTATAACCAAATAATTAAGAAAATGAAACATTGAATTCCCCTAATTGCTCACGTATGTGCACCCAGAGCTGATATGTACGGATGCTCAAATGTTTTCTCCTGCACAGCAAGCGATCCACCAAACAAGTAATTATGTCATTGAATCAATTGCGAAATAAATTACTAAATTTCCTCACTGGCAGATGATACATACAACAAAGATATTCAAAAGAAATCCCTTGGATTTTATGCACCAAACTAAGAGCCGGACAGACAGTTCTTTCCTTTGGGCTTCGATCAATATTTTTAAAGAATTAATTATCACCAATGTTCATATCTGCCTTTAAAGAGACGCCTGAATAAATACAGGAGCTTGCTTCTACATGGGAAAAAGAATAAATTAAAAAGGGACAGGGAAATGAGACACGCTGATACTATTAGACGTTGGAATACGGAAAAGAAAAATCAGGTAAAGATAATCACAACTTTAAGACATTCTTATCATCAATCAATGGTTTACCATGATGGGATCCTTGCTAAATGAGACAATCTAGTTTCCCATTACTTTTCTGGGCCCTTTTTTTATCAGAAAGACCTGATAGGGTACAGGGAAGGGATCTGATCGTCGGCAGAAGAAAATTGAGCTCAAATGAGAATGATAGATGTATCTCCTGAAACAATGAAGTAAGGTAAATTTTTTGTGGTTGTCTCCGGGATACTCCAGAAACCCACAACATCCCTGTTTTCAAAACGCCTAAATAATGCAGAAAAAGACACAAGCTTTATTATCACTGGAAAGGGAGAAAAGTGTGTAGGTAGGATTAAGTGCATCAGGAGTAAAGGTCTTATTGATATGGCTGTTTCTAGTAGTGCTCCATCACCTTCCATAGGGCATTGAAGTGTACTGCAGCTAGTAGTCCCTTGTCAACTACCATTACACTCGTGGGGTGATAGAAGAAAAGAGACTCACTTGAAGCATATGATCTATTCTCCCACCTTCACCTCTCGCTAGTCTTTCCATCATGATGGAACCATACGACCTTTCATTTGCTTGGGTTTCTTCAACCAATCCTGAGCGATAGAAAAAATACTTTCTGTAATGGTCCATAAGAAATATAGCTATAGAACAAACCGAGGGAGACGAGAACTTGCATACCTTCATTGCTATCCTTGTTTCCTGATCGGAAAATAGTGGCCATTTTCACCTGAACAAACACATTGACAATTAATTCTTTCTTGCTTGGCTTTTGGAAAGGAAGATGGATGGAATACTTCTCTAAATTTAATTTTTCGTTCTGATATTCCTGAAATATTCTGAATATTTATTGAATATTTAAACTTTAGTCAAATTTAGCTAAAAGAAGCAGACCAAAAAAATGAAACTCAAACGGATTCATCCACGATTGAAAGCATACTTAGAGATCTTCTCTGATTCCGCAGAGATGCAACTTGTCACGTTCACAAAAATATTCTAAGCTTAGTAACAAGATTTTTCCCTTGCTTGTTCATTCCCAATTTGGCATTACTGAAACTCTTTCCATGGGGTGCTTTCAAACTCAAACATCATATGAACAGGGAACATATTTCTCAAATGTTATACTCAGGTGGGTGCTCAAACGGTTTCATAAATGTTCGTTAAAGATGCAGCAAAAACGTAATGAGTTGCTTATTCAATCATCAAGATAGGAATATTAACGCTGTCACGAATACACAACCATGAACGTTTCAACTACAAATTAGCATACCTTCACTGAGTTCAACTGACTGACAACAGCTTGAGAGCGTACTGATATATCTTCAGCGAATTCCTATAACATGTGATGGTGAGAAGGATACTAGGGGAACCAGAAACAGCAACAAAGGCATGAGAAATTTCTTTAAGAAATTCTGGAACCTGAAACCCAATATGCAACCGTTTCCCACCCCTGTGGTAGGGTATGAGAACTGGGCGTTTGTCAATGTACTCTTTGCAGATGAGTGGCTCCAGCCTGTGTGAAATTATGTTCATAAATTAATATCACACTTTTCTTCAAAATATCAATCAACACATCGGATCATGCTGAAGATAAGATATTTAGGCATTCACCTTTGTAATCTGCAAAACAGATGAAAAAAAGTATACCAAGCTATGGAATGAGAACAGGACAAACCTATATGCAACGGGATCGTAAGGATGGAAAATATTCAGCATCTGCTCACAGGAGGGCATCCCTTCAGAGATCTTCTCATCATGCCAATACTCTTTCCCTCTGCCTATAAAGAAGGTACGATTATTTCAGAAAGTTCAATTAGGCTTAATAAGGACCCAAAATATGTAATAAGGATTATCTCAAATTTTAAGTGCCTTATTGGACGTTAAAATCACACGTTAAGAGATGAGTGGGATATGCATCGATCCCACATACTCTTGAGGCTAATTTCGAAGGTCAGAGGACTTGACGTTAATGGATGGGAGCCATTTGTTCGTCATTGTTCAGAAGTTAAATCTAATTTCCGTATACCATGAAGTGAAACATGTGATCAGATATAACCGCAAAACATTATTTCCAGATCAAGTAAGAGACAAAATTTATAGACGACATATCAAAAGATAATGCCAAGATGATTAAACATACAACCAAGCATGAATATGCAACATTTTGAAGGTAAACCCGACGAAAAATTTCTAATTGTCATTCTTCTTATGCAGAGAAACAACCATAAAATGTGCAGATGGCGAAGGTTCATCCATCCTCAATGCGAATGCCACAGAGTATGTGTAATGGAGCATGGAAAGTAAACATTTTCTAAGAAAACATGATCTTAGTACGTACTATGGGGAATATTTTAGCAAAATATAGAACATCTGATGCTAAATAACATACATTCACTTTTCCAGGGCAACATCATTCATGTATTCAGAGAATTGTTTTTTTTTTTGGGGCGGCCGTTTAATGCAAGAGAACAGTCGAATCAAGGACTAGAGCTCTACTAAATATATTTGAAAAATTATTCATTTTACATAGCGCAGGGGAAGAAGGTTGGAAGAGCATCTTGAACTGTAAGCAAAAATTTTGCACTTGAAATGGGTGGGGGCGGCACCAAGGAGTGAAGAAGAACATAAAGCACTTGCTTAAAGGATGGAGCACACAAGGCCTTTAGGATACAATCTAACAGTCCCAGATGATGAAACCGATTGTTGCACCTATTTGAGAGTAATTATATCGTCAGAGATACTTAAGAAGGGATCCTCCACCAGCCCACACTCTAGTAAAATAGTCTCAGCCATAACCTAACCACTAATCCAAGAAGGTCAAATAGATTAACATCATACAAAATTTGAATCTCCAACAAGATCAAACAATATCATTTTTACATTGAAAGAATATTCTACCCGACAATGCATAATCAGTCACTTAAATAAATAATAGATTTTTCAAATTAAAAATGATAAGAGATTACGAAGAAGATATGATAATTTTTAGGTCTTAGACAAGGAGAGTGCTTAGGTATTCTATGACAATTGTTTCCTCCCCTCTCAGAGAGATACTACAAAAATTCAAGATCTCATGAACTATTACTTTATCATGAATATCGTTTCAGAAAAATTCAGAACTACAACTATGCTCAACTAGTTTTTACCACATTGGATTGTATCTTTATGCTGAAATAACCCCACTGATATGTAGTCAATGACATGTAACTTTCTCTGCAAACCATATCCATCATTTTATTCTATCATTTGAACGCAAACCTACTTTATTTATACATTGCCAAATGTCTGGAGATGATTACCAATTCCAATACGAATATTCCGCAGTGCAAGAAAGACACCAAGAGGAGAGCCAACCGCAAAGAACGTGTCAACCTGATGGAAAAAACATTGGATTCATCATTTGGGGATTGAAAAACGTTCATAATGCATCCATGAAGAGAACAAGAAGCGCAGTAGAAACAAAGGGCAGATAACCTTGAAATCAAGCTTAGTGTACTTGATATAAGGTGTATAAGTCGTCCATAAATTGTCTTTAGCTGGAGAAAGGTAGTTGGGAAAAAGCTGCTTGATTCCTTTTTTATCAGGTTTATGGTCACCTATCATTCAGGAAAAATAAATTGAAATAGATTATACTTTGAATGAGAGCCAATAAACTAAATAGAACATCTCTTATTTAACGGAGGAATTCCATACTACCTTCACGCCATTCACTGGTGACACTCCCATCTATGCTGGTAGAGCATATGGACTTTTGCTTCAGTTCTACTGCTGCAAGTTTCACCTTAAGAGACCTTACCTTCAGCACAGTAAAAAATAAGAACTTCTCAGAATCTAAACCTCTGGATATAATGTCTAGTATAGGCATCGAGAGTGCTAGCAGTGTCAACCCTAATGGCATAACCAAAGAAAAAAGACTAAGCTATTTCTTGATCAACCAAGTTGCATTCTTTCTCTGTCAAGTGGATATTACAGTCTATTAAGTCGGGATACAAATTCATAGTCAATTATAGAAAAGGACTACACCATTTGATGCTAATTAATGAATGATATGATTTGAAATTGAAGGTTACCTCTTCTTTTAAAGAGGAAACGTGCTGATCCGTTTCCTTAGCGTCCACTGATTTATCACTATAAGTTACACCCATGTGACTACCTTCAAGATCTCCAATTGTGACATTTTGGAGAGGCTTATCAACACATGGCAGCTGCAAACATTCCTCAAATCCCTGGCAACTGTTTTGCAGACACTTTTTTGATAATACTTCGGTAACATCAGAGGTGAGAGAAGAATCCGAAGCAAGGAATTGTGTAGTTGATGTCTCTTCTCGAACAGATTCATTTAGATGTGGCACTGGTGTATTTTTATCTGTTGAAAATACATTCTCCAGAACTTCAACATCTTCAACAGTTTTGTCGTTATTTGAGACCACGGCAGGACAAAATCCAATATTTTGATAACTTGTATCGGATTGGAATCCAATATTTTTGGCTGTTCCGGTGTAAACACACCCAGAACTTGTAGTTTGAAAACATTCTTGATGGCAAAGGATATCAAATGAAAGAACACTTCCCAAAGAGTGGCCGTATATGGAAACCTGCAATATGATTGCGTCCCTTAATGACTTTCAATGTTAAGGTAGGCGGATAATTTGAGAGGGTATGTCGACTAATGTGATGGGAGAAACAAATATTTACAATACCTTGCCATTGTAGCCAGGGTTTCTCTTGAGGAACTTATTGTATAATCTGTTTAACTGATTTGAGACCTGAAATAATAATAAATACATTCAAACTATTTCAAGAAACTTTCCATTCTGTAAGGCATTTGAAATTCACCACAAACTATGAGAAACTTGTAACAACGCTGAAAGTTTGTGTTACACACAAGAGGAAGTTCCTACAAGAAAACCAATAAAGAGAGATGAAAGAGTCCAGAACATAGATATTATACCATTTTAGTCATTATTTAACTAGTTTACCCGCCATAAAGAAGCAGCATTCTCCAAGGTATTTAATGTAGAAGACTATTCCACTTCAAAATCGGTCTAAATAAGGCAGCCAAAAAAAATAGACTAGCATTTTTTCTTTGAACTACATATGGTCCACGACTACCTGGATGAATCTGTTGCTCATCCAAAATGTGCAAAGGATCCCAGCCACAGTTAAAAGTCTCTTACCCTACTGTTGAGTTAGGAATCCGAATAATTAGGGTGTTTAGATATTCTCAGAATCCTTTCAAAAGAAATAAAGAGATTGAATAGCACGATCCACAGTCCCAGACCTTGGTATCCTGAGATTAATTTTTTCCCGCAAGACAGTCTACATTCTAAGGAAATTGAAACATTATGCATGGTATTTGGATCGTGAACATGATAATTATTATCAACATAGGAAATATAGTTGAATAAGATAAACATTCAACATTAAGACAAAATGAATTCAGGACAAGTATGGATATATTCATGTCTCCGCTCATACATGCATATGTTATAACAAAGTCACTAAACCTCAGCTGAGAAGTGATGAAAGCTTTGGTCAACTCTCAGAATAAATTTCGTCTCTTTGTAATTAGAGCATTTGATGTACTTGAATTAAAAAGCTAGCAATAGATGCTGTTATAAAATCTGAAAGTTGTGAACATGTTAGAACATGCCTAGCAAGGACAGATTTCTTCCAATTCAAAGAATAAAAAAAATTCTGCTCTAAAAGATATGACTCAACTTTATTGAGTATGTCGTATCATCTTCAGACAGTATTTCCCAAAAAATATTTTAAACTGAGGTTTTGAAAGATTTATTGAAATTAATGAATGCACACTCTACCAATCCATAATAATATTCCGTTTTTTTAGTTGGCTTTCCATTTCCACGCAATGAGTTATCATTAAGAGAACTATGTCAAAAAATTAGTCTTTCGAATATCTTAGAACCTTATAAATATGACGGCAGCTGGATCAGAATTAGGTGATCAAGAACACTTTGTCGCATGGCGACTTCAATCTCATGCTTTGGTTCTTATGTCATATTGAAGTAAATGGATTGAACTGTCCGTACACAAGCCGAACTGTATCTTAGAGCCGCTACAACCAATGTTGTGTTGCCATAATAACGAGTGGCTGGCTGCACCATTTTGCCATCCAACTGAAAGTTAATTACTAATGAGAAAAGAAAACTGATATATTTAATCACATAGCTAGTGTACATAGTGTGCTTTCAGCAGGATGAAATTACTCCAAGATTCAGTCTTTTGTGCCACCCAATATTCTTTCGCTCTTTGATATACATAACAAGGGAGGTAATCTATAAGCATACCATCTCATAGAACAATCCTAAATTGTCAGCTCGTACAATCCAGAACCAATAGACAACGGGGGAGTAGAGTGGGTTTTTGTATTTAGTTACTGAATTAAGTTTTTCAGTAACCAATATAGATCTATCAAACAACCAGATAAAAGCTTATTAGAAGAGCATTGCATAAAGTCAGGATAACCCAGAAAACCCATGAGTTTTTTCCCTGTCTCAAAGTGCTCCAGCTAGCTGTCACTTTGATAAGTGGATACCAGTTAAGACTTGAAGGTACCCTACCAAACATCTTCACAATGACCACCCATGTCTGCAAAGTGATCACTGTATAACTCATGACAGGAGCTCCCTCACAATCCTGGACCAGTCAAATGAAATGCTTATCACTCAATGCTCAATCAGATATCATCCTGAATATCATCCTGCATGTATTTCCCATGACCGCAGCGAAACATTCATGCATTGATGTCCTTGAGAATCCAAATGTTCCACGTCATTATTGCATTCTGCAACTAAAGCCTCATCACAACCATCACTAGGACTGCAAATCTTACAAGCATTTGGACAAATGCTAATAGGCTTGATCCATAGTTTCAAGGTTTCTTGAAATAGTCCCCGAAAACAACAAATCAGATGGATAACCACATCGAATCTTAGTTGATTGATCCTACACCAGCCTGTTTTAAACCTTAGATGGAACTAAAACAATTTCTGTAAAATAAAGTTTTTATTTTTCTTTTGGTTCTAAACTAATCAACCTGGATCTACCTTATTTTTCACTAATTTTCTCAAATATCCTGTAAAAACATCCCTTTTAAAGTTATTAGACGTGATATAAAATACTTACTGATAGAGAGTATTAAATCAATTTTCAAGTGAAAATTTTATTGTGAGATTTTTATTTTGATTAAACTCTCTGAGCAGGATGATGTACCATTGTTTCAAGAATTCTATAAGCAGAACACTACATCGTCAGGTAATTACATTTTTTAATCTTCCAACGCATACCGTAACTCAGAAGATATTAGGAACGCATTGCCATAACTATCACTACTGAAGGACATGGCATTCTTATTTAAATTTTCATGCCACCTAACCCAAAAAAGTATAATTTGAACAGGAGAGGTCCTGTTAAAGCCTCTAAATCAATCTGGTGGTGCAATAAATTAATTATGCCGGCCAGGGTCACCGGTCAATGGAAAAAACAGATGTTGTTGACCATGAAATTTAACCTATTCAGAAATTGGTAGCAGAAATGGGATAAATGTAAATATAAAAAATAATAAAGCCAGAAAATAGAAAGGTACCGAATTAATAATATCTTGACAGAATATGGGGCTCATGTAGTATAGAACATCATGAACAGTAGCACTTAGTGTTTCACGCAACCCTCGAACACCATCCAAGGTGATCTTCTCAACAGCACTCTCACCACTGAGTTGCAGCCCTCTTCTCCACTGAAGCATTTTTTGAGAACATACCAAATAAAGTAAATAGAGAAAATGGATTAGCAAAAAAATATCATCAGTAAAAACAAGAATAAGCCATGGTTAACAAGGCACTTGTTTTCAAGTTGAGAAACACAGGGTTTCTATGGATTCCAATAATGGTTCCAAAAATAAAGACCAGACTGTAAATTTACAGTCTACATTCCTAAAACTTTTGCACATTTACCTGGCAAGGGATAAAAAGCACTCTTTGCATGCTTCGTTGATACGGAGATAAGTGTGTTTCAGCAAGACTAGCTGTTATATGCCGAAAATCGCCAACATCATCCACCAAATTAGCCTTTTCCAATCTTTGTCCAATTCCATGAATCATAAAAACAAGATGGCCCACTGGCACCTGCGAAAACAATTTTCTGAGCTCAGGCCTATGTTGCATAGCAGATCATCATTAGTTTGAAGACATGACGTATATAGTATTCACAAAAATTCAGAATCAAGTCTATCCCAAAAAAAATAAATTGTTGGCGCATACAATATTCGAGATATTCCAGGTAGAAGAGGGCCTCTCACAGTCCCAACTTTCAATAGCGCAATAGATGTATTCAATCCATAAAAATATGGATTGTGTCGCTTTATCATCCATAGATGTATTCAATCGCTCATAAGGTTCTCAAATTATCTCATTTTCTATTTAATGAAGACGGTAATTATCAACCATTTACCATAAAAATATGGCACCTAAATCTAAGGGAGAGAACAAGGGTACAATTTCGTCTGAAAAACAGCACATAAAACGGCAAAGAGGACCCCACTTCAAAAATAAAAATAACAATTAACAGTGTTTCTAATAGCACATTTAATTAATGTGTAACTCTGAGAGAAATTACTCGTATTCCCATCCATCTGACATGAGCCAATGTATCGATGATATGCAAGTTTGCCTCTTCTTCTTGAAGACGGCCCATGGAATTGACATATTTGGAGACTGAGTCTCTTGAAGATGGAAAAGTGAAAAATAGATAATTTGGTGATATTGGATGTTGCACTTGAGCTATGAGATTTTCTCACAGCAGTATTGGGCCTTCTTAATGAAGCAGACTTGACTCATTTAAACATCTCCATTAGCCATCAAACTACCCATGGGCCGTCCTGACCCAGAATGCTCGAGCACAGAGTAATAAACTGACATCTTTGATATATTCGCCAGACCCCGGAGAAAACCAGGATCTACAACACTTGCATTTGACTTTTTTTCAGTTAATTACTTATAAGGCTATTGCAAACCTTTTTTTGATTTTTCGGACATTCTAGAAGAGAAAATCCAATGAGTCTTGTTTGTCTAATCTAAAAGTAAGCTTTTAATAAAAGTTAGGGGGAAGGCCACAACATTTTACACTTTGTGGTGCTTGTTCTTCATTATTCCTAATTCCCTATTCTCTTCCGAAAGGCACTTATATGAGTGAAATGTGGTTCAAACTAGAAAACACTAAACGTTTTAAAAGCCACATCCTATATGAAAGATAAAACACATATCTTTTGCTTCCCAGTTCTACACTTTTGCAAATGTACTGCTTCGCACAACTTCACAAGCAGACTAATGAAAACTGTTTATTCTCCAGCCAATCCATCATGAGGCAGATCACTCCCGTTTTGCACCAAGTATTATCATGTTATACTCTTCCAATCCTCCCTATCCTCTAAGATATATACCTTCATCCACTGTCACGACAGTAATGAAGTTTCAACATACTCAAACTTTAAAAAAATTGACACAGTTAACATTACTGTAAAGTTTAACCAAGAAGATAAAAAAACACTGTAAGAGACCGACTAAAGTAAAGGGTTTTGGAGTAGACTTTCTCCCATATCCACAGCCCCTCTCAAAGTTTATATTTTAGGTGAGAAAAGAAAATGATAACGAATGTTCCCTTATTGGATAAAACATTAAACTGCCCCAATTGAGTAAAAGTTTAAAATGACCATCTTAAGAGGATACAAATAACAAATAGATACTAAATTTTTAGGCAAACAATGAGATTTGCATTTTGGAAAAAACTTTGGTACGTCTAAATCTCATATGCACGTTAGAAATGCAAACCGGAGTATGTGTGTCGATGGCACTGAAACTAAACCTAAATAATATGAAGTATTACTTATATCTTCCGATCATAATGCAACTTGTTATTAAAAGAAAAAAGCTTTTTGAGTGCATAGGCCCAATACTAAATAACAGGGTTTCGATTGATTTTCGGGGTGCTTTTGATCCCCAAATCTAGAAATCAAACCCCCCCCTCCCTCCCCAAAACTATGATGAACCTCAACAACACTACCGAGAGCTTATTTGGGGAGGATGACAAAGCTTGAACCAAATATTGCTCCTAGAAATTTTCACCTGTGAGTTTTGACTTATAGTATACCACTATAGGCACACGATGTCATTATCCATGGCACATGAGGAGATCATATTTCAGGCGTTATTAACATTGAATATTCATAAAAAGATGGTGATTTTTCCCCAGGCTACACTTTAAGCCATTTGGGTTGTGAGAGACTAGAGCGTTTCTAAAAGAGAGTTTTTCAGTTGAAAGGGTGTCCAATGTTCTATGTGGTGAAGAGTAAGTGAGACTTATCTAATGATTAAGAGACTTTTGTAATAGACTTTTGAAAGGGTGTCCAATGTCCAATGTTCTAAAATCATTTGATTATTGTAATAGACCATACCATCTTGGAGTAGGACATACTTGTTGTACTGATGATTCTTTCAGAGTTCACAAACACAGATACGATCTTCTAGTTTCTTTGATATTTTATGAATACATGATACCATCCACTGTTTCAGGAAGCTTAACGGCACCTATCATCTTGGAGAGAATTTTTTTCTCTTGATTTCGTTGATGAAGACCACAGCTATCCCAAAAATACTCATCATCTCATTTATCCATTTACTGAAGGAAATGAATCGACATCTGTATAAGGAGTTTTTCAGGATAATGAAATAAATAAATTACCAAAAAAATAACTTTTCTACAGATTATATGGAAAAAATCTATGGCTGTCAGTTTTAGTCACCTAATAAAGCAAATTAGCTCAGTTTTTCATGTAAGATATACTAGTTACGACCTGAATTGTCAATTCTCAAAAGCTATGCAAATGTGAAACCTAACAGTTTGACAGAAATGAATGAAAGAAATGAAAGCACAATTACTGAAAACAGGTAATTCAAACCTCAATAATGAAAACGAAGATCAAGAAGTGTCACATGTTAGAAATGAAGTACTTGGCCAACCCTCGTTTTCAAGGCTAATTGCCTTTAAGTATTTGACTACCAAGAGACAAGAAAAAACTGACAAAATATCACAAAACTAGTTGACCTGGTTCTTCACAATTGGAAAAGCGAAATGAACATAAGAAAGGGAAATAATGGATGCCAGATGATGCAATTTATAGAAAAAAGACCTGAGAACAATAATCATCCATTTCCTCCTCCTTCTGTTGACGAAGCTCATCCTTTAAACATGAAAAAGACAATAAAGAAAGTTGTCATTAACTCCAAAATATGAGAACGAAGACATGTGCTCTCAAAATCCGAGGAACATCAGAACGAGTTTATAATTTGATGGTGATTCCTTATCGCCACAACTTTCTTTTGGACAAATATTTTAGTAATGTAGAAGAACCATTACAGGAATATATATTGGTATGAGTAGTATTTCTCCCAATAACCACAAAATTTATGAACAACATCATCTTAGAAGAGGAAAATTTTGGCCGAAAATCCATGAATCAATTAAATGTTAGTGGTCTAGGAACAATCACAGGAAAATACATTCGTTAACTAAGTGAATGTGATTAGAATGAAAACAGAGGAAAATGATTTTTTTTCTTTTTCCTAAGTTCATTAGGAGAACAAGGGTTGAGGATTCAACCAAAATATTTCAGAAATCTGACTTTTGGATGGGTGGAAAGTCAAGCACCCATCAAACTGTTATATCTAGTTGAACTACACACGTGTATTTTAAATTCATAAAAGAGAGAAAATAAGACATGATGCTATTATTAATGTTTCCTTTCAAAATGGGACTTGAGAGAGCGGGAAAAGTTTGTGGCCCAAACAACAGAGTGCCTATGAACGAGGTATAACGGTTTGAAAAACAAATTGTACTATTTTTATTGTTGATTGTCAACTTCAACTTTGAAAAATAATCTTCATGTCCAGTCAACTACATATTTTTCAAGACAATAAATTTCTTAAATTGAATCCACCAAAAAGACGAAAACATGAAAAGGGGACGAAAATCATGGAGTTTTTTTGTTGAAGTAACAACAAGATTTACAATTGCCATGCGAGATCTTTTATTGTGAAATTGTCAATAGTGATCAACAGCCCACATTTACTGTATTTATTGTCGTTAGTCTATAGTGTAAAGAAGCATGTCAATTTGGTCGTGAATGGCCATTAAATTGGGAAAAAAATCGGCAAATGGAATTGCATCCCCACGACTCAATCATTTTGATTGACCAGTGAATCATATGGAAAGCTATAGACCCCAAAGTTAGAAAGAAAGCAGTAAAAAAAGTTCATGTGATTGTGATTTTAAATGTGGATGAGTCAAGATTTTTCCCTTATCTTCACATAAAAAATTCATCTATACAGACTAGTACAAAACACGCAGGAATGAAAATGCAAGAACCTGAGTTGGCTTTGAAGATCCTGACATTGAATATCCGCGTCTTAATCTAACTGAATTTCCTCTTCCAATGCTGGAAAAACCAGAACTGTCCATGACCAACCAAGCCTCCCATGTATCATCTTCACCAGTGAAAAGTGCATGCGAACCCTGATCAAGTCATTACCTCAGCCACCTAGTAGTAAAAGGATAAAATCCTTCTCATCTGATGCACCAAAAATAAAAAATACCTCATTAGAGCCCTGTATATCAATTCGAGCAGCAAAAAGGCCAGAAGGCTGAAATGTTCGCCTGTGCCATACCTGCATTGAAAGGATTTTCAACACCATTCAGCATCTAATAAAATCATTATCAATACATTACGCATTCCGGACCTAATATAATGTCAACCTCTATACTCTCATGATGCCAGATAATCAGATGAGCGCCATAAACCCCATGATGATATCTACTTCTGGAAAGTAAATGCTCAGTTATCTTTTTGTCACTAAAAGATAATCATTCAAGCAAGTAACTCTTCAGATTTGGCCTAAAGTATATTGGAAGGAACATTGGTTGTGATTACTTATAGATCATATAAATAAATTTGACCTTACACAGGATGAAGGGCTACTCTAGCTCCACGTTACCTGACGATGATATGCAATCTCCAACTGCTCAGCAATGTCTTCACGAAGAGGAAGCCAATCAAGACTCCCTTTGCGCGCATACCAATGACCCCTAAGGACACGCCTATTCTCACCATTCCAATAAACAGGAAAGCAATGCCGCTTAACTAAATCAACCTGCAATATTCCAAAGCCAATATCAGAAGGTCAATATATAGGATTGAAGGCGCATTTTTCCAACATCGAATAACATTACAACTAAAAAGTTCAAGGATGAGAGCTTTGATGCTGATGTATGTTCAATCAGGAAAAAATATTTATGGGTGGGTAGATTTACTTGGATAGCGAGCTATCCTGAAACTGGAGTTACAACGAGGGAGGAACTATTTGAAATCCACTTTAATATTATTTCCCCCCATCCCGAGAATCTTAATTCATGTAAAAAAAATGACTGAAAAAGCAACATGAAATTAATCAACAAAACGTAATGTCAACCTCCAGGTGGGTTTAGACCATGGAAGCAAACAAATCTGGATGAAGCCGGGAAGATGGCTCCTGCAGCTTAGTCAACAAAGCATATAAAAAAATCATTTCCTTTTGTCAATTACTATCACTATACCGGATGAATGATAAGATCTTTGGTTAAATAACCTAAAAGGCTCAATTACCGAGCAAAATGCAAAAAAAACTAGACTATGAACGTCCTAGAAAGAAGGAAAAAAGGGGATGGTTGGAAAAACTCTTAGTTCTGTCTTCCCTCCAGCACAACAATCCCGGGTTTTATGCACCGAGAAATCAATAATCCAAATCAGCTATTTAAGCTTTACTCTAGAATTGTGCTCACCAGGAAGGCCACTAGAACAATGTGATTAGAACCCTAATAAAGAGTGAAATTAACCTTACAAAGCCCCTGCAAATGGAGGCAAAAGATTTTTAGTCAGCTATAGGCAGATGGATCCAAGAAATTTCATTAGGTATTCCCAAAACCCATGTAGAGGGGGATTCCGTGGTTAATAAGAATGGGCTACTGTTCTCACCAATGACCGATGCAAAATACTATACTGCTGCAAAAAGTCAGGTTATCAGATAACACTATTGCTTTAAACTGTTTTCACGGATAGGTATTTTTAATACAATTGCATAGCTCTCTCCAAGGACATGTTGATGTATCCCAACTCCATGAAGAATAGGTTTCTTCTTGTTTACACCCTTATTTTAGAAAATATAATGATATTTCTACTTTCCGATGCTGCAGAACTTATCTGAAAATACACTACCAAAGTCGGAAGAAATAAATGTTGAAATATCACGTTCTGTGACAAAGAAAAAATAGAAACCATTCGCCATGATGACTAAGCGACCAATCAAACGATGTCAATTCTTCATTGCAATAAACTTTGAATTTCAATCCCAAAGAATACCTCATAGAGCCCTCCTTTTACGGGGACACCGACTCTCTCTTCATCCACTGCAAACAGTTCATCTGATTGAGCATCCAAAGTGGCCTCAGAAGTTATAAGGGAAAACTTCGGTCCTTCACTGCATTCTGCATACTCTTTCCACCAATAGGAAAGTAATTCTTCTTCCCTCTACGAGAAATCAAGAAAAATCAAGAAGTCACAATATCATTATTCACAAGTACAAAAATGTATCCCGAAATATGTATTGGTCGGTAATGTAGCTAATGTATCTACAATGATGGATAAAAGAAAAGAGACATGCATGTACATGTCCATATGTAAATAAAATCAGTAAATATTATCTGCACTAATTAATATTGATACTCAAACCTAAAAATTATTTAGTAGCTGGGAACAACAACCAAACTGCTTTCCATAAGGAATATAAATGTATGGGTTTTGAGTTGTTGTGCCATCCAACTCCAAAACCAATAGGCCGGAGTGGAATAAGCCAATATTCGACTGTTCTTTACACCCCACTTCATGTACAACCCGAATTTTCAGTTTTTTAATGTGGGTAATATAAATGGCATGGATTCATCCGCTGGTTCCAATACCACTGAAAACACAAAGCCAGAGGGTTTAAAGCATTTCAAATGCAGTTGCACTCGAAATTCAGTCAAATGGAGAAAAGAGAAGGAATAAGCCACTCAAATAATACCAAATTTAGACAAGATCAAGCCAGCGTAGGTAAAACAAGATAACTACCTAGAAGACAATTGATAAGATAATAAGGGACAAGAAGTATTATTAAAAAAAAATTGGCTACCCCAAATTTCAAAAATAAAATAAAATATAACACCTGCAAGAAAGAAGCTTCCAATGCAAGAGAATCTCGCATACTGAATCGAAAGTAGTCACCTTTTCCCACTATCTCTGTTCGTGGAACTGAAGCTGCAAGCTCTGTAAGAAAACTTTTGACACAATCAAAATACAAAATGGTGATACATAGACGGGCATCTATTTGTGTTCCAAACATTTACAGGTTAGAAAAAAGTTAATGTCATAGAAACGTAAGCGGATTCCAAATAAGACAACTGCTAGCTTCACTTTCATAAGCTAGAAATAAGAACACAAGTAAGAATTGTCGGATTTTGTGTTGACAGCTGACACAAATCAATGATTAAAATTGCCTGTGCTTGTTCTTCTTTTATTTCTTAGCCTTCTGCTGCCACTCACCCACTTCTAAGTACTCAAGGTTATTGGTAAAACAGAGGGCTCTCTCCGTGGGAGGTAACTCATGGATCTCCTCCTTTTAGCGGGCATTTTCTGCATCGGATGATAATCCCATTTTTATTCTCCACGGGATTTCTCTTTCCCAGCCACTAAGGTTCCATTCGGTCCTCTTCCCCATGGTGTGGTATATGAACGTATGATCTTTAGATTTTTCTTCCTTTGGTTAAGATGAACATGTCAGAGCTTACATTTGTCTGTGGGAACGGGTGCAGTTACATGTCCATGTAGAATAATCATAAAATGTTTTCCACGCATTCACGCTCAGTAAATAGTCATAAGCTCTTCCTCAGTTCACTATGGTATGCAACTCAATTATCATACGTTCTTTCTTCAAGAAAACAGCGACTAGAATCTTAATTGAGAGTATTAATGAGCTTTTTAAGCAGGATGCCAGCACAGACTTTCGGGAAGAGTACAAGTAGGCGCATCAATTCTTCAAACTGCATGATATATTCTGCAAACTTTCTCAGATATTCACGTCCGACATTATACCTTTTCACCAAGCCTAGAGTTAAGGCATTTACCAGGCACAAGAATCGGGCATCAAACGATCAATAATCTTGAACCCGTGGCAGTCAAGGCAGATACAACTCCTTTTAAACATAAATCTTCTGATCCACAATATATTCCTTGTTTAAGTTATATCAATTCCTTGAGTTAGTAACCATCTGATGCCAAACCCAGTCTATCCGGACCACTCAGGTACAAAAAAAAGAGAACTTTATAAAATCTTCATACAGATGATATATGAGATGCCTCTGAGATGGTGGAACACAGGTAAATGTCAAAAGATTAGTAGATGAGAAGTAAAGTTGGAAGTTACACGCGCATAAAGAGGTAATGATGCGAGAGGTTTTTCACTTTTCTACATTTAAGTATCCATTAAAAGCCTGGGTTTCGAGATCCTCATATTTCATACACGATCTGATTAACGAACATCAATTGAAGACAAAAATACACGAAACTTTCTGTTAATTAAATATTTCTTTCACTTTTTTCAACACAAGAAGCATGACCATACTTTGCCATCCAATATAAGTTCATTTTCAAACTTATTTTTAGTTAACTTAAGAAGTTGATAATTTAATTAACTTTTCAGGTCACCAAAATTTTGATGGAATCTAGCAAACAGTCTGTATCAACATGATTAGAAACTTCTATGCAGATTCCATGATTTTTGAGTCTTACTTTCCGCCACATAATTTTATAAACTTCACTTGTCTTTCGCCTTCGTTTCTATTTCTTTTCTCACAGGAATCTCTCGAACATACTCACCTTTTTTTTCATTTCCCTTACAGTTTGGAGGCACTTTCAATCCCTTTCTACGTGACACTTCAATTAATTCAAAGTTTTAATGGCTAAGTGTTCTTGTTTTTCTGAAAACGGATAGGGCATAAAATTCATAAAGGATAAATAATCCAATCGTCTAGAAAAAATTATGAATTTTGACATAAATTGCATGAAGCAATAAATGGCAGTTAGTTTTCAGCCAGGATATCATATCACATAGTCTTGGTATATCACGTAAGATGCACAAAATAAAGAAGAATAGAGAAAAGGAGTCCATCCAGTAGGAAGAACACCGCATCTAAACGGCAAAAACTCAAATGAGAGAGGGTTGGATACATGTTATAAAGTAAAGGTTTGTTAAATTTGGTCAGCGTTTATGGCCAACAGCTGAGAACTTGCTTTATATGTATACAGAATATCATGACAGATGAACCAGAAACTATTCAATAACTGGGCACGAAACATATGCACTTGCCTTTTCCTGCTAAGGGAACCTTACAGAAGTACCACCGGATATCTTCCCCATCAGATGGACTCCTTGTCTGTGTTAGATACTTGTAGCGGTTCTTGCAGTGCTCGATCACATCCTCCAGCCTAGCAATGTTAGAAGGTGTGTTCTTTAACAAGTCGGGTGATGTTTCCTCCAACTCAGAAAAACCTGGTGATCCATGTCCCAAAATTTCATCTTTTTCGGCAGTTATTTCATTGTGTTTCTCTTCAAGGTTTGACATTTAGACAACTCCAAACCCTGTAAAGTCCATGGAAAATTCTCAAAATGATATTTTACATAGTGACCTCGAAAAAAGATTGAAATACGCATAATGAAAAACCTAACTCAAGAAAAACTTAAAGACATTATAAAGAAAATAATTTATAGAATGAATTTAAAACATCCACAGACAGGAGGGAGCTGATGAATTTAGACATTACTAACAGTCACAATCATCGAAATAAAATAACTTTCGTCTCTGAAATCTTAGAATTGCAAGTATCATTCTAGTGATCATACTGGGTTTGCAGTTGGATGACTTGGCCAGCCATATTATGATCTACAGTGAGTCAGTTGGAAAATGAAACTCTCCCCAATTAGTCACGCGGAAGTCGAATAGCCAGGCTTCATTTGTTATGCTGGCGCACAAAATTTATGATAAGGAGGAAAAGATTATGTGATATTGGGGTGAGAATCTCTTGATGGTACTCACAAATTTACTGTGTTTGTTTGTTTAAGTTAAACTTGGATCTTAATTTGATCCTTGGAAATATGTCCCCCGTTTTCTTCCTCAATTCTTCTGAGTCTACAATATCATATGTAGCAACCGCCCAATGAATAGGATCACTCAGAGCTCCGGTCATTTTCTCAGCGATTAGTAAATCCGGAATGCATACGGATCCCCTTTTGCGCCCTGGGGACGTCTCACTGGATCATGGGCTACTGTTGCCGACTCATGCCGAGCTTTTAAGGGCCACAGGGAAACTCAAACCTCGTTCGTCCATGCCAGGGTTGTGACACCAACGCCATGGCCAACATCTCATATGGTACCCAAGCGATAGAATTGAAATCGAATACAACGTAAACTATAGACAGAGAAGGTGAGAGGCCCGAAGGAGGCGTACCAGGAAATGGCCGATAAATGACGGAAAATGGCCGAACCAGGAAATTTTTCCAGGCGGTGAGGAAGAAGAAAAGGAGGCGATGGGGGAGGATAAAATCTAGAAGCGTACCCCGCTGATCCTTCGGCCTCTGCAGGGGGATTCAAAACCCCAGCCGTCGGCCTTCTGCCGGAGATCGAGACAGTAGCTGGCGTCGCAGGCGGTTGGAAGCGTGTAGCCAGACGGGGGAAATCGAGGAATTTCCCATAAATTATAGGGGTGTTTCTGTCCAAAACGTTTTAAGGAATCCGCTTGGGAATGCTCTCCCAACTGCCGGTCGAACCCATCGTAGTCTGGACTGGTAGTTAGTTACCGCCGAAGCAAACAGACGTTGGAGAACCGTTTGGAAGAGATTTTGGCTTCCGCATCGCTGGCTCATGAGACCTCGTGATGAGAGGAAGATCTTTAAATAATCGTGCTAATTATGTTTACATGTATATAATTAAGACCATAATATGAACTTGCAAAAATGATAATTTTCTCCTTTTTATAAAAATATGAAATTATATCCACCTATTAACATAAAAATTGTAAGTAAACCCTATTAATATTGCGATGATCAGCTTTTCTTCTCCTCATTATTGGATGAGAAATAACCTAAAATTCGATTTCCCCAACTCTCATTGAGAAATAAGCAGGTTGACTGGTGAGGGGCAGTCACCATAATGTCCTCTAATTATTCGCGTAAAACAGCAATATTGACTCCATGAAGGATAAATAAGCATTTTCTTGGTGAGTCGGGTAAAATTGCAACAAGCCCCTAAGAAGAGGATTTATTTGCAACAACATAATTAGTTTCAGAAATGGACTAAAAGAGTAAGATTTACCCGCTGCTGCCATTCAAATCCTTGGGTGGCCCACCTTAGCTTCACTGCTAAAAACCAACAAGAAGGTGGGGATTCATGGGTAGAGAGAGAATGAATGAGTGAGAGAGAGAGAGAGAGAGAGCTACTGACAGTAAAGCCACAATCCTGGCAATAGAACATGGCACATGGGCCGACCATCAATGAACATGAAGATTCCTCTCACAACCTCCTTTAAATGAGACCATTCAACCAGGAGGAGAAATGAGAGGTGGATAGATAGATTGATAAATAGAGACATAGAGAGAGAGAGAGAGAGAGAGAGAGAGAGAGAGGAAGAGAGGGGGAAAGGGAGAGAATAGCAAGAGAGTATTATTAGAAGACTGGAGATCCCTGAGGAGCCCATGTTTGTCAGATTCAAGGATCGGCCTTGGCAGCTGCGGATGCGTAGCTTACGCTGCTGTCTCGCATGCTCTTGCACTGGCTCGATTGCTCGTACCAGAGGAACCTGATACTTATCTTTGTGGAGCTGCTCTTTATCATCTGATGGCCATGAAGGAGTCATCAGCTGAGATGTAGATAGATATATAGATAGATGGAGAGAAACAGAGAGAGAGAGTCATACATGAAGGAAGACACTGATAGGGTGGCGGCCACAGATCGTGTTGTCAGAGTCCTCAAGGTAACGTTTGAAGGCAACCGGATCCCCTGTCTCTATGATATCCATGCCCATTCGGTCCAAGGCCTCAATTGATTTGTGAATTGGACCGTGTTTCTCGTCATAATGTGTGTAGTTAAACCTATGGCAACATAAACATACCAAAAACAGCATTGAACTACCTGAGATGGGAAGAAAATGCAGGAATCGCCCAAAAATGTACCAAGGATGAAATTCCATGAAAGAGAATTTAACAGAGACGGGAAAGAATGATCCTTGGCACGGGCTGCTCCGGGAAGAGGAAGCACTCTGCTTCAAATTTTTAATGCAGACACATCTTTCTAGTCTTAACGAATCATTTATATGTTGAGCAAAAGAAATTGAGAAGAAAGAATGAACATTTCGCAGATACCATACCTCATGCCCCAGTGGCAGAAATCTGATGATACCGAGAAGAAATTTCGAGGGTCGTCGATATATTTGGCAAGCAATCTCCCATACATGGCTTCATTTTCTGGATTGAGGGCGCCAACCAAGATGGGTACGATTTTAACGGGATATCTAAAAGAAGTAAAAAGCAATGATTTTATCAATTAGAGATACGCCCTGTTCATGGTTGCATAGAGCAACAGTGGAGATATAATCGGCAGGAAGCTACCCCCGGAATACTTTGGCGATGTAGGGCAAGTGCATCTCCATACTGTGCTCTGCCTCATCTACTCTGAGATCCATAAGCTCGAATTTCCCTGTCGCTTGCAGCTCCCTATTGACTGTAACAAGCGAGCTAAACATGTAAGATAGAACTCCAGAAAATAAATGCAGTCAAAACCCAAAACATATGGAATGAGAATCGATCATGCTATGTCGCCTGAAAAAACATTTTTAGGCATTATATTTGGAATAAAATCGGGTGGCCAAATTGAGTAAGTCTGATCATTTCCACTCCAGGATCTTAGCCATATCAAAGCCTGACTGTTAGGCAAATATGTGCTAGGCAGGCAAGAACGGATCACCTAGGAATTCACTTATCCATGTCCGATGAAATGATTTCTGGCTGAGCCCCATTCAGGTTCTGCTCACTTTGCCCACTTGAACAATTTTGGGTTTTGCAGTTCTAGGATCAGCTGTGTTACTGATCATGTTCGCCATGAGGATACAAATATTTTCAAGCTCTATGAAATTTGGAAGAACATTATGGGGAGTGCCATAAAAGAAGCAGGTTCTTGTGTGGATTTGGTATGAGCAACTGAACTGAAGAAAGGAGTCAGTAGTCAACTGACTGAAGAATGCACCAAAAGAAGCCAGAGATGTTTAATCATGAATGAATTAGCGTAACTATGTCAAAACCTCCTAAATCTTATCCACTATCAATGAAAACGTTATGCATCAATATGTTCCGATATATCCTAAGCTCTTTAAGGTATGTTCTACTATACTCAGGGAAAGAAAATATAACACCAACTAATTAGTTCCAAGGACCAGCCAAAATAAAATAAATAAATAAATCAATATTCAGGAACCATGAAGGCAAAACGAGTACCTTCCGAATCTATTGTCAAGTCTCCCACAGGTGTATTGTAGATAGTAGCTCTTGTTAGTGCACATTTTGGCGTATAGTAATGATGCGATGGCCCAAGAAGAAATATTCGAGAGCTGCAATCGGATAATTTTCCACACATTAATAAAAAAATATCGGAAATTAGGCAGAAAATGTCAACACACGCCACAAAAATACACATTAAAAGGTAATTGCAGTCACTGGAAAAGGAATGTTCCTGCTCCTCCTTCTCACACAATAAAATTCATAAAATTTTCCTCATTTAGTTTATTGAGGCCAATTAAGTCAACATCAACCATCCAAACTGCCATTCCTTTTCAACCCACCTCCGTCAACGTTTTCTCTGGAGGGATATCTCATCCAAAAGGGTAGAGAAAATATTCACACCATAATGTCGATCCTAAGGAGCAGAACAAGGGAAGGAAAGAGAGAACACAAGCTCCAACTCAATGCAGCTAGAGGAGAACCTACTTACAAGCTTCCTGGGTCTATATTACCAAATGCAAAGGCTGCAGCACGGCCAGAATAAGAGTAGCCAGCATGCCTATAGTTGAATCAACAAAAGAATAAAGCAACTAACGTATTAGATAATTCATGTATATAAAAATTTATATGAAAAAATAAAAATAAGTCAGTGACCTACGGAGCAATTACACCTCTCACATCAGAAGACTTGTCAAGACCAGATGCTTGGAGCCATCCATCAAGCTCATCTTCCAATTTTTTGGCTGATAGAAGAGCGGAAAAATCATTAGGAATTACTGAATTTTACTGCAATATATTTGAATGTAATCTCAGCAATAATCATTCATACAGATGGGATGATTAGCAATTATGGCGATTAACTTTCTCTTCAATACATTTATTTTCCAAAATAAATACATGTACAGTGATCAATCTGTCGAAACTACAATTGTAACCCATCCGGAGTTTTCAAGCATAACAGAAAGAAGAGATAATGGCAGCTCCTGGAACAATGAAAATGCCACAAAGACAAGAGGATTAGGAAAAAAAAAACGAGGAAAAACTATGAAATCACATCCTCAGCTCTGGTGAATCCATAAGAACATCTGTCATGGTCAGCACAAATTCCATTACCGAGTCAGACAGATTTCATGTTGCATTGACCACGCGCCCACCAGAAAAAACGAGAAGATCAACACAAAGATTACCCCTACCAGAACATTAATCTTGTTCATTAGTTCATAGCTTCCCATGACATCACTGACACCATCCAAATATCTCACATGCACCGCTGACCGTATCCCAACACAACGTGATACGACAATTATGCATGAAAAATTCATCAAAGTCAATGTCCACGGCACGCTTAACACGGAACACAAAAATTTATAACACCACCAAACCAAGCCGCAAAGGATATCCCATCCCCGATGACCTACAGAAATTAGAACAAATTTCTACAATAAATAATGAAAAACTAATGAAAAATCGAACATCACAGAAGATGGCCATCGAAAAATAGCAGGTTCCTACAACATTTCTACCCTTTTCGCGAGCCGTCGCGGCATTCCAGTTTCAACATCGAAACAAGCGCCATCATTGTTCATAAGGATTCAATAATAATAATAATAATAATAAATAAAATACAGGGAGACGAAGGACCGCCGAAATGACCGGATGTTTACAGGGACACGATGGAGTTTGAGACGAAAGATGGCGGCTTTTACTCACGATTGTTAGAGTACCAGGACCCCGCGTGAGTTGCCTTCCTCACCCTCTCCATCCCCCCTCTTAAATCCTTCCACTAGGCTACACACACAGAGCGTTCTCTTCCGCTTCTTCTTCGTCTCCCGCCGGGGAGGAAGAGAGACGGAGAGAGGGGAAAGACGGCCGGGAAAGGAAGAACAAGACACGGCGGAAGCTATAAAATAAGATTCGCACCACAGCAACAAAAGTAATTTCTATATAACCTCGTATTTATGCATTTCCACATTCACTGCTATCAGGGGCATAATCTTTACATGAATATTTTCCTTCAGGAGGTTATATTTTTCCAAAATCAAGGGTGAAAATATAAAGCAGGAACTCGTTGGGTTTAATAGTTTTTTATTTGGGGGTTATCCCTATAAGGTTGGCCTTTACGGCTGATTTAAAATGGTTACATATGGAATTTTATTAAATAGAAGGTCTTGGGAGTAATAAGCGGTTGCTTGTAGAAGCCGGCAATCACCGCGCCATCATGATCGGCGATTTACACGGCGCCTGCGCGGAGTTTGCAGTCGTCGTTTTGTCGTTTTGGGTACGTGTCGACTGCTTCAGCGAAGATGTAATAGCAAAGCATAAGGGTGTGTCGTCAACGTCACCAGTTCCTCTCATCTCTGTCGGTGGGATTCGCCACGCCATGACACGACACGACACGGCCGGATTCGTAGAGACAATAGGATGCTTTCTCTCTCTCTCCCTCTCTCCCTCCCGCCCTCTTTCTCTCTCCCGCACCCTCTCTCTCCTCTCTCTCCTCTCTCCCTCCCTCCCTCCCTCTCTCTCTCTCTCTCTCTCTCTCTCTCTCTCATCTTTCACTTTCGTGCACAACCCAAAGTGAAAGATGAGAGAGAGAGAGGCCTAACTTGGTCTGGGTTAAGGCTGAAGGCCCAAGCCCAAAAATAACAGGCCCAAAAAGGGCCGGGGTCCTGACTTTCCAGATGGTTAGAGGTCCCGACTGATAATAATTTCACGTAAGAAAAAGTTTCAGTTAAAAAATTATTAACATGGGATTTTGAGAGGGGGAGACGTGGGTATAATCCTGACAGCTAGAGAGGAGATAGACGGCCAGGGAGTCATCTGTGACGTCGACAGATCCGCGTCGTAAAATTAATGAGAAAAGATGAAATTAGCATTAATACAATTCAGACGGTGCTAGGCGGGGAGGAAGGGGGGAGGGGAGGGGGATGGAGAAGATGCCGGCGATGGGGAACCGACATCGGAGAACGGCCGGAGGGTTGCGGTGCTCGCCCTTGGTGGTCTTCTTGTCCCTCTATTCCCACGTCTTGGTTTTCTCCGGCGCCGTCTCTGCGCGTCTGGTCATCTCTGGTGCGTAGCTGTCTTTGTTTCGATAATCTCTCTCCCGCATCGTTAACCTTTTTTGTTCATAAGGAGGCAGTAGGTGGGATAAGACAGTCTGTAGACGAGATCGGAGCTCTGATGGCAACGTCTGTGCATCATCATCCCGTTGAATCCTTTGTAATATTCGGTGGTTACATTGGTGTAGGGCTTCAAAACGAGGAAACTGTTTTTCCGAAACTTTAGTTCAGGCTCCATTACTTGTCCGTGATTCAGGTCATTGTATAGAGGAGAGTGATGGTTGCCGCAATTGTGCCGAAAAGTGGCAGTAGTGTCTTCAGACAGAATTCGTGGGGCCAGATGGTTTCCTGATTAAAGCGAGCAATACAATATCGCAAATAATAGGTCTAAATATCCATAGACAATGAGAGAACGATACTTCTGGGTCAGTATCTTAATGGCGGCGGTGGTGATTGTAATGAGTATGAAACCAGCGGAAAGAGCAGCGGTCGCTATGGTTGTAAGCGGGTGATCCTAATCAGTTGACCTTCTGTTTTCAGGATAGACTGGTCAATTATTACGATGATAGTGGTGGGAGAGAGATGGGTGCAAATGCGGTTGGCATGGCAACAATGTCGATGGTGGCCTAAAGGGAAGAATAGGTGAAGACACAAAGTGGCGAAGGCAAGCGGTTTAAAATGATGTCTGTCCATTATATTTGGCACTGTATCCAGTGAGGATGATATTATTTTTACACTGGAACTTACGTAAGTGATGATAGTATTTTTAATTATCATTTGGAGATCGAATTTTTGGAAAAAGGTGATCTGATTGTGGATTGGAATGTACAATTTTTGAAGTTGATTCCTCCAGAAAACATGTATATAATCTTATTCTCTTCTAATCTTGTTGAATTGTGTGGTGTTTATGGTGCCCATGCTCTACAGTGACAAATAGAACTGAAAACAATTAGCTCATATGACCATCTACCTCTGTTCTGTTCTAAATTCCAAATGCTAGAAGAAAAGGGTTGAGAAGCATGCGCTATCAAATTAACCTTCCAGTACGAAAAAGCACACTAACAGGTTTACTACGGATCATATAAATGGTTGTATGCGAAATAGGAGCCTGTATAAATGGTGAAAGAAATGAGTATGAGTTTGGATGACTTTCTGATGGAGAAAAGTTACCTTTGCTTGATGTTGGTTTGATAAATTGATACATTTTCTATACAAAACATCTAGGTTGACTCCTGGGCATTTAATTATCACCATCCAATAAATCAGTTGTATGCGAAATATATTAGATCTCTGTTACAGATTGATTAGAATCCCAGAGTTTATAGATTCTATGTACACATTTGATCAGAACACACTTGGATTTGATTGACGAGAGGAGGCTCGACCTGAGATTGTGTATTAACTGTCAATGAGCAGTGTGGAAGTGTATATGATTTGGAAGAAAGTTAACTTTTTATGAGGTTCTGCGGCTAGGTTTTGAATGTGTCATAGATGAAAGCCGCAGGGAAGAAGAACAATGTCACTGTGATGTATGTCTCATCAGTTATAAGAGGCTCACTCTCCATGAATATATCACTGTATGGATGAGTCCTTCTGCAGTTGCATCAAGGAATCAAAGAGCTTCAGTATAAAATAGAACGCATGGCATAAAGATGTGGGAAAGTTTGACCTATGTTTGCACCAAATGCCAAATGAGGAAAGGAGTTCTCATTGCATATTCCTTAATGAGATGTTGTTACTTTAGTCACAGTTTTCCTGAAGCAGGTTACCATAGTCATGTCTTTTCATTTCCCTTCTCATTGTTAAATCATATTTATTCAGAAAAAATATTTTTAAACTTAAATTCCTATTTTCCTTTGGTTTAATTTTTCGGAAATAGGAAAGTGTCATTGATTCATTAAGTATTGATGCATGGATGCATACGTGTTTATAATGTGGCTGTCAATATTACTTAGTTTTCGTTTTTCATTTCTTTATGTTTATCTTTTTTTTTACTTCAAAACAATGATTGCAGGTGTTGGATTAAGTCGGAGCTCTCGTGAACCAAGATACATGATAGAGTTCCATTCAGCAGACTCACCTTTTCATGCTGTAAGTAAAATTCACTACTCTTTCAGTTTTTGACTCGCGTGATCAATTAAAAATACTTTCTGCATTTTTTTTCTTGTGTTGGGATTCGTTATGCTTTCGTTCAGTGCTACATGCTTATCATGTTAACCTATCTTTTTATTTCACAGTATATTTAGCCAGTGATCGTTTTTGTGATCAAAATCATACGTGCTCTACCTTCTCTTATTTCAGCAATCTATAACTTTAATCATGGACAAATCAAATTTATAACCCTGGACAAAAAACCTGTCCCTGGCTCCATGTGCCGTAGGAACTGGAAAGCTGGAACCATTTCGGTCTGGTTTGCAAAATTCATTGACTAGGTTTTGGAGTCAACTTCTGATATGATTCGACTATCAGACCAACTTAGGTGAAAAGATCTGAAAGACCCTTACTTTCCGGTTGCCACCCTGGAGAGGACGGTGGATATCCAGCCACCCTCAGCACTCTGTCTGTACTTATCATCTCTTTTTTGTTGGTTTCTTTGTCATGGTTTCAGTTCCCATCACTGTAGCCATTTTCTTCATTAATCGGGAGATTGTCAAAAGCCAAAATTTTTGGTTCGTGTTATAACCAAATTCTCAATCAGAAAAAACTCTGCAACTGCCATTACCCTAGCGTTTCCAAAGCACAGTAAAGTTTCTTAGGCCTCTGATTCTTTCCTTAAGGAAATAGTTAGTTTTATTTCCCAGTATTATTTGTTAGGTTAATGCCCAACAATATCAGGTCTATGGAGTCGTATTATTTGCTAGATTTCTGCCAACCAATTAGCAAAGAATGTAAATAATGTATCTCTTTGGTATTTACACGGTTGGACTTCTTTTACTAGGTTGTACAATTCTCAGTAGAGCTTTAGTGCAAAAGTTTTGTTTATACTAAATACCAAAGCTCCAGTTTTGTTGTTCCAGGGAGCCTTTTTTTTTTCTTGCTGCTTTGGCTTATAAAAATATTGCCACCTGAACAAAACTCTAGTTCCTTCTGGCTTCTTCTTCACCATCATGACTATCAACCATGTTGCAATACCAGTCTCTAGGCAGGTATTAGAAAATGATCTCATCTTTTCGTTTCTTCCCGAAAACGAAACTACTGGGCATATGAGTTTTCAGTGATAATGATTCCTTGACCTACTAATAGTATGCAGATAGTGGCCTGGATATATTCATCTTAGGTATGCATAATTCTGCTGCGGTAATTCTTTAATAACGTAGAACTCGCTCTTGTAGTGTTTTACTTTTTTGTGTTTTCAAGTGTTTCCAATAAAAGTGTTAGGTTTCACGAATACTGTACTTTGTCGGATCTAATCTTTGAAGATATGTTATGATGAGCCATGCCTTTGAGATAAAACAACTGTCATGGATCTTTTCTACGTATATTAAACTCCTAAGAGGCTGATATTCATCTTGTGTTAGTTTTCAAGTGTAGTTTATAAATGCAACGTGGCAAGGTGGTGGTAGGTTTGAAATTTGATCAAGAACAAGAAATTGTAAGTGTTGTTAATCGCTGAGATGCTTAGAGTCGTAATTAGGGACTTAAATTAGACTTGTTTCTAGAATATGTGGAAACATGGAAAGGTTCTTCTTGTATCCTAGTACTGCCTACTTTCTCTGTCAGCTATAATTTGACAATTGCAAAGAGATCATAACTAGGTTTACTGATTGTTATTGAGCTTTTAGAAGTATAACTGGATGGTGAAGAAGGCTATGACGTATGAAATTTTGATACCTTAGTGTCACACCAGAAATCATGATGCTTTGATTGGATAATCTTCCTCAGTGTCTGGTTTATGGATGAACCAAAAAATTGCCATCATTCAATTTTATGCATGCGATTTGGTTGGAAATAGATTTTTTTTGGGAAGAATACTCGAATCTAGATCAGTAAGTCTACCAAAAAATTTGAAATAGAGCTCAATGTCTCTTTCTATGGGTGACTGAAATCATCCATCTATATCAGAGAATCATAATCAGTGACGTTAAATTAAGAAACATATTAGGTGCCTACCCTAAGACATTTGATAAAAAGTACACGAAAACCATCTGTGCATTTTTTGCATGTTCCTCGGTCCTCACCCATCAGTATTGCTGCTTTAGTGGTTTAATGCACAATCTGCCACTAGTACATGTAGAACATTCACATTCTGTACAAAAAAGAAAATTCACAATCTATATGTTTTCAAGTTTCGCGAGTCATTTCTTGCATTCTTTTCTCCATCAGTTTTATATTGGTCCTGTTGTTACTTACGGGAGATCTAGGTTTTATGGCAAATTATGACAGTCGACAATGGTGATGCTTTATTCACAGTGACACTGGGCTTTCTTACCTGGGTTTTTTTACCGTGGCCCTTTTTCTCGGCTAAAATATTTTTTTTATGTTTCTATATATTTATGAAATACTCATTTTATTTTTGTCATGTTCGACTAAAAGTTAGCTTGTCTGATCACTTATTGCGTTGGAATGTTTATCAGGGGAGCGGGCAGGAGTCTATTGTGATGTCTAAGAAGGATGGGCAGCAGTACCTATGCTACTTGCCTCTGATTGAGGAAATCAAAAGTCCGGTTGTAGGAAGTGATAAGAGAACCAAGTTGAAGAAGCCAGATGAGTACATGGAAGTTCTCAAAGACAGATGTTTTTACAAAGTGAGGCATTTTTTTTTTTACAAATATTTTCTTCCTTCCATTTTTTTCAATTCTATATTTTATTATGGTTCTGTCATATTTGCAGCACGAGGGATGGTGGATTTATGAATTCTGTCACGAGAAATCGATTAGACAATTTCACACAAATCATGATAAGGTAACTAGTGCTACCTATTCTTTTATCTGGCTACCGTTGACCGCTGTGGATATTATTCTAGTTTAGGTTGATGCTGTCAAATACCATGTACTCTTCAACGCATTGGCAATCAATGTGCTGCTATTCTATCAGTTTTTGGTTAGAACTTGGTTAGTGGCATTAGGTTTTTTTTTTTAATGCTGAGGATATTTATTGATTAAATCATGGAAAATTTCCTCTCCTGTTGTAAGGTTCAGGAAGATTCTTGAAAAATGAAGGGCACTTATCCGACTGCTTAGACTCAGCCATGAGAGTTCCTTTTTCTAGGATCGTCCGATGGCTCTCAATGGCATTATTTGATATATTTTCTCTATTATCCTCTGTTAAGCAAAGTATTTCATTTTGGAAATAATAGTAATTTTTTTGTTGGTTAAAGAAAATTGCGATAGAATGAATTTATAGACACTGTGCAGCTCTGGCAGGCCGATTGGAGGGGATAACCTTTTTTCCCTTTTTTTCTTTTCTTGTATTGATATTAAAACTATATTTAAATCATTGGATACCTATGTTTTATCCACAATATATGTGTGCATCTGATGGATATATACTCATTAAAGTGACATTGACATTGACATTGACATTGACATTGACATTGCTGGAGTTAGACAAGAGAGAAAGGGACTACAGCTTATAGGTTTTCATTGCAGATAATCCAAGAGTTCAGTTTGGGGGTGTTTGATCCGGAAGCCACAGATGCTTTCAATCAGAACTTCTCAGGCATTATTGCTTCGGTCAAAGACCCACGGTATAAAGACGGATCGCAGAGGTACATCCGACCCCATTTCTATATGGATCACTTCTTCACAGAGCTGATGGTTTCCTAGTGATTTCTGCTCGCAGATATCATGTTCATCTGTTCAACAATGGAACCATCTGTGACCTCACCAACCAGCCCAGAGAAACAGAGGTATGACAACATCTTAGCTGCTCGTATTATTATTATTATTATTAGTAGTAGTAGTATTAGTATTTTTATTATTATTCTTGTTGTTGTTATTATTATTATTATTATCATTATTATTATTATTATCATTATTATCATTATTATCATTATTATTGCTTTTTTTTAGGTGAGATTTGTTTGTGGGGAGCATGGAGTTGTAGTAACCTCCATCAAGGAAGTAGCTACTTGCAAGTATGAAGTCACGGTTCAGTGCCCATTAATCTGCCGCCACCCGTGAGTTATTAATCCTCCATAATTCCCAATTATTGCATTTTTTTTGCCTAAAATGGGGATTTTTCTTTTCCCTATTACAGGATGTTTCATCTGGAGAGGCCAGCATTACACGCCATCCATTGCAATGAGATCCCCCAAGACAAGAAGGAGGTGGATGTGGAGAACTCTGACATCAAACCGATCACCATAGTCACCGACTTCGAGGATCAAGGGTACTTGACGTAAATTGTGTGCATTTTCTGGGCTATTCTTGGTGTACCATAGAAAAATATGCTGCCTGAATCTTGAAATATTAGGATAATTTACAGTTAGTTGGGCGATGAATATCTTTCTGATGATCAGACGCTGATTAGGGGACATTCAAGTTTACAATCATACCTAATAATGTGTTGGATAGTGATGCATTTTTGGGCTAATTTATTTGTTTCATTCACCAGTATTGTTCATGATTTTTTTCTGTATCACTTTTAATAACATGAATTTAGGGTCTAAAAGGATCATACAGGAAATCGCTGAAACCCTAATTTCTCTGAATCAGGGTTCCAATCTTCTCCTCAGCTCTATGAAAAATATTTCCACACCATAAAAACACCATACCGACGATTTTCTGTATGATCTGAGAAACCATGTTCGTTTTCGTCAAAGCAAAGAAAGAAGGCCGAAGATTACGGGGTCTTCGGCCGGGGGGGAGGGAGGGCTAGGAGACGGAGTTCCTCCACCTCCTCTGTCCCTTCCTCGCCGGCGCCGGCGGCGCCGCCGGACCATGGCCGGACCGAGGCTGGTTATCATGGTCCGAGCCGTCCGCCCCCATCTTGGTCAGCCTGCTCAGCTTCTTCCACCCGCTGGTCCAGCCCGAGGAAGGGACAGAGGAGTTCTTGGGGGCCTTCATGGCGGCCTTCTCGAGCTGCCTCTGCAAGCTCTCAACTTCCCCCTGCAACTCGAGGTACTTCACCTTCATCCCCTCCATCTCGAACTTGAGCGAGTTGATGTCCTTCTTCGCCGCCGCCCAGCCCTCCTGGAACGACTGCGGAGTGCCCTCCAGCAGCGCCCTTCTCGCCGGAACCGTCGCCGCCGCTTCGCCGCCGGCGACAGCGCTGCTGAGCTTGACCTGCTCGGAGAAGAGGACCTGGACGACGACGCGCAGGGGGAGGCGCTCGTTCTGCGCGGCGTGCATGCAGGCGTCCATGGAGAGCTTCTGGCAGTCCATGACGCGGCAGAGACGCTTCCTCTCGTGCTCGGAGAGGCCCGGGTGGGCCTTGAGATACGAATCCACCGCCCTGTAAAGGCCGTCATCGGAGGACCTCGCAGTGTCCGGCAGCGCCTCCGCCAGCACCTGGAACTTGGTCGGCGACAGGTTCCTGCCCCTCTCACAGGATCAAGAACAATAATCAGCCATGGCGGAGAGTTGGGAAGAAGAAGGAAGAATCAGCCATGTCGGAGGAGGGGAAGAGTTGAGAAGAGGAAGAATCAACTGAGGAGGAGGAGTTGGGAAGCGTAATGAAGAATCAGCCATGATGGCGGAGGAGGAGATGGGAAGTGGAAGGAAGAATCAGTCATGGCGGAGGAGCAATTGGGTAGAGGAAGGAAGAATCAGCCATGGTGGGGTAGGAAAAGTTGGGAAGAGGAAGGAAGAATCGTAGTCGGGAAAAGGAAGGAAGAATCAGCGATGGCCGAGGAGGAGAGAGGGAGGGGAAGGATTCATCTTGGCCATGCTCACCTGTCTCTGGCAACCTCGGTGAGGTAGCTGTCGAGGAGACGGGCGACCCTGGTCTTGGCGGCGGCGCCGCCGTCGTGCTGCTCCTGGACGAGGAAGTGCTCAACCAGGCGCCGCACCAGGTCCACGTCGTACAGCGTCTCCCCCCCGCCGGCGGTGGCGCTGCCGTAGCAGGGGATGAGCAGGTCCGCCAGCTCCGCCTGCTCCAGCTGCATTCCCACCCTCTTTTCCAGCTCCGTCACCAGCGCCGGCGCCACCCCCAGCATCGTCGCCAGCCGCAGCAGCCGCAGCAGGAACCCGCACGAGACGCTGTCCTTGTGCGGCGGCGTGATGCTGATCAGGCTCTCCACCGTCATCCTCTGCTCCCTCATATTCCCTGCGGCGCCCCCGCCGGCGCCGGAGACGACGATGTGGAGTCCCTCCTCGAGGGCCCCCCCCTCCTTCGCCATCCCTGGGAGCCACTTGCCGGCGTAGAACATGATGGCGGCGCCGACGAGCTCCGGCCGCATCCCCTTCACCTTGATGGCGGTGACCACCCGCACGAAGTGGTCGATCCTCAGCACCGCGACGTCCTCCATCCACCAGTCGGCCGCCGCCGCCTGCCGGCGGCTCCGGCGGGGGCTGCTGTCCGTGGAGTCGCCGGCGGCGGGGCCTGCGCAGGCCTTCCAGGCAATGGACTCGCTGCAGCGGCGGACGATCTGCAGGTTCTCGGCCCATGGCGAGAGGGATTCGCAGGTCTTCAGGACAACAATGGAGTCGCGCCAGGAGGAGAGGACGACGTAGCTGAGAAAGGCCTCGGTCTTGAAGATGAGGTTGCCTTCTTCGAGGTCCTCGGTCATCTCCAGGAACTCGGCGGCGCAGCGGAGGCCGGAGATGTTCCCCGCCGTGAGGTCGACGGCGATGCCGTAGCAGAACTTGGCGGCTAGCTCGAAGGAGGCGGCGCCGCCGGGGAGGTCCTCCAGATCGATGCAACTCAGTTGCTCCGCGTCGCCCCGCCGCTCCTCGTGGAAGATCCTGCTCAGCCTCCCGCTCCTCGACAGAAGGGGATACTTCGCCATGGCCACCAGCGCCACCAGGACAACCACATCAGAGAAGAAATCTGGAGAGAGGATGAATGGTGAAGGCTGGAGAAAGAAGACGGATCGGAGATGGAGATGACGGTAGAGAGAAGAAGAGAGAACGAATTGGAGGTAGTATGGGAGAGAGAGAGAGAGAGAGAGAGAGAAGTCTAGAGAGAAGTTGGTGGAGGCTGGAGGAAGCAGACGGATCGGAGACGAGATGACTGTGCGAGAGGACTGCAGGCAGAGTGAGAGAGAGAGAAAACTAGAGTGAGAATGGTGGAGGCTAGAGGAAGCAGACGGATCGGTGACGGAGATGACTGTAGAGAGAAGAAGAGATAATTGCTGGCAGTACGGGAGAGAGGGAGATAGAGAGAGAGAGGTCTAGAGAGAGAATGGTGGAGGCCGGAGAGAGCAGACGGATCAGAGACGGAGATGACTGTAGAAAGAAGAAGAGATAACTGCAGGCGGTATGGAAGAGAGAGAGGGAGATAGAGATAAGTCTAGAGCGAGATTGGTGGAGGCTAGAGGAAGCAGACGAATCGACGACGGAGATGACAGTAGAGAGGAGAGAACTGCAGACAGAGTGGGAGAGAGGAGAGAGAGAAGTCTAGAGAGAGGGGGAGAGAGCAGTACCTTGTGAAGATGGAAGCTGACGCCGGCAACTCTGACGAGGAGGTCGCTGGGAGCGTCGGTGGCGACGTGCCTGGAAGGAATTGAGTCGCCGGCCATGAACCGAGAAGTGAGATCGGAGCTTCTGAAAGGAGGCCAGGAAGAAGAAGAGAGGGGACATTACCAGGATTGGCCCCTGTGCTCGAAGCCATCGGACTTACTGTCGCCGCCATCGCCCCCTCTCCCGCTCTCGGGCTCCCACATGCCGAAGAATAATGGAAGATGGAAGCTCTCTCTCTCTCTCTCTTTCTCTCTCTCGCTCTCTCGCTCTCTCGCTCTCTGAGCTTACTCCGCTGGCTCCTTCTGTGAAGCTCGCTCTATCATTCCTCTCCCCCAACTCTCCTCTCTCCTCTCAGGTGTCAGCTGCCTCAGTAACTCCTGTCCTCAAGCTCTCTCTCTCTCTCTCTCTCTCTCTCTCTCTCTCTCTCTCAACCACAGAAGATTCTTCCTTTATCGACTCTGCTCTACGCGCTTCCTGTGATCCAGTCTGTCTTCCCTCCACCCTGCGAACATCTCTCTCTCTTTCTCTCCTCTCTCTCTCTCTACTCTCCCATCCATGCCTCCTGGCTCCTCACTCTCTGCATCTCTTTCTTGTCTCAAGACCCATCTCTATCTTCGTTCCATCTGGTTCCTCCACCCTCCACCACTCTCTCTCCCCTCTCCCTCTCTCTACCTCTCTCTATCTCTCTCTCTCTCTACATTTCCCTGGTCTATCCGTCGTCCTGCCACGGTCGTGCCCACCGGCGCACGTGCCGCAACCATGCTGGGTCGGGCATGTGACGTGGGCCAGGACTGTCCATCCTGTCGTCGTCATTCCTCCCCGATGTGACCAGCGCCGGTTGGTGACGTGGCCTGTTCTCAGCCTCACACTGGACACCGTCTCCTTCCGCCCATACCCTTCGGGCCTATAAAGGCCCACGTCTCGCGCTCAACAGCTCATCATCCTTCGGGATGGCCCAAGTAGGTCGTGGGCCGAACGTGCTCTTTTCGTGTTTCTAGTTAGTCTACCAGGCCTGGTTGTGCCACATATCCCCAGTCGGCCCATAAAAGCCCACTAAAACGCCCACGTTCGTCCTCAAAGGCCCATCCTCCATGAGGATGGCCCAAGTGGGCCGTTGCTGGACGTGAGATTCCGTCTTCTAACTATGGTCCACCCAAGGCCCATTGGGCCTCACCCCTATCGGAATGATCTCCCATCAGAATCTTAGCAGAGCCCAACTCCAGGGCAGCCAAACCTTTTACCAGGACATATCTCCTAGTCAAACCTAGGCGGTAAGCCCAAAAGTCAACCAATCAGATTGAGGTGGATCAACCGACTACCTGGGGCCTTGATAATCTCATTTATAGGAAGGAGGGCGTGTCTTTTGCATAAAAAAGAGGGTTTAATCAATCATAATCTTAGATAATTAGTGAAATTATGCATAGATATCATGAAGTATGCCAATTCTAAGCATATTTAGGCAATAAATTAAATATTCTCATTATTTTCATGTCTCTCATCTTTGCGTTACTTTCCCTCTCTAACTCGAATTGTTGACCTTGGTCTCTTTCGGAGTGTGATTTTTTAGTGGGTATATTTTATAGACTTCAATCAAATATTTCATCAACCTTGTAATTTACCACCTACCCAACTCTTTGGATCAAACACGTGGTAAGTTGTGGATATCAGATAATTTCATAACTTCTCATTTCCTTATTTTTTTGATTTTTTAAGGAAATTTTCTTATTAGATTCTAATTACTAGGAGATCAATGGCTAATTTCTCCATATTTAAAGAACCATAAATGAGCAGTAAAAGGACTTTTTTTTCCTCCCAAAATCCTTTTCTTTTTCATTTCTATTGCGGATTCAAGGAATTTAAAGTTTGACCATCTTCGCAAACTTCTGTTGTGTCATAAATTCATACCAAGATGGAGAAAGAGTCAGTAGTGAGTGAGTGAGTGAGAGAGAGAGAGAGAGAGAGAGAGAGAGAGAGAGAGAGAGAGAGGGAGAGGGGGGAGAGAGAGAGGAGAGGGGGGGGGGGGGGGGAGAGAGAGAGGGAGAGGGGGGGGGAGAGAGAGGGAGAGGGGGGAGAGAGAGAGGAAAGAGGAGGAGAGAGAGAGGGAGAGGAGGAGAGAGAGAGGGAGGGAGGAGGAGAGAGAGAGAGGGAGGAGGGAGAGAGAGAGAGAGAGAGAGGGAGAGTGGGGGGGAGAGAGAGGGAGAGGGGGAGAGAGAGGGAGAGAGGAGGAGAGAGAGAGGGAGAGAGGGGGAGAGATAGAGAGAGGGGGGGAGAGAGAGAGAGAGAGAGAGAGAGAGAGAGAGAGAGAGAGAGAGGGAGAGAGAGAGAGAGAGAGAGAGGGGGGAGAGAGAGTGGGAGAGGGGGGAGAGAGAGGGAGAGAGGAGGAGAGAGAGAGGGAGAGGGGGAGAGATAGAGAGAGGGGGAGAGATAGAGAGAGGGGGGGAGAGAGAGAGAGAGAGGGAGAGAGAGAGAGAGGGAGTGGGAGGAGAGAGAGAGAGAGAGAGAGAGGAGGGGGAGAGAGGAGAGGGAGAGAGGAGGAGAGAGAGAGAGAGAGAGAGAGAGTGGGAGAGAGAGAGAGAGAGAGAGAGGGAGAGAGGAGGAGAGAGAGAGAGAGAGAGAGAGAGAGAGAGAGAGAGGAGAGGAGGAGAGAGAGGGAGAGAGGAGGAGAGAGAGAGAGAGAGAGAGAGAGAGAGAGAGGAGGAGAGAGAGAGAGAGAGAGAGAGAGAGAGATGTGGGCTGGTAAGCAGGAGCTTCCTCTTTATTAACATCAAGGCCAAGACCAGGGCTCGGAACAACCCCACACCACCCATTCTGTAACTAAACTCACCTTCTCCCGTAGACCCAGATACTTGCAACCGATACAGACAAAGTACCTAAAAATGATTATTGAAGGCAAGTAATCTACTGGGAGATCTTCCTTCTGTTGCTGTACATGACCTAATAACGCAGAGTTTCTGGGCATATATATCAAGATCCAGTAGTCCATTGCTATGCATAGATGATTACTATTAATAGGTTTACCTTACCGAGTTGAGCAGCGCTAAGTATTCAGCTATGGCCTCGCCCTCCTCTTGAACTTCGATATCATAGTCCACTAGACTATCTCCGGTTATCTGACCAGCAATCTCATTCTCCATCTCCTCATCTCTTGCTTCCTCTTCAGCGATGAACTCTTGTAGCATATCATCCTCGGCTCTGGATGAGCTGCTGGCCTCGGGCAGATTGCTGTCTCTGGACGATGCGGCGTTCTGATCTGGATTGGTTGTTGCCGCCTCCTCTTGGGAAGCTGATCTCGGAACAAGATCGGCCTCTGCCCCAAAAAGGAAACAAACAGCAAAGAGTGGGTTGTTTTGACTGTACTCATGAATGCCAAAAATGGGTGCAGAAATCTATAAGAAATGCCGGCATCTATGTATAAACAGTTCGGTTCGGAAGTGTCTTGATCCATAGAGGAAGCTGGCCTTATCTTCTCAGGGATGACAGAGAAAATGGGTGGGCACGGATCTAGAGAGAGAGAGGTTGGAATTGGCAAGCTAAAGGAAATACATTCTTCGTACCTTCGCGGTTTATCCGTGAAGCTCTTCGTTGCCTTCGTCTCTCAACATGCAGCTGCAGGAGCAGATATGAGAAAGGCGATCTGATCTGTACATGAATCACACAATGAGAGGAATCGATCGAGAACCTGCAGTTCAGAATTCTTTTCTGGGTTGGTCAGATCGTCCAGGGCCTTCTGGGTGTCGTTCTCGTTAACTCGGAGTGCTTCTGCTGCGAGAGTTCTCTCGAAACTGCAATAAATGATCAAATCGTGTTTAATTTCCACATATGAGAAAGGAAAGAGAGAAGAAGACAGCAAAGGGAGCTCATGTCCGCCCATTTAAATCTATATCCTATCTTTAGGCCATTTAGTATAGTTAGCAAAGTGGGCACGTTTACATGGTTGTGCTTGTACTATTTTAGCATGCAAAGCACAAGATTATTACCATAATAAGATTAGTAACGAACTCTAAGATCCAAGAAGGAAATTTTCAAAGAGGTTCTAATTGGGCATGGCACTAAAGATCTAGATCAGTTCAGGTAAGACTAGAGACTTAGTGAGAAGGTAGATTTCGTTTGGTAGACTCTTTTTACGAAAGAAGTCTGGTTTGTAAGCATTTCTGTAGATATACTGGGAACATGACAACAAGGAAGAACAGCACTTTCGTCAGCATATAAGTAGAGAAAAAAAGTTATTAACCAAGGACAATTAAACGCAGGAACAGAGGGAAAATATGGATCCTACGGATATCGAGATCTGGGTAAGATCCCTGAAGACAGAGAAAGAGCGATAACAATGAAGGTATAAAGTTTTTTGCATTGCTCTCGAAGTTCAACAGTCCATAACTAGTAGAATTAGCAAGGTCATATTTACCTTCAACCGATCACCAAGAAAACCCTCTTTTGTGGTTCCTACATTGACCTGATTTTATCGCATGGAGAACAAGAAAATAACCTCTCCTTCCTCTTTTAGGATGGGTAACACCTAGAAGGGCAGACCACCTACGGCCAGCATCACCATTCAGTAATTTAGCTATGCGCGGATTTGGGCACGTATTCTCCATCTCTCAATACAAGCACTATGATCCAATTTCTGGCATGAGATTTCTCACATTGAAAACTGACAAAGACTCTAAGTGTAGAACGCTTTAGCAAAGAGGATTCCATCCAATTTCATGGCCTGGAAATCAGGCATATACATGTATAAGCCAATGCTTCTGCGGACTTTGAATCAATTCATGAATAACTCGTTAATGGTATTACCGTTCCAAAAATCATCTTTGCTTAAAGTATATTCATCTCAAATTTTGTGCATGACGCATTTTTTTAACGATGGTTAGTGGAGTTCAACGTATCCTTCTTCACTTGTGGCCTTCTGTACACTTCTCTGAAATGTTTTGAAGCAAACTGATTGCAAGTTTAGTCGTAATATTCTAACTCTGCTTACCCAATTGACTCTAGTACTTTCAACTGCTGGAGGTCGACTGCCTTCTTTTGTGGAGTCATTCCATACATTTTCTGCTCCCTGGAAGAATGTTTAAACCGTTTACTTAAACAAGAAAAAGAAACTGTTCACTAAAATAAATTAAAAAATGGCTTACATGATTTCAGCCTGCCGCAGCATGTTCTCTTGACGTCTACGGATTTTTCTTTCTTTCTCCTCCTCAAGTAAATCCAATGCACTCTGAATATCTTGACTAGACATTCTCAATGCCCTTTTTGATTCTTGTTCTTTGTAACCCATGCCCATCAGAAGTGAAAAGGCTTCATCAGGAACTTGAAGCTGGGACATCAGTTGGACATTATTCAGAAAAAAAAATTAAAAACTAAAGAAGCCTTGAGAGAAAGCGACAGTAACTACATTCAATTTCATACTAAATCCAATCCCGGGGAACCTTTGAATATCTAGCTTGTGCGGAGGTTAATGACACTCGAGACTGCCCAAAATGCCCATTGTGATAAGCTACAACTCCTTCTAAGAGCTCCAACCTTAAGTATCTGCAAAAAAAAATAAAACATCGCTTAAAAAAAAAAAAACAAAGAATAGCATTTCTTTTTCTAAAGACTCCATGGAACATGAGCAGAGAGCACAAAGAATAAACTACGAAAAATATATGGCCAAAATCAAAAAAGACAAACGGGAGTTTGGAGTCTAAGATTGAGCCTTACATCGCCGCCTCCACATGCCGACCTGATTGAAGGAGCAGCATACGAGTAGAGTCTTTACCATGAGAATGTTCGAATCCCTTTCTAGCTTTTGCAAGCCGCAATCCCGCCATTGATAATAAAGAGATATCACGTCGCATGAAGTAACACCAAACAATATCTATCTCAAGTATTGGCACATTGTCGACCATCTGGAGGTTTAATAATTCAATCCTTAGCCACATAATCATTGTGTGAATGAAAAGTTATGTATGGGAGACAAAGGATGTGTTTTGGCTCTCCTTTCAACTGAAATCTCTATCAGGTTACCACAGTTATCTGAAAAATTATTTTAAATGGAATGCTAGACTTCACATGCTATATAGGGTAATGATGAAGGCATTGGCTGATATGTAGTTGTAAGGCTGGTGGAATTTATTGATCCTATGCATTTCCTATGTTGGAGATGGAAGCCCGGAGTGGCCCATGATGTGAAAGACTTGCCAAACACATTCCAAGATCATAGATGTACCTGAATAACCTTTGGGTTGCAAAGAGAGAAAGCCTCCTGAAAGAGAGATGCAGATTTATAAACGTATATTACACAATAGCGACAAAATTCAGTGAACGCTGTACTCGCTTAGACCTGTGACTCTTGTGTGACCGGGTAGAAATGATAACGACATAATTACCAACCTCCGCCATGAGCAAAACATCCAAAGCATCTCCATAATTTTTCAGCTTCATAAGCTTCTTGCCATTTGCATGTAGCATGAGCCCCATCATCACTGCCCTGCCGTTGGGGGAAATTCTTAAGATCCAAAACACGACCAAGGAATACAGAAAGATTCGACAGAGATACAAACACACAGCGATAAAGACTAGTACCGTTGATCAGTCTCAGTTCCAAGCATGACCTTCTCTCCCGCCTGGTTCTCGAGCTCTATATGGTAGTCCTCTGGCGGAAGGGAGCCTTCCGCATGACTCCGGGACAGCTTCTCTGCTGCAGCACTGTCAAGGTTTACGTCATGTCAGGCCCCTCTCACCCCTACGTAAATAATTCCTCGATGTATATATATGCATATATCTCCGATCAACTTCTACAAAAACAGACGATTGTGCTCGAAATTAAAGCATATAAACATAATAGATCATCGCAGAAAAGTTTATTTCACAATGAGGTTTCCGAAAATTAGATGAAATTACTGCGTACGGTCTCATAGATTTCGAAATCTCACCGAATCCTATTTAAGCGTCGCGAGCGCTCAGCCTCAGATACCTCCTCCTGGGCCGCCAAGGCCTCCGCCGCGGCCGCCCGGTCTCTCTCTTCGGCGGGGGCAGCAGCCGAGGCAAGAATCTTGGAATTGTTCTTCAGACCAAGCTGCAGAAGGCTCTTCCTCTCCTCGCATCGGCCGTCGTCCCGAAGGACCTTCCCGCCGCTGATCAGATTAATGTACTCCGGCGGGTGCCGTCCCCCGGACCTCCTCGAGATCTCCTCCCTGAGCGCATCCAGCGTCCATGAATCCAGCGGCACTTCCTCCAGAGCGCCGCACCAGATCCCTGCAACCCTCAACTTCCCCGGAGCTTTCTCCGGTTCCATGGCCAGAGAGAAAGAAGGAAGACTTCGAGGAGAGAAGGTATTTTTGGAAGATCGCGTATACCATTGATCAGATTACAGCATTAAAGTCAGAGAGAAGACGGAAGGAACCCCGTCACCTGATGACGTCATGGAATCAGGTTTAGCAACTCTCTGGCCTTGTACGATGCCATATTGTCTTATTATAATTTATTTATTTCTTTTTATGATGGTAATTTTGGAAATCTGGTGACCTATATAAGATATCCTTTAAAAAATAAAAAAAATATGGCCTTCTTCAAGGAGCATATTTTCTTCTAATGGTTGATTCCTTCACTTAGTTATTACAATGTTGACCTAAATGCAGTGCTATATGAATACCGTATTGTCGTATGATAACTCATTTTTACATTTATTATTATTATTATTATTATTTATTATATTAGGAAATGAATTATCTGTGTCTAGAGTCAATGCTGGCATCTAGAGTAAGGATTGTATGAGGAGTGGTCTTCATAGCCGCAAGTCTTGGCCCGAAGGGATTCTACGATCACCGATGGTAGATGGACCTTCTTCGTGCCTCATGGCCTAGAGTTACTGATGTCATCACACGTCATATGCTCAATAATCTTATGAATAGTTATTAACTCACGGCCTAGGTGCAGGTTATTACTTTTTGTGATATATTTTATAAAATAAAAGTAAGAATTTCATCCACCTTGTAATTTACAACCTACCCAACTCTTGTGCCTTGAAAAAGTCAAAGCCTAGAATACCCAATAGACTCAAAAAGTGGCAATGTGTAGACATCATCTATTTCTAGTAATTTTTCTTATCGTATTGTTATTCTCCCTATTTAAATAGCCATAAATGAGCAGTAGAAGGACTTTTTTTTTCATCCCAAACTCTTTTTCCTTTTCAAGGCATAACTTATGTCTTTTCCTTGTTGGAGCTAAAGCTTGACCATCTTCACAGAGGAAGAGAGAGAGAGAGAGAGAGAGAGACAGCGAGAGAGAGAGAGAGAGCAGCAAGACCCACCCTGTAACTAAACTCACCTCCCCCCCTGAACTCAGATACTTACAACCGAGACAGATAAAAAGAATCAAACAATGATTGTTGAAGGCTGGTATTTGCAGAGTTGTAGTGTTGTTATGAAGAGACGACTACTCTATTCAAGAGGGGGGGGTGGGGGGTTACCTGGCGGAGTCGAGCAGCGCAAAGTATTCGGTTATGGCCTCGCCATCCTCGTCAACTTTGAAATCATGGTTCTCTAACCTATCTCCGGTTATCGCACAAGATATCCCACGCTCCATCTCTATATCTCTTGCATCCTCTATATCGATGAAGTCTTGCAGCACATCCTCGTAGGGTCTCGACGAGCTGCTGCCCTTGGACAGATCTGGATTGGTTGTTCCCTCCTCCTCCTGCTCCTCCTCTTGGGAAGATGAACTTTGAAGAAGATCCTCCTCCTCTGCCCCCCAAAAAAGGAAACAAACAGCAAAGAGCGGGTTGTTTTAACCATGAATGAGAGGTTGACCCTGTGTTCTGAGAAATGCCACCATCTATAAATAGATCCGAGTGGAAACCAGGTGGCGGTTTGGTGGTTTTTATTAATGTCTATCTTGGCCGGAATTGAGAAATTAAAGGAAATACCTTCTTCGTACCTTTCCGTTTTTTCCTTGAAAGTCTTCGTTGTATTCGTCTCTCAGCACCCAGCTGCAAGAGCAGATATGAGCAAAAGGCATCCCCCCTTTTTAATCTGAAGGAGATCTCTGCATAAATCGCATGACGAGAGGAATCAACAGAGAACCTGCAGTTTAAAATTTTTCTCTGGGTCGGTCAGGTCGTCCAGGGTCTTCTGGGCGTGGTTCTCGTTGACACGGAGTGCTTCGGCTGCGAGACTCCTCTCGAAACTGTAATAGTTAATTAAATCGTACTTAATCTCCTCATATGAGAAAGGAAAAAGGGAAGAACTAGTCCAGACAATCCACCAACTGTTCTGTTTTCTGCAGAGATGTCTTCTCAGTCTTCACTCTGTGGTGGTGCTTGTACTGTGTTAGCATTCAGTGCACAAGTTTATTTAGCATGACAAGAGTAGTAACGAACTCTAGCATGGATAATGTTTATTTACCATAAGAAGAAAATTCTCAAAGAAAGTTTCAAATTGGGCATGGGAACCTTGACCAATGTCTGCAACAAATGTATGTCAAAACTCAGCCAGCAAACTGTAGACTTAGTAAGAAGGTAGATTCAGTTTAGTAGACTCTTTCTAGGCATCAAGTCTGGTCAGTAAACGTCTCTTTAGATATACTCAAGAATGATAACTAGGCTTCACGAAAAGAAAAGAAATTTTCCAGCACATAAATAGAGAAAATAAATTAACCAAGGACAAAAAAAAAAAATTGGAACTGGGGGAAAACAAGGATCCTACAGATTCATCATCTGGGCAAGCTCCCTAAGGCAGTTTATGAATATGAGAATGAAGTAAGATAGTGGTTCCTGCATTGCGCTTGAAGCTCACAGTCAACCCTTATAACTAGCAAGCTCAAATCTACCTTCAACCAAACACCAAACTATCATGACATTGTAGCACCAAGAAAACCACTTTCTTTTTTTTTTTTGGAGACTCTAAGGTCAACGTTTTTTAAGCTGCGAAGGATAATCACGGATAGCACTAGGTAAAACATAGACGGCGGACCACCTACGACCCACATCACCTTTTCAGTAATTCAGCTCTGGGAAGATTTGAATGTCGCAAGACAAGAACTATGATCAACTGAGTAGTATGCAATGAGATTTTTCACATTGAAAACTGAGAAAACTCTCTGCGGAACACTCTAGAAAGAGGATTCCGTCCAATTTCATGGCCTGGAAAAATCAGGAATATATACATATATAAGCCAATGCTTATGCAGAAGACTTTGAATCAACTCATGAATAACTCGTCAATGGTCTTAACGTATCCTTCTTCATTTGTGGCCTTCTGAACGCTTCTTTGAAATGTTTTGAGGATCATCACTAGTTTAGTCTGCTTACCCAATTGACTCCAGTACTTTCAGATGTTGGAGGTTGACTGGCTTCCTTCTTGGACTCATTCCATACCATTTCAGCTCGCTGGATGGATGTTTAAACCGTTAACTTAAACAAGAAAAAGACTATTAGTTAAAATAGATAAAAAAATGGCTTACCTGAGCTTATCCATCCACACCCGGGTCTCTTGCGACCTACGTTTGAATCTCTCTCTTTCCTCCTCAATAAAATCCAATGCACAATGAATGTCTTGATTAGACATTCGCAATGCCTTGTCTACTTCTTTTTGTTCGTAGCCCATGCCAACCAGCAGCCAAAAGGGTTCTCTTGGAACTTTAAGCTGAGACATCATTCGGACATGATTCAGATCTAAAAAAACACTAAAGAAGCTACAATTCTCGTTCTGAATCTAATCCCTGCGAACCTTTGAATATCTAGCTCGTGCGGAGGTTAATGACAATCGAGACTGTTCAAATAGACCATTGTGATAAGCTACAATTCCTTCTAAGAGCTCCAGTCTCAAGTATCTGAAAAGCAAAATGAAACATCGTTAAAATAAATAAATCAATATATATATATATATTATTCCTTTTAAAAGACTACCTTAGGCATACAAACAGAGAGCGCAAAGAATAATAAATTTACAACAAATATAAGACCAAAATCGAAAAAGACAAACGGGAGATTGGAGTTAAGATTGTGCCTTACGTTGCCGCCTCCATGTTGGGACCTGATGGGAGCAGAAGTATACGAGTAGGGTCTACACCATGTTCGAGTCGCTTTCTAGCTTTTGCAAGCCGTATTCCGGCCCATGATAATAAAGAGATATGACGTAGCTTGAAGTAACACTAAACAATATCTATCTCAAGTATTGACACATTGTCGATCATCTGGAGGTGTAATAATTTAATCCTTAGACACATAATCATTATGCGAAGAAATAGTTCAAAGTGGGAGACAAAGGATGTGCTTTGGCTCTCTTTTCAACTGAAATCGCTCTCAGTCTATCACAATGACTTGACATGGAATGTTAGACTTCACATGTCATTTATCTAACCTTTTGCTTCCAAACGAAATGTCCATATGGGAACTTCCTTCCATTGAAATAAAATAGGGTAATGAAGACATTGGCTGATATATTGTGGCGAAGTTGGTGGAATCTATTGATCCTATATATTTCCTATGTTGGAGATGGAAGCCCGGACTGGCCCACGACGTGAACGACTTGCCAAACACATTCCAAAATGATGGATTTACCTGAATAACCTTTGGGTTGCATAGAGAGTAAACCTGCTGAAAGAGAGAGAGATGCAGATTCATAAACATATGTTACACAATAATGAAAAAATATCAGTGAACGCTCTACTCTCTTAGAGAGTAATAACTAACTGACCGTCAGTGATACATTTACACTACACTTACTTTATATGTGTCTCTTCTGTGACCGGCTAGAAATGATAACGACATCTTACCAACCTCGGCCATGAGCAAAACATCCAAAGCATCTCTGTAGCTTTTAGATTCTAGTATCTGCTTGCCATTTGCATGCAGCATGATCCCGAACAGTACTGCCCTGCTATTGGGGAAATTCTTAAGATCCAATATACGGCTAAAATGATTCGAGAGATATACAAACAGATAGCAATAACGACCAGTACCGTTCATCAGTCTTGGTTCCGAGAATGACCTTCTCTCCTGTCTGGTTCTTGAGCTCTATATGGTAGTTCTCTAGAGAGTCATACGCACCCCTCCGGGACAGCCTCTCTGCTGCACCACTGTCAAGGTTTACGTCGTGTCAGGCCCCTCCCACCCCACATAAATAAATCCTCGATGCGTATCAACTTCTGCATAAACACTGATGATTGTCCGGGAAATTAAACGTATAAAAATAATAGATCATCATATAAAAGTTTCAGATGGAGGTTTCCGAAACCTCACCGGGTCCTGTACAACCATTCCAAGCGCTCGGCCTCAAAGGTCGGCTCGTCAGCCACCCTGGCCTCCTCCTCCTCCACCTCGTTTCTCTCCTCCTCGGAAGCAGCAGCCGAGGCAAGAATCTTAGAGTTGTTCTTCAGACCAAGCCGCAGAAGGGTTTTCTTCTCCTTGCATCGGCGCTCGTCCCGAAGGACCTTCCCCCCACTGATCAGATTAATGCACTCCGGCGGGTGCCGTCCCTTGCACCTCCTCGAGATCTCTTCCCTAAGCGCATCCAGCGTCCATGACTCCAGTGGCACTTCCTCCAGAGCCCCGCACCAGATCCCTGCCACCCTCAACTTCGCCGGAGCTTTCTCCGGTTCCATTACCCGAAAGGAAGAAGAAAAACATCGAGAAGGTTGTCAGCAAGATTGCAAGATTCCGGTTATATATACTGGATCAGATTCAGGTATTAAAGTTAGAGAGAAGATGGAGCCCCCCACTCTTCTGATGACGTCATGCATTTTTAACTTGTCATTACCATGGCATCCTGTTTTTAGCAAAAATGAGTCCAAAAATGAGCACTGCATTATATTAATAAAATAAAATTCCGTGGCCTTTTGCATTATATTAGCCAACTAATTTGAGATTATCCATTTTAGTTTTTTAATAACATTTTATTTAAATAAAAGCTTATGCTTGAAAAAGATTGGTCTAAAGGTACCAAAGCCTTCTTCAAGATTGTAGAAGTTAGTGCCATCCATGATGATCAACACATTTATTATAACTAAAAAAATAAAAATTAATCACATAAATTTCGTTGATACTTAAGTGTGTGAAACTAAAGTTTTTTGGTGTTTTGCATTATATTAATCAACTAATTCGAGATTATTATTTTTTAATTATTTAAATAAAAGTTTAAGCTTGAGAAAGATGGGTTTACAGCCTTCTTCAAGATTGTTGTCGAACTTAGGTCTCTCCATGATGATTAATACATTTATTATAACTAAAATATTAATAGTTAATTAGAGTGCCAAGGTATTTTTTTGTCTTTTGTGCCCTTTTAGTCCATTAATTCGAGATTGACTTTATGTAATTTTTTATATATGTCCAAATAAAAAAGCTTTAATTCTTAGAAAATTCTTAGAAAATTGGTAAAAAGTCCTCCATGTCCTCGGCATTTTCTTTCCCACCACCTTCACAACGAAATTCCGAACCGGCTTTAGGGAGAATTTTTGTAGTTGCCCTAAATAACAATTATGGTACATAGTGGGGCATAAATACAACATAACCAATTCCTCTTCTAGCCTGTTTTGCCGCTCTTGTCGGTTTGGGTTCGGGTTATCGGGCAAGGGGGATGACGCCCAGCATTGACTGAGCCAGGAAGAATTTTTGAGGTTGACCTCTAACTTTCCAGCCGACCTCATTTAAAGGGCCATCGGATGGAGGGGTATTTTGGAAAATAAGTTCCTTCATGAGGCTAACTAGACTACATACTTGTCGGGCTTCTGTAGTATTCTCATTAATGCAACCAGTTTATTTAAATAAGAAAATAAGTTTTATTATAGAGAAATTTAAATGTTTTTTAAATAATTCATTAGAAAAAAATAAAATTACCATTTTTTTTTACTATTTATAGAGTTGACATTAAAATATGTCGTGTTCATCATTGGATCCAACTATCATTCCGTATAGTTCTATAAATATCAATAGAAAAGACCAAATAAACCCATCAACATTTACAAGAAAACGTAAATATTTTCCAAATAAAACTTTATCTAAGAGTAAATGAGACAAATATTCACACATTTTAAGTCATATTTACAAATATTTCTAGTTATGGATATAAAGTATTGTACGAAATAGTGAAGGTCAAAGTTTGTCATTTACCTTGATAATAACATCACTTCAAGAATATATGGCTGGCAATAAATCACTTCAAACAAACTTGGAATAGATTTAGGGGTTTCAAGATAATGATGAGACCCAGGTTTGACTAGCTAACAAAGTCAAATTGAGATTTTAAAAGTCAATTGTTTGTTTCGAGATAGGTTTCATGAATTGAGGCACTATCGTCTTACTATTTTAGGGCATTTTGGTTGACCTATGCAATGCAAAGCTAAAGTTGCAATGATTTGAGGTGCATCTTATTGTCCCATATTAACTCGTATAATTATTATATATGTAAATAAAAAATAACTGATTTTTTATTCAAAGAAATTTTATAAATAGACGAAGATGTTAAAATAATTAGACGATTTAACTCAAGATCCGTTGCAACTATTTACGACTTTATTAATCTAATAATCAATAAAATTGGCTATTTTAGTGTTTATAATTTACAATGAGGGACTATTATAATATACTTTGTTTTAGATGACACGATCACCGTAGTAGAAAATTTTCAGCGGGGTGACGTGGCAGGATATAATGGTATACGTGGGTTTTCTGCGTGGAACCGATTTGGGGCCCACAAAATCCCAGTAATAAATGGATCTGAGCTTCTGATGGGTCAAGCTCACGTATCCAACTGGAAAACGTGGGGTTTTTATAAAATGAAAAAGTTTAGGGGTCTATGACAAAAAAATGCCAGTTGTCGTCGTCACTCATGGACAAGTGGCGGCTCACATGGCGATATCAGCCACCTGCGCTTTCCTCCTGCTGGAGTACGTTGAAGAAGAATAGGACAGATGGGAGGCCAATCCGTGACCGATGCCGGAGATGTTCCAATAGTGATAGTACTGGAAAGTCAAGCAGGGGAGCTGGTGGAGAGGATTGGGGGGCAGGGGAGCCCTTAAACTCATAGGCCCGGAGGTGGGCTTTCCACAGAGATAATGGCGCATTGATTGAGGTCTTCGTCTTTCACATACCAACATTGATGGAAACCCACTTATCTGTGTAGGCCAAGGAGAAAACAGAGCTCTGGGTTCCCTCCGGCGGCCGGGAGGGGGTTAGCAGACCTCCCTCCGACGGTCCGTTTTCCGGAGAAAAGGCAAACGGGAGATCCTGCGCCGGGAGGCTCCCCTCACAATTGGGAGCAGAGCTTGGAAGGCTCCTGGATGAGCTGAGAGCTGTGAGGAACAGGTGAAGGTGGTCTTCTTGCCATTTTAATGTACGTTCCTTTCTCGGTTGTCGCTAAATTAGCTCCAGTTTTGCAATCTCCTCGTCGTTTTCTCAAATCTTCTGCCATGAAGAAGGAGAGGAACATAATCTTCGTTCCCTTTTCTTGGGTTGGCGTTGCCCGATTTTGCTTCAATCTCCGGAGCTGAGAAATTCGGTTCCTAGAACTGTACGAAACAAAGGAGGAGAGAGAGAGAGAGAGAGAGAGAGAGAGAGAGAGAGAGAGAGAGAGAGAGAGAGAGAGATCATACACGTGCCCATGAGATCTTCGGTGTGGTGGAATGATCTCCTCTGTTGCTTGGATCTCACTGCTTCTTGGATTGTCTTCGAGAGAAAGCAATAAAAGCTACTATCTTTTTCTGTTGCAGATAAAGCCAACGCTTGAGGTTCACTCTTCTCTCTTTCTCCTCCGCATAGCAGCATCAACATAACTATTCGTTGCTTTTTCGAAAAATGGCGACCGCGTTCCTTTTACTGAGAATACCTTCAATGATTCTTCTGTCTGGTTCAGTTCCTAGCCTCAACCATGGGCTCCTGGCTGCTCCTGCTCCTCTTCTTCCACTCCCTCCCTTTGACTTTGGCCGGTGGAAGTCAAACCGCCACGATCACAGTCAACGCGTCCTCGACTGTGGCGGAGACTGATGATAATTTCGTCTGTGCCACCCTTGATTGGTGGCCTCCCGAGAAGTGCAACTACGACCAGTGCCCATGGGGCATGGCTTCTGTGTTTAACCTGGTAAGGTTTCCCCTCATTCATCGAACAGAGTATGTCAAGCGCCAGATTAATGTCAGGCTCTCATGCTTTCTGGTTGTTCTCAGGATCTACAGAATCCCCTCCTGGCGAAGGCCATCCGAGGTATGTTTAGGATCATACGTGGTGATCCCATATTTTAACCATTTAATGAAATTTAAAATATTTCAGTGCATGGTGGGTTCGTGTGTAAAAAGAAATTTTAAATTTAATGTTTTTAAAATATTTTGTAATGCGGCAGAGATATTATAGAAGACGTGGGAGGTGGTAGCAGTTGAAGCTTTCTTTCTGTATGTTTTCTTAGGATAATTTTTTTTTAAAAATTATGAGAAGTAATTATGTGGCTGATGGTTCAGATCAGAAACAGGTTTCTGTTTGTAGATTTCGTTTTGATGTTTCATACGCATGCAATTTCTAGAATTTATTTATTTTAAAATAAAATTTTAGTATCACATACAGAGGACCTCGGAGATGTAAACAATTAATGTTTTCTAAAAAAAAAAATATTCTCGATAACATTATTATAATCAAATTATTAATGCCTACTTGGACAAATGTCCAGATTAGGAACAGTTTCTATTCATAGAAACCTTTGAATTCCTGGTGGGCTGTTTTCATTCTATCTGTGCGTGGTGCAGCCTTCAATCCCTTGAGGATAAGAATCGGTGGCTCTCTGCAAGACCAGCTGGTTTATGAGGAGCCAAGCATGGGCTATCCATGCCGCCCATTCGAGAAGCAGGCAGATGGGATGTTTGGGTTCTCCACAGGATGTTTGAGCAGGGCGAAGTGGGACGAGCTCAACCTCCTATTTATGAACACTGGGTATGTGTGAGAGCTATCACATAAATGATTTTATTGTCGACATGGAAACTATTACATCATACGAAAAATCATGAGGATTTTATTATCTGAAAAATAAACAAAACTAGATAGATTTTTAGAATTTGAAGAAATCAGATTCAACCCAGATAGGATATAATTAATAAATTTCCTGAGAGATAAATTAGCTATGAGAATGAGCAAAGGTGGATAGAATTTCAGATGAATGACTTTATAGATCTTTATGGCTGACCTATTTTACTATTTTAATGGATACCTGATAGATTCAGAAGACTCCATCGGCTTTTCTTCATTTTCAATAAAAATATGAGCCATTTTTGTGGTTTAAACTGGGTCAAAGAACACTTGGCCAGCCATGAAGATTCAATGAATGAAAACTGAATATAAACTCTTAAAATCGGGGTATCAGAGAACTCTAGACTAAACCGGAATGAATTTTTTTTGAAAATTTCCTGAAAATCAGGTGTAGAATATGTGATTTTCAATAAATATCAGATGAATCAAAACCATGTAACCAAACCATCACGAAGTTGGTTTTCATTTTTTGTCGAACCATGATCTGAATGCTATCAAATATTAATTATAATAAGTTTTTATTTCTGTATTTTGGTCTCAACTCGCACTATCTCCCTTCTTCTCTCTTGCTCAGAGTGATTGTCACATTTGGCCTAAATGCACTGCATGGGAGACACCAAACGCGCAGTGGTGTTTGGGCTGGTCCCTGGAACTCGAGCAATGCCCGTGCCTTCATGGAATACACAGCTTCAAAGGGATATCCAGTCGACTCTTGGGAACTCGGTAGCCTCACTCAACCTTTCTTTTTTTTTTTTTCTCTATTCATGTACAAGGCCATATTTTCATATTATAATCTCTTTAATTATTTTTATGATGGTAATTTTGGAAATCTGGTAACCTCTACATAGTATCCTTTTTTTATTTTTTATTTTTTTCCTGTTCTTCTTCAAAGAGCATATTGTATTATAATGATTGATTCCTTTCATTTATTTATTAAAATCTTGTTGTCAGATGATAGCCCATTTTCACACATTATAATTATATTAGGAAACGAGCTATCTGGGTCTGGAGTTGGGGCGAGGGTCAACGCTGGCGTCTATGGGAAGGACCTGATCAAACTGAAAGGAACTGTGAAGGAATTGTATGAGGGGTGGTCTTCGCAGCCTCTAGTCTTGGCCCCAGGGGGATTCTTTGATCACCAATGGTATATGGACCTTCTTCGTGCTTCAGGACCTGGAGTTGCTGATGTCATCACACATCATATATACAACCTGGGCGCAGGTTAGTAATTTTATCAATTTTCATAATTTTATGAGAAAAACCCGTTGACTTCACCCAGAAATACTCAATTTTTATTCCTGTTATAGCAAATATTGAATTGCCTCTTTAAAGAATCCTCGGTCTTTTTGTTCTTTCCAGGTAACGATCCTCAGGTTATTAATAGGATCCTGGATCCCCAGTACCTGAGCCGGATAACCTCCACATTCCAAGATCTCCGGACCCTGGTCCAGAAGGACGGGCCATGGGCTTCCACCTGGATCAGCGAGTCCGGTGGGGCCTACAACAGCGGCGGCCGTCTAATCTCTGACACCTTCTTAGACAGCTTCTGGTCTGCGTCTCTCTCTCGTGTCATTACTGCCTGCGCTTTTCTGGCATTCTTGAATCCCCACTGCCACTGTCTTTCTCATGATCCAGGTACTTAGACCAGATGGGTATGGCTGCCAAGCACAGTACCAGGTGCTATTGCAGGCAGAGTTTGATTGGCGGCAATTATGGGCTCCTTGACCTCAACACCTTCATCCCAAACCCTGATTATTATGGGTAAACCAGTCCCTCCCCAAAAAGTCCGCTTAAAATTGATGGATTGCGCCAATTATGATATTATTTGCATCAAAATGGCTTCTTCTCTTCTCCAGCGCCCTGTTGTGGCATCGGCTGATGGGGAGGGGCGTTCTAGAGGTCAACCTCACAGGCTCGCCCTTCCTGCGGGCCTATGCCCACTGCACCAAGAACAGGGTTTGGCTTCTGGCTTCTCTTCCTCCTCCTCCTCCTCCCTTGGACTCTTGCAGGAAAATGGTTAATTTGCGTTGGAATATGTATCAAGGTTGATGGGTGACGGGGGGTTGACTTTTGATTGGGTCTTCTGCAGGGGGGACTCTCCCTGCTCTTCATCAACCTCAGCAACAGCACTGATTTCATCGTCGACGGCGACGGCCACCTGTTCTCCGGCGTTGTTAGGGACAGCGCTCTGATGCACGGGCTCAAGAGCGCGGTGGCCTGGATCGGGAGGGAGGCCTCGGAAGGTGGCGGCGCCGCCGCCGGCGGCTGCCGGGAGGAGTACCACCTCACCGGGAAGGATGGCCGCCCCCGGAGCAAGACGGTGCTGCTGAACGGTGTCCCCCTGGAGCTCACCGCCGGCGGAGATATCCCCGCCATGGATCCTCTGCTGGTTCCTCGGCAGTCCCCAATCCGGATCATGCCCCTCTCCGTTGCCTTCGTCGTCTTCCCCTACTTCCACGCCCCTCCCTGCTGCGCATGAACCCTTCTGCTCCCGACAACAATCAGAACAATACTCTCTCTCTCTCTCTCTCTCTCTCTAAGTCTAAGTTAATGAGCATATGTTGGAGCCGGTCGCCGCTTGCGGAAGAGAGCAGCCACATCTCATTGTTGCAGACGTAGGAGGCCATCCTCTCCCTCTTCACTGCCCCTTCCCTTCATCAAGAGGGCTGACCAGCCAGTAGGGTATGGAGGTGACGGTGCGGCTGATGGCGAGCCAGATCGCGCCGAAACCGGCTGATGACGGGCGGCGCCGACAAGGAGGATGCCCCATGGGGGTATCCGGTTGCAGAAGACCCCAGGGAGCACACCGATGTTCTCACCGACGCCATTGGCAACTCCGAGGATGGTGAGCTGCTGCTGCGTCAGTCCCAGGGCCGACTTGAGGGCAGGAGAGTAGAGAGGGAAGGTGTAGCCGCATCCCGCTGCCATCTGAACCCACACCGCCGCCCCCAGCCCCACCCACGGCGGCCGAGAGCCGTTCTTCACCGCCATCGCCGGCATCTTTCCCCCACCAATCGGCCTGCAGAACTTCACGCAGTGAATAGGGCAGGGGATGGTCCAATGGAGAGCGCTGCAGTGCTCGAAGCTCGTTTCCGCTAAGGGTATCGAATAGCAGTGGCAGTTCCCCGCGTGTGAGAATGACCCGACGGACCTCTCTTTAGGTGACGCGTGTCCTTTTAGCGGGCGCCAAATGCAGTGAATGATATGCTTGGTGAACTACGCTGCCGCCAACCTTTGCCACCTGAAGGGTTAAGCAGATGCCACGTTTGGAGACGAAAATGGGCCGGTAGGCTATTATCCATCTTCCATCACGCTATCACTGGTTCGGCCCAAAATGAGATGGAGCAAGCGGGTCGGCCCAAACTCCTGAGAACAACTAGCGACTCGGGCCCAAAATCTGAGGAACCGGCCCAATTGCCGTCATATGATCCTGAGTGAAGCATAATATTCTATTTGTCCCCGTTGTGGAATTAAATAATTGTTGAAATACTTGATGAGTTGGAGACTGGTCTTGAAACTTGAAGGTTTCTGAATCTATCATCTAGTTGGGACTTCTATTCCATCTTGATTTATGTTGTTGTGTAAAAATTAAGTCTTAAGTCTCTCTTAAAAAGAAACATATGCGTCAAATATTTTTATTTTATTTATCAACAATACTAAAATATTATTAGTTTATCTAAAATGTTTAAATACTTTTTTATCTAAAATGGTGATAAAACCCTACCACTTTATTATTACATAATATTTGTTTTAAAACTAGAATTTTTGTGCTTTAATTAGTTCTCTTACTAAAACATACCATTAATCAATGAGATTGTCTAAGTAGGCTACAAGTACATATTTCTCACAGAATTTATCCTTCATTTGGGCCCAAGTTTCTATAGAATTCTCTTGTCAATTTTGAATAGAAAACTCAACATTTTTCTAAAAGATCTTCACCTGTCTTCCTAATTTCATCTCTACGAATTTAACCTTCCTAAACTCAAGTATGTCATACTATTTAAAATAACTATTTAGTTTGAATTCCCAATCAAGATAGTCCTTAAGATCTCTAAAACCCTCAAAATACGGAGCATCAGCTTGAATACTTTTCTAGATTTGATTCCAATGGTTATTGAGATCGGGTAAACGTTGATCACAACCGTTATGCAGGTTGTAGGGATCATAAAGAGCAGGTGGACATCTATCATGATCATTGGGGTTATTATAATGATCATAGGGATCAAGATGATGACAAGCACGATTGAAGAATTGGGTAGCATGAGGGGTAGGATCGGAAGGAAATGGAGTAAGGGGTGGCTCATCAAGCGTAGGAGAATGATGAGAGGTTTGACCTAGGACCTAGATGGGAGGGGGTGAATGATGTGGGTTTCCTCGGACTTACAATTTAAGTCGGCGAGTGCATTCATGCACCGCCTCGATAGAACTAGTCAAAGCGAGTATCTATGTTAGTGACACGAGTACTTAGATCACGAATGGCATCTAAGACATGACTCATATCACTACATGATGGTGGTGGTGGTGGTGGGTTCTTAGTAAGGAGAGGATCCTCACAGGAATCATTGGGGTGATCATTCATGATGATGCATTTATCAGACCATATGAATGGGATGAAGAATGAACACAACTACTTCATGGAAGGGTCAAGGACACATGTTAGGCTTTGATACCAAATTTGATACAGGATGAATATGACTAATGCAGATGAAATGGATAGGAAATACAGGGGTATATAACAAGCCACGAAACTCACACACGATCGAATCTAAACCTTTGAAAACCAACTATGATGAGGTGAGAAGACCATTCCATTCCTCGATCGAGGGTGGGAGCACTACCTCAAGTCACCGTGATAAAACAAAGCTTCACATTTCAAAATCTTAGTCGACCTTCAAGCAATGAAATTGCAGCCCACTCAACAAGTCTCGAGCCCACATAGTTGAATCTGATGGTGGTGGAAACACACATGAGGAAAGACAGGATGAAATCAAAACACATGATCACCAGAGATGGCTGAGAGGAAACCTTTGGCATTTGCACGCCGCAATGTTGACGTCGATGGTAGAGTGGAGGAGGACGAGCCCATCGTGGAGCTTTGTCTGCAGGGTGTGTACGATCGATGTGCAGGGTGAAAGGTTGGTGTGCAAGGCGAGTCGTCGTGGCACGTCCGCCAGGTGTGGGATGCACGAGTGCTTGGGCAAGATGCACGGGACACATGAGCGCCCGTGGAAGACTCATATGTGGCACATTACTAGTGCTCCGAGGGACGCTAATCTGCACGTTGTCTGGCACACGAATGTTGACAAAGAGACCCGCTAGTGACGACAAAGGGGGTTGGCCATAGAGTAGGGGGGGAGCCACGCGACAGCGCTGGCAGTCACACAAATCCCTTAGGGCATGATCTCTTGTATAAGAAAACTCTTATAAAGATCAAAACTGTCATTCAATAGAAACCTTAGGCCTATTTATAGGCCTTGGGAGGAGAGAGAGGATTACAACCTAAAGTAAATAAAAAGAATTAAATATGGGTAAATCTTAATAGTAATAGAAGTTTAGATATGGAGCTCAAGTCTACCAACAGCGATGTGGAGTGGCCTTGATAGTTTGGAGGGTCTCCGAAGGAGGTGACGTGGAGTCCAATGGTGTCATGGTCGTCGATGGTGGAACTAGGGTTCTGCCCCACCATTTATTTACATTTTACAACAAGTTATTTCCATTTCTTATGTGTTTTGATTGAAATGAGTAGAACTAATTCAAAACTTGATGAATGATCTTCGTTCTTCTTCTAAATCCTCTGAAACTCGTTTGAGATTAAGTTAAGATCATTTTTAACTTATTTTCTATTGATTTTTACAGTCGAATCTTAATGTATCTATGTTCTCGATATCTTACAAATAATGATTATTCTTGTATTTTTGAATATGAAATCATTGAGATTAAAAGCTACTTAATGATCATGAACTGTTAAAATAATATGGAGACATTCATAGTTGACCTCATGTCATGTGTGCAAATTTTTGAGCACACATTTGTCCAAGAATAATAGTCATCATGAAAACGACTTGACTGTATTTCTCTCTTTTCTTATTATCATCTTATTTCTCTCTCACCCTCTCTCGTGAGACCACTTCTTTTCTCTATATCTCTCATAAAATCTCTCTCTCTCTCTCTCTCTCTCTCTCAATCAATCTCCACTTTCTTTCCATTGATTGATCTCCTTCCTTCTCCTTCTCTCTCCCTCTCTCTCTCTCTTTGTGTCCTTTCTCTCTCTTCGACTCGCATGAGATTTCCTCATTTATCTTCTCTCTCTCTTCTCTCTCTTTTTCTCCTACCTTTTCTTTGCTTCCCTTTCTTTATGCTTCCCTTCTCACCTTTTTATTTTATTATTTCTATTAAATATTCATAAAATATTAAAATCACTTTATATATAAATTAAATTAGTTTTCACAACAAATTAATCAATCTCCCTATATTCGACTTGAGACTTAATTCTATATTAATGTTTTAGTAAGTATTAGTTATAAATATTATTAGATAATGTGCATTTAAACATAATGACAAGTACACATCAGTTTGAAATTAAGAGAGAAAAGAAAGTATTTAGTTATGACTAATTAAATTAAATTAAATAGAGCATAACAAACAAAGATGATGAATCTAACAAAGATAATAAAGCAAACACAAGCCACATTGGAGAGTACTCTATTGAATCTAACCACCACTTAGAGGGAGACCAACATGTTGGGTTCTATGTGGCTATGTGAAGTACCAAGAGGAGGGGTGAATTAGTTTCTTACATTTTATGCATATATGTATAAGTGTTGACACACGTTCTAACATAGTTTATGAAATCTATATATAATTTAACTTAAAAATCTTATCTTCATTGTGTGGTCATTTTAGTTTCTTTTTCTCTTTCTCTTACTCTTAATGATGATGGGCACATAGATTTTATATTGGTTCACCCTTCCTTATGTTAAGTTCAATATTAGAAGATCTTTCATCTAGATTTCTATTATTTGTAAATGAAAATATATCTAACTTCATAGGTCTTGTTTTTCCAACATAGTTGTTTGATCTCCAAGAGATCTCACCCCTCTAAGGGTAGGTCTTGTCTCATGACATTGTGTGCTGAAGTCGGGACATAGTTCTCCTCAAAGAAAAATACCTTTCACAAGTGTAATCTAGTCCTCAGCACCTCGTGTTTTAACATTATCTTCTATTTACTGACCACTCATATTACCTTAAGGCTTTATATAGAGAGACAGGTTCTAATACAGTTGTTTGATTCGTAAATTACTACAAGTTTTGATTCCTTAGTTAGAATGTGAGGTTGCTTTAAAATATTTCAATACATGGTGAGTTTGTGTGTAGAAAAAAATTAAAATTTAATCTTTTAAAAATATTTTATATCACGGTTGAGATTTTACAAAAGACATGGGGGGTGGTGGTAGCAGCTGAAGCTTTCTTTCTGTATGTTTTCTTAGGATAATTTTTTTCAAAAAATTATGAGAAGTAATTATGTGGCTGATGGTTCAGATCAGAAATAGCTTTCTATTTGTAGATTTCGTTTTGATGATTCATATGCATGCAATTTCTAGAATTTATTTATTTTTAAATAAATATTTAGTATCACATACAGAGGACCTCGAAGATGTAAACAATTAATGTTTTCTACAAAAAAAAATTATTCTCCATAACATTATTATAATCAAATTATTAATGCCTACTTGGATAAATGTCCAGATTAGGAACAATTTCTATTCATAGAAACCTTTGAATTCCTAGTGGGCTGTTTTCATTCTATCTGTGCGTGGTTCAGCCTTCAACCCCTTGAGGATAAGAATCAGTGGCTCTCTGCAAGACCAGCTGGTTTATGAGGAGCCAAGCATGGGTTATCTATCCCGCCCATCCGAGTAGGCAAATGGGATGTTTGGGCCCTCTAGAGGATGTATGAGTAGGGTGAAGTGGGACGAGCTCAACCTCCTATTTATGAATACTAGGTATGTGTGACAGTTCTCTGTGAGTCATTGGATTTTTATTCTATCACATATAAAGGATTTTGTTGTGGAAATGGAAACTATTAAAGCATACGAAAAATATTAAGGATTTTATTATCTGAAAAATAAAAAAATAGATAATTTTTTTAAAATTTGAAGAAATCAGATTCAACCCAGATAGGATATAACTCATAATTTTTCTGAAAGAAAAATTAGCTATGAGAATGTGCAAGGGTGGATAGAATTTAGATGAATGACTTTAGATCTTTATGGCTGACCTATTTACTATTTTAATGAATACCTGATAGATTCAGGAGACTCCATCGGGTTTTCTTCATTTTCCATAAAAATATGAGCCATTTTTGTGCTTTAAACTAGGTCGAAGAACATTCCACCAGCCATGAAGATTCAATGAATGAAAACTGAATATAAATTATTAAAATCAAGGCAGCAGGGAATATGCAAGAAAATTGAAAATCTCTTGAAAATCAAGTGTGGAATATGTCATTTTAAATAAATATATCATGAATCAAAACCATGTAATGAAAATATGTGCTGGTTTGATCTTTAGGAAATTAGAATAATTTCCCATCTAGGTTTAATCGTTCTTCAATGTCATACTAAAAATTCTAAGAATTCACAGACTATCCTTTTATTTCCATTTTGACAATAAAATCCTTTTATGTGATAGAATAAAAATCCAACGAATCACAGAGAGCTCTCACATATACTCACTCTTCATAAATACGAGGTTGAGCTCGTCCCACTTCGCCCTACTCAAGGATTCTCCAGAGAACCCAAACATCCCATCCGTCTGCTTCTTGAAGTGGGTGTCATGGATAGCCCATGCTTGGCTCCTCATAAACCAGCTGGTCTTGCAGGGAACCACCGATTCTTATCCTCAAGGGGTTGAAGGCTGAATCAAGAACATATAGAATGACAACAGCCCACCAAGGCTTGAAAGGTTTATGTGAATAGTAAATTGTTCCTAATCTGGACCTTTATCCAAGTAGGCATTACAATGATGTTATAGCAAGCATTAATTGTTTACATCTCCGAGGTCCTCTTGAGGCATCTCAGCCTAAATTGCAGATAGTGTTACTAAAATTTATTTATTTTAAAAAGTAAATTGTATTAATTTTATGCATATGAACATTTTTTGTATTATCATGGTCTTAAATTTTTGTTAAATTTTAAACCTGCCATCAAAGAAATTGAAAGGTTGGCTCCATCATGAAATCATGAATCTCTAAATAGAAGTCTGTTTCTATTCTAAATCATTTTCAGTAAAAATATGAGCCATTTTTGTGGTTTAAACTGGGTCAAAGATCACTTGGCCAGCCATGAAGATTCAATGAATGAAAACTGAATATAAACTCTTAAAATCGGGGCATCAGAGAACTCTAGACTAAACCGGAATGAATTTTTTTTGAAAATTTCTTGAAAATCAGGTGTGGAATATGTGATTTTCAATAAATATCTGATGAATCAAAACCATGTAACCAAACCATCACGAAGTTGGTTTTCATTTTTTGTCGAACCATGATCTGAATGCCATCAAATATTAATTATAATAAGTTTTTATTTCTGTATTTTGGTCTCAACTCGCACTATCTCCCTTCTTCTCCCTTGCTCAGAGTCATTGTCACATTTGGCCTAAATGCATTGCATGGGAGACACAAAATGCGCAGTGGTGTTTGGGCTGGTCCCTAGAACTCGAGCAATGCCCGTGCCTTCATGGAATACACAGCTTCAAAGGGATATCCAGTTGACTCTTGGGAACTCAGTAGCCTCACTCAACCTTTCTTTTTTTTTTTTTTTCTCTATCCATGTACAAGGCCATATTTTTATATTATAATCTCTTTAAAAACCGGAAGAATCATAATGAAATGAAGTTTATCGTAGTTTAAAATCAACAAATTATCACTAAAAAAAGGAAAATTAAGTTGAAAGCATGAAAACAAAGTTTTAATGTCACGGCGGTGATGCATTGGCGATGCACTAGAATCCTGAGTGTTTAGGAGGATCGTCGTATAGTGTCCACGGCCTCGAAGGCTCTCCTTAGACAAGGACAACGTGAGCAATCTCTAGATCTCCTTGTGAAGTCTAAAGATCAATAAAATGGGTTGTCGAATCGTCTCTAGCTGCTGTCACTCAGTAGAGCGGAAAAATGATGACTTTGCAGCTCTTTGGCAGTTATCACCTAACGGAGAGGAGTTGGATGGAGGTGGGGCACATGTTAGGGAACTTCATCCTCAAGTCTGTGTAGCAAGAGGAGGCTCTTCATTGCATCTAGTACGCTCTCAAGAGATGGTGACTCGTCTCCTAGTAGATCATCCTTTTCTCGACGACGGCTTGTTCATCGACTAAATGGGGAGGCTTTACTTGATAGATTTGCTATCATTTTATCACAAATCGTTCAATAATTTTAGTAACAACACTCCGTGAATCATGTTGACAAGATTTTTGCTGATGATCTAGCGATTCTGGTTGCTTAATCCTTCACTAGTGATCTGCAAGAAAGTCACGATAATCAGATAAAAATATGAATTTTGACTTTGAAAGGATTCGAACCTGCGCTAGTTGCCCCGCCACTTTTGGAAAAGTGACACAAGTTTAGTCCCACATCGGTTGTGCGTCTAATATTCAGGCAAATATATAGTAATGTTAGATTTCTAAGCAAGTCCCTTTCTCGCGCATGTACGACCACTCCTTACCCTACAGTCGACTGACCACCAGTGACGTGGAAAGGGAGTGGCACACACATGCCTCTATCAGTCCAAGCCACTTGAGCCCCTGCTCGCGGCTCCTCCCCGACTGTGCTTTGGACATGCTTATGGGCCCAGCTGGCCGGCGGGTCCCCCCATTTTATAATATTTTTATTTTTATTTCTTTTTCTTTATTTATCTCAAAAGTAAGACTATAAAAATCATATAAATTTATATAAAATCATATAATTACCCAAAAATTCACATTAATCAACTAAAAATAAATTTTCACACTTTAACATAAATAGAAGTCTATTTATCATGAGTTAAGACTAAAACTATATTATTTAGTAATTATTAACTCATGATAATGAAGACTTATCAAATACACTCGCCGACTTGAATTGCAAGTCCGAAGAAACCCACATCGTTCACCCCCTCCCATCTAGGTCCTAGGTCAAACCTCTCATCATTCTCCTACGCTTGATGAGCCACCCCTTACTCCATTTTCTTCTAATCCTACCCCTTATGCTACCCAATTCTTCAATCGTGCTTGTCATCATCTTGATCCCTATGATCATTATAATAACCCCAATGATCATGATAGATGTCCACCTGCTCTTTATGATCCCTACAACCTGCATAACGGTTGTGATCAACGTTTACCCGATCTCAATAACCATTGGAATCAAATCTAGAAAAGTATTCAAGCTGATGCTCCGTATTTTGAGGGTTTTAGAGATCTTAAGGACTATCTTGATTGGGAATTCAAACTAAATAGTTATTTTAAATAGTATGACATACTTGAGTTTAGGAAGGTTAAATTCGTAGAGATGAAATTAGGAAGACAGGTGAAGATCTTTTAGAAAAATGTTGAGTTTTCTATTCAAAATTGACAAGAGAATTCTATACAAACTTGGGCCCAAATGAAGGATAAATTCTGTGAGAAATATGTACTTGTAGCCTACTTAGACAATCTCATTGATTAATGGTATGTTTTAGTAAGAGAACTAATTAAAGCACAAAAATTCTAGTTTTAAAACAAATATTATGTAATAATAAAGTGGTAGGGTTTTATCACCATTTTAGATAAAAAAGTATTTAAACATTTTAGATAAACTAATAATATTTTAGTATTGTTGATAAATAAAATAAAAATATTTGACGCATATGTTTATTTTTAAGAGAGACTTAAGACTTAATTTTTACACAACAACATAAATCAAGATGGAATAGAAGTCCCAACTAGATGATAGATTCAGAAACCTTCAAGTTTCAGGACCAATCTCCAACTCATCAAGTATTTCAACAATTATTTAATTCCACAACGGGGACAAATAGAATATTATGCTTCACTCAGGATCATATGACGGCAATTAGGACATTCACATGTTGTGACGTGTAGTGAGATGATTAAATGAGCACTGTATGAGAGAGATCTAGCGGAAGATAAAAGAAGATTAGAAAGAGATCTGACCAGCCAGTAGGGTATGACAATGATGGTGCGGTTGACGGCGAGATAATAAAGGGATAGGATGCCAACAGAATCACATCAGCACAGCCATTTTCACACGTGGGAGCTGCCAACTACTGCTAGATTAAGGGTATAAGTGTCATTGAAACACTTGCACATTTGGGATTATTAAAACAAAACGAAAAATAATATATATATATATATAAAAACAATAAAATAGTTAAATTAGTTGTTCGTTTTTAAAAGTCTCCTTTTTTCAATGTTTTGGGGTATTTATGAAGAAATCCTGGAAAAACACATCACCTGTTATGCGAAATTAGCGAATAAACCCCTCTAAAAACTAGGAATAGGAAACTGACGTAAATTGACTGCGGGGAGCTGTATAACGTAATCAGAAGCGTTATTGGGCTGGGTTCCTCAGATTTTGGGCCCGAGTCGCTAGTTGTTCTCAGGAGTTTGGGCCGACCCGCTTGCTCCATCTCATTTTGGGCCGAACTAGTGATAGCGTGATGGAAGATGGATAATAGCCTACCGGCCCATTTTCGTCTCCAAACGTGGCATCTGCTTAACCCTTCAGGTGGCAAACGTCGGCGGCAGCGTAGTTCACCAAGCATATCATTCACTGCATTTGGCGCCCGCTAAAAGGACACGCGTCACCTAAAGAGAGGTCCGTCGGCTCATTCTCACACGCGGGGAACTGCCACTGCTATTCGATACCCTTAGCGGAAACGAGCTTCGAGCACTGCAGCGCTCTCCATTGGACCATCCCCTGCCCTATTCACTGCGTGAAGTTCTGCAGGCCGATTGGTGGGGGAAAGATGCCGGCGATGGCGGTGAAGAACGGCTCTCGGCCGCCGTGGGTGGGGCTGGGGGCGGCGGTGTGGGTTCAGATGGCAGCGGGATGCGGCTACACCTTCCCTCTCTACTCTCCTGCCCTCAAGTCGGCCCTGGGACTGACGCAGCAGCAGCTCACCATCCTCGGAGTTGCCAATGACGTCGGTGAGAACATCGGTGTGCTCCCTGGGGTCCTCTGCAACCGGATACCCCCCTGGGGCATCCTGCTTGTCGGCGCTGCCTGCAGCTTTGCCGGGTTCGGCGCTCTCTGGCTCGCCGTCAGCCGCACCGTCACCTCCATACCGTATTGGCTGGTCAGCCCTCTTTCCTAATCTTCTTTATCTTCCGCTAGTTCTCTCTCGTAAGAAATGCACAGTTAGTCATCTCTCTACTCATCGCGACCCGTGATTGTTCCAATTGCCGTTATATGATCCTGACTAAAGCATAATATTCCCTTTGTCCCAGTTGTGAAATAAAATAATTGCTGAAATACTTGATGAGTTGGAGACTGGCCCTGAAGTTTGAAGGTTTTCGAAGCTATCATCTAGTTGGGACTTCTATTCCATCTTGATTGATGCTGATATGTAAAAATTAAGTGTTCAGTCTTCCTGAATAACAAACATCTGGGCCATAGCACGAGCCACCCAGTTTTTCATAAACATCGAGCAAATTGGAATGCAATATTGCCACTAAGAGAGAATTCGACGTCCCTGAATCTTATCAGACTCCATGACCCTAAGTCTGAAGAAATATTCTGTGTATTGCCTTGACTTGATTTAAGTCAACCAATTATTCAAAAAATATTTATCTAACGGAAATAGCTACTAATATAAACTTTATTATGGAGGAGAAGATGAGGGCATCTGCGTCCTTCTGAATCTAAATCAAGGCACAAGGATTACAACTACGATTATGGAGGCTTTCATGGCAGCATATAAATAATGTTGCTTTTGAAAGGACGATAAATAACTTTCGAGCCATTTTGGTGTCATTAGTCCTTACTAGTTTATAGAATGGGTTGTAAATGATCATCATGGTAACAGAGAATGTCTGCCAACATAAATACTATATTTCTACAAATTCCATCTTCTGTAGGTGACAATTTTGTTATTTATAGATATCCTGATATCGATCACCAGTTATGGATCACATTAGCCATTATTCTTTGTGAAGTGTTACTATAATTACACCAGTCATGGATCACAGCAGGTTCCTCGAATTACCAGAAGTTCTTACACGGAAGTCTTGTACATACAGATATGAGCTTCTGTAGCTGACAATCTTGTTACATATAGGTATTCTGACATCGACTTCCAGCTTGTACATTCTCCATGTTATCTGGTGCTCTTACATTGAAATCCTGTATCCTACAAGTATAAATTTCTTTAGCTGATAGTCTTTTCATATATATCTTGATGTCAATTACCAGTTATGGATCGCATTGGTCGTGGCAACCAATAGCAGCGCCTGGCTGGGCACTGGCGTGGTGGTGACCAACATGAGGAACTTCCCTCTCAGCAGGGGAACAGTCGCAGGCCTCTTGAAGGGCTATGCTGGGCTCAGCGCCGCTGTCTACACTGGAATTTACGCTGGAATCCTACACAATTCATCCACGAGCATCTTGCTTCTACTCACTCTGGGTATTCCTTTAGTCTCCATCTTGTTGATGAGTTTCGTCAGGCCATGCACGCCAGCTTCAGGGGATAACACCACAGAAGGGGGCCATTTTCTATTCGTTCAGGCTTCCAGTGTTCTACTGGGCCTTTATCTGGTGATCACCGTTGTGCTGGATGATGCGTTTAGTTTGAATGATGCCGTCTCCTACACATTTGTGGGTGGCATGGTGCTCTTGCTCCTAGCCCCCCTCGGGATTCCATTGAAGATGACGGTTTTCCCTGCTACGGACAAGAAGAATGGCCCCTCTGCCCCGGTAGACCCAGAGGAGCCTGAGTTGAAAGAGGTACTGTTGAGTAAGTCTTCTTCGTCGGTCATTCTCAGGAGCTCCCAGGAGCTTGACGATGCCTCTGAAATGGGCATCCTTCTTGCTGAAGGGGAGGGGGCAGTGAAGATGAAGAGAAGGCCCAGGAGAGGGGATGATTTCAGATTCCGTGAGGCCCTTGTCAAGGCTGACTTCTGGCTTCTGTTCCTGGTGTACTTCCTGGGGGTCGGCTCAGGGGTCACTGTCCTCAACAATCTGGCTCAGATTGCAACTGCCTCATATGTGGAAGATACCACTATCCTGTTGACCCTCTTCAGCTTCTGCAACTTCATTGGGCGGCTCGGTGGGGGTGTCATCTCTGAACACTTTGTCAGGTAAAACCCCAGTTGACTTTTTCTTGAAATTTTCAGAATCACTGTCTCCTTCTATCATAACTAGTTCAGGACTATTCGATCTGTGGGTTTTCTCGGTAATAACCGGTACGAGACTATTTCTAACACTTGTGAATTGTATTGTCAGATCCAGAGCACTTCCCAGAACCATATGGATAGCCTTCACGCAGCTGACCATGGTCTTCATCTTCCTGCTCTTTGCTTCGGCTATCAATGGGGCCCTCCATGCGTCTCTGGCCCTGCTTGGCATCTGCTACGGTGTCCAAATCTGTATCATGGTGCCCACTGCGTCCGAGCTCTTTGGGCTGAAGCACTTTGGTGTCATCTACAATTTCCTGTCCCTGGGGAACCCCATGGGGGCCCTCTTGTTCTCCGGGCTTCTGGCAGGGTCTGTGTATGATGAAGCGGCGGCCAGGCAGCACCAAGGTGATGTGGGTCCCACTGTGGCCTCATGCGTGGGGCCCGAATGCTTCCGACTCACCTTCCTCTTGCTTGCTGCATTCTGTGGAGTGGGTTTCCTCTTGAGCTTGGTCCTGACCTTGAGAGTGAGACCGGTGTACCAGATGCTCTACTCTGGTGGCTCCTTCTCCACTGGCAGGAGCTCAGGTCACTGATGGTGATAACCCAGCAGGAAAAATGAGTTCTTTTTTATCTGGGTTTGGGTCTGACTCTTCCTTGATATGCTTATGAGCTTTGGTTCCTCCCCTCTGGTTAGGGGATGGACGCCTATCTGTGGCAAACAAGCTCCAAGGTGCGCCTCCTTTGGCAGAAAGGATTGATGGAGAGTGATTGCTGGAGAGAATTTTCTAGAAAACGCTTGTTGATTGGGAGTTGGTTTCATGCTGATGGGATATTTCTGAGAGGCAGGGCAATGCATTATCCCCAAAGAACAGTATTGAGCATTTCTTAATTATTAGATATAGAATATACGATGAATCTAATCTGAACCTCCATGGTGATCCACAAATTCCAGAAATTTCCTGTTTTGTAATTTTCATTTTGAATCTCATAATATTATGTAGATTAGGTGGAGGATTGTTAAAGAAATGGATTTTTTTATTTGGTTTGATTTTTTTTTTTAATATCTATGAAGATCAGGTGTAGATCAAATGTTTTATTTGGTTTTAAAAATGGAATTCTTTTCTCTCTTTTCCATGGCTAAGAAAAGAAGAAATAATTATAAAACAATATTTCAATTAAAAAAAGGTTTAATGTTATATGAGCAAATTTGTCTTGATCCAGTATTTTCTCAAATTTATAAGGTAGATAGTTATACATAATGTTTTATCCATTATTTTTGATACTTGGTTAGTCGATCATACTTAATCTACACCATGATAATTTGAACGCATATTTATTATGACCATTTTTTACTCGAGAAAATTAAACTAAAACTGAAAAATAATAGATCTTGTCCAGAATGATCTACTCCCAAACTCGAGAGTGGAGAAAAAAAAATGCCAGATTTTTATTCGAAGCTATTATTTGATCTTGCCAACAGATTAACACAGCAAGTAGATTATATACGAACTGGTCTGCGGGCCAGAAATAGTGGGAATCCAGGAGGAAGAAGCTCGAACACTCAGGTTGGCCTCAAGTCCTGGAACATGCAGTCCCACCTCCTCTCGTCGCCACCGCCATTGCCGCTGCCGCCGCCGTTCCGACGGCGACTTCCGTCGGTGAGCATCGGCTTCCCCCGTCGGAGCGGCTTTCTGCCGCCCCACTTCACGACGGCGCTGGCCCAGATCCCGCCGGGAAACGGGCTCCGGTGAGGGGCCACCAGTGCGGAAGAGGGCGGCCCCGCGCCACCGCCGCCGCCGCCGCTAGCGAGGGAGCGGAGGCAGCGGACGAGGCGCCGCCTTGCGCTGCCGGCGGCGGCGAGGAGCCTGGCCACCGGGCGGGACGGCGGCGGGTGGCGGCGCCGCAGCTCCCGGTGGGCGAGCTTGAGGATCTCCAGGCGGTGCTTGGCGATGGAGATGCCCATGCTGAGCAGGAACTCGTGGTCGAAGTGGGCGATGTCCTCTTCCTCCAGCTCGTTCTCAGCGAACAGCACGGCGTACTGGTGCGCCGCCGCCGGGTCCAGCCCCGTCCTCGACAGCCACGCCGACCACTGGACCGCCTTTCCCTCTCCCCTGCCACCCCCATAGACAGGTACCATCGACGTTAACGCCGCCATGAGAGAGAGAGAGAGAGAGAGAGAGAGAGAGGGAGGGAGAGAGGAAGGGAGAGAGGAAGGGAGTGGTGATGAGGAGAAGAGAATGAGGGGAGGAAGATGGTGACGGCGACCCGAGGTTCTTCAATTATGGGGGGAGATTTAGCTGGTGGTGAGCTCCGAATGTCTTGTAGCAACAGCAACAGCTGTAACTGTAGTGGAAGGAGAAGCCGATGAGAGAGAAGACTGTTTCTTACGGGTTAAAGAAACCCACGGATGACCAGCAGCACCTCTTTCATCACCCGAGCACCCACCCCGAAGATAAATGACGTAGAGGTGGTGGAATCTCTCTCTCTCTCTCTACTCATAGCTACCGTCACTGACTCGAAGTTAAATGATGTGGGGCTGGTGGAAGGTACTCTATACATCTAACCTCCCGTTCTCTCTCTTTCCCTCTCTCTCTATTCTCTGTCCCTCTCTCTCTACTCTCTGTCCCTCTTTCTAGATCTATAATAAAAAAAATATTCAGCATTTTACACATAATTCTTCTATTTATAGAATAATTTCCGTACGTTAATTAAAATAATAATAATTTACCTAATATAGTCTAAATTCTTTTGGGTAAGGTTACCATCCCATGTGACCGACCACAGACTTTGAAGGCGTGCACACGTGGAAGACGGATCTTTTTGTCGCTTCCGATGACGACAAAATCTAGTCGTTTTGCAGAAAAACATATATTATTTTGTTTCTTCTTGATGCCCCTTAAAATATTGCTCATTCATCCCTGTGCGCTTTAAATAAAGTACGTGTTCCGAGTGTGGGGTCCACCATTTCTGGCTCAGCACACTCCTGATCGTCCGATCAGAATCCTAGATTCTATCTAGGGTGACAATTTTCAATCTCTACCAAATTTTAGGTCAGTAAATATTGTCATTTAATTTTGATATCAATTTTTCAAAGTTTTTGAGACTCCAATTGGGTTTTGATGTACGCCGAGATGGGGAAAGGAGGATCTACCCACCAATTTAAGTCGACTTAGATTTTTGGCAAGTTGACTTTTATTTTGGCGAATCCATCCTTTAAACTATTTATCGTATTATAGATAAGTATATCAATAGTAATAATAATAATAATAATAATAATAATCATAGGTGAGATGTTTAGTGAGAAAGGAGAATTGAATGTTTAACGGAGGAATGATTTAATTACACAATAAGTTGATAGGAATTGTTTTCATTTTTTTAAGTGATGGGACGTTCCAAGCTTTTTATCAGGGTATCATCCCTAAGAAAATTGAATTTTTTTAATTACTTTAATTCTCATTAGTCTCATGCTTTATACAGAAGTCCTATATGTTTGGGAATAAATTCAGCTTGGATATCAAACTTTTATATTATTTTTTCATATTTAAACATATTTTTAATAATACATTATTTTTTGAATTTAATTTTTTTAATATTCCAAAAAAGTATAAATAAATTATTATTTTAGAAAATAGACTCTCTCTTCATCTCTCTCTCTCTCTCTCTCAATTGCCCCACTTAAGTCAATTGTTGCTCACTTATGACTTTCTAATAAATGGAGGAAGTTGAGTTGAATCTATTCTTTTAACAATGTTGATTTGATTTTTAATTTTTTTTCTATTGTTTTTCTTTTTTTCCTATTAAGTCAAATGTAGTATCTATGAACATGAAAGAGAAGTAAAAAGATCAATAGTTGATAATGATTTTATAGTGGTTTGGGATGTTAAAGCCAGACTTTCTTGGACCACTACCTCTTACATCATATACTCAACAAATCTATGAAATTCATTAGAAGTACATTTCTAGCAATTATTACACAACTACTCAGTGCACCAAATATTCTCACACAACAACTGAGGACACCATAAATGCTCACACAAAAACTGAAAATACCATCCACACATCTAAGTCTAAGTTAGAGGTAATATCATTTATTTTGAGAGATGTTAGTTTAGATTATGATCTTAGTTTGTCTCCTCTTAGATGCTTGAGTAGAAGATGATTCTGTGCTGAGGTTCACACCCATGAGTATTGGGAGAAAAAGGAAAATAAGATCGGGAGAAATTTCATGTGCATGTTATTCTCTCTCTCTCTCTCTCTATCTCCTCTTCATCATTCTTTTAATTATCTCTATCCCCTAATTCTAGTAAATAAACTTAATTTATCCTGGGGCTTGTTGGAGCTGGCCACTTTGCTCAATACTACTTGGTGTTAAGGTTTCTTATAGTTTGGGCTTCAACTACTAGTCAAGATGTAGATATTATTGGACTTTGGGCCTAAGTGACTGATTGGAATATGGGCTGTATAAGACTATGGACTTTGCCGATTTGGTGCTATTAGACGTCCTGGACTTGATCCAAGTAGTATGCTAGAATCTTTCAAGTGGTAGACTAAGCCTTAAAGACTAATTCAAGGTTTTAGGACTAAACCTTCAAGTGGTAGTTAATGGACCAAGCCTATATTGAGCAACATGTTAGTGATTAAATAATTTATACTTGAAAAAAACTTATTATAAAAATATAAAATCCATATACTAAAAGAGGATCATGTAATCTTCAAGTTTTGATTTCTTGTCAGTTTGAGGAATATTAAATATTTTGCTCAACTTTTCCATGTCACACTTGAAATCTTATTTTAAAATAAATATTCCTTAATTTTAAAAGAAATCTTGAATTGAAAAATTATAATAATTTGAGTAAAAATTCAATTTGTGATTGACATGATGAAATCATTGCATATATGGATGTTAACTTCACATCAATTATAAGTAGAATACATAATCAAAACCCATTTTTATTTTTCTTAATCTAAAATATGAATAAGTGATTTTCAATAAACGTTTATTTATGATAGTCAAAAGGTATCAATGATGTAAACTTTGTGTGATTCTATGATATTCTCAATTTTGAATGTAGAAGATGTTTATACAACTGAAGACATAAGAGCATTGCTCAAATCATGTTAAATCTGGTGTGTTCCATTATTTTTTCTTCTCTCTCCTTTTTTCTCTCTCTTGTGTTTTGCATGTCTTTTGTTGTGCTAGTGATGATCTCATAGTTCATGACAATATATTGGCTGCCTATATTGATTTAGATTGCCTAACTATGTAATCCAAGCTCATATATAAATTTTATAATAATATGCACACCTTAGAGTTTGTCACACTGTAATTATTTCACTTCTCAGGCAAATGTTGCAAGTATCATGGCATCAAAGATTATTTGAATTTTAATTGTAGAATATGTTTACTAATTTTTGCTTCGTTTTCATCCAATAAAAGATGATTTTTATATGGGAAACAATCCTAATTTCTACTGACTCGTAGGAAAAGAGTATTCATTTGAAGATGAAAGGAGATAATCTCCATGGTGTGAGAGGGAAATAACTTTCTCTATTTATGATCACTATATTCTTAGCATGTCTTCTTTCATGGGCCTGCGAAAAGACCATGCTGCTTGTGGCCTGCCTTATTCTGCTGCAAGAACAACTGGATGCTGTCCCACAAGGTTTCCATCTCATCTTATTTTTCTTCCATTAATACCAAAATTATATATATAAAAAAAACTGTAGTTCGTCAGAGTTCCCTATGGATTCAGGAGATGCTGTGAGAGTGAGAGAGAGAGAGAGAGACAGAGAGAGCAACAACCGATCCTTCCAAGTTCTCCAGTAAAGAAGCCTCAAGGCATTAGAGCGAAAGGTAGAGAGTACTTTACTTGGATAATGACTTTGCATGACCCATGAGACATACGTCTCCTTTCGTACTAATCCAACGGGTAATGCTAACAAACCAACCAGTTTAGTTCTTTGCGAGAGAAATTAATGGGGAAATAAATGGCAGATCTCCGGTTAATTTCTCTCTGAAATCATAGTATTCATGATCACCATCTGCTGAAGATTATTTTTAGCAGTCGTGTACTCAGCTGTGCAGTGATTTCTATCATGGATCTCTAGTTCGTCGCAGAAGCTTCGTTTAAGTTCTTGTTTGAGAACGCGTTCACTAAGACGTTGACTTCAGATTTTGAGACCTTCCGGTGGCAGCCGAAGGCCAGCTGGAGCCGGTCAACGCCATGCAGAGCAGCCAACCCGGGAGGTTCGACGTTCTAGTGATGAACACCGGTAGCCACTGGAGCAGGGCCCAAGATCACAGCGGACCGGTCAGGTGGGCCCAGCTCAGAACGGGTCATTCCCCATTGACTTCAGATTTTGAGCCCTTCCGGTGGCAGCCGGAGGACACCTGGAACCAGTCAACGCCATGCAGAGCAGCCAGCGGGGGAGGTTCGACGTTCTTGTGATGAACACACTAGAGCAGGACCAAGATCACAGCGAACCGGTCAGGTGGGCCCAGCTCAGAACGGGTCGTTCCCCGTTGAGTTATCGGGCAGAGACTGAAGGCCTCTAGTGTAGACCTTGGGATTGTCTGCCGATTTCGGCATCTTGTTCGTGTTGGGAAGTTGGCTTTTGGATACCCAATAAGAACAGGCGGCCGCCGTCTCCTCCCTCGAGGATTGGTTTCAGGATATTGGCGACCGAACAGAGGCCAGAGAGAGAGAGAGAGAGAGAGAGAGAGAGAGAGAGAGAGAGAGAGAGGGAGAGATCGGCTGTTCGGTGTGTGGCCTAAAACTGGAATTTTTTCTATTGCTGCTATCTTCTCATGCTGAGTTCGCTTGGGGATACCAGACCAGAGCATGCGTTGACTTTGGAGTAGAGGACGAAACTTCTGTCGAATTTTTCATCCTAATAACTAATTTTTCGATAAAAAATCGGATTTTATGGAATATTCCGTCTTTTTGGGAACATTCTGTCGGCAACAAAAGAATGGGTTTTAGTTCAGAGTGGTCCGGGCCGCAAGGTGCCTGCCTAACGGTCTAATGGAAGGTGGGGCCCCAAAGTTTGGCGGTGCTCCACTGGTTGGCGGTGGTTAGTGGGATTCCCATTACGGGAAAGTTACACATATGCACAAAGCCCTTCCGAGAAAGAAATTGTACATATACTACCATCAATTAAAGCCCATTTAACCGCATTAATGTGAGCATTTCATAATTAAAAAGTATACAAAAAGACAGTTTGTCCTGAAAAATCAGAAGGTCCCCGTCGCTTGGCTATTTTACACAAAAGCCCTTAATCTTGATACTTAAGACGAAGTTTTTTAATTTAATTATATTATTTATGTCTCGATTAGTGCCCGGTGGTGGTGGGTGTCTGATCTGATGTTGCATTTTTTTTTTTGGATTTTGGGGACGAAAATAATAGTCCTGATGTAACGTTACGCGTTGACTTCTTTAATGTCGGAATGGGTCTGAAAGCATGCAAGTTTCTAGCCTGACCCTTTTTCCGGATGGGGAATTTATCAAAGAAGATCTAAGGTAAGCCTAGTTTTCGTACCAGGATTTCATGGGTTGAAGCTCGTTTTGAAAATAAATCAGGCGTTGACTTTCATCAAGAACAATTACCCGAAAGGTCACAAGTCTAGAGATTCGGACGAAGGAGGTTTATTTATTTGTTGATCAGGCTGTTTCATGGAGGAATCAGAAATTTCGCAAGTCTGCTGGCCCACCCAGAATGGGCCCTTTTCCTGAAAATGGCCAAATTTTGATGTTTAGTGCGAATGTTTCCTTCTTATTTTAATCTGGGCAATTTTGAAGGCCATCGTTTTCGTCGAACGGAGGTCTGCGCCTGGTGCGAATTCTGCGGATCAACTGTCCTTCTGCGAGTTACGATGAGGAGCTCGAGCAGCAGGGACAGCAACGGCACACCCGCTGGTTTCCCTTCCCCGATGGATTCCATGGCCGGCAATTATTGAGAGGCATTCCCTCTTCTCTCTCCCTCCCTCCCTCCCGCCTCTCTCGCTCTCTTTCTCTCTCTAGACCTCGTCTCTCCGTTAGGAGGGCGGAGGAGGAGGTCGCTGCGGCGTTCACATCGACTTCTCGGCCAGGTTCATTAAAATATTCAGAGAAGCTTGGAGTCAGAGCCCACAGGGCCTCCTCTCCTCCTCGGCATTCTCTTCTGCCGAGTAAAATCCTTGTTAGAGAGAGAAACTCCGAGGTACTGGTGGTGGTCGCGACCCGTCCCGCCTACGCCCCGCTTTGGGCGGTGCTCCTGGTGGCTGCAACCCCTCTCACAGCACCACCATGGCCGTCGGACGGTGGCGCGAGGCATCTGGGTTCCTGCCGGCGAAGAGCAACGTGGGGGATCTGAGATCTTGACGGTAGATCCCTCTGTTTCTAGGTCTGTCGGTGCTCTCTCTCTCTCTCTCTCTGGGTCAAAGGCGGTGGTTCGCGCTGGTGGAAGATGGGTTGGAGGTACAAGGCGGGGCTGGTGCTCATCGGGACCGTGGTCATCATCTGGGTCACCTCCGCCGAAGTCACGCAGGTTCTCTCCGCTAGATCTCTTCCTCTTCGCTCCCTTTCGAAATCCGAATTCGATTTCATCGATTGCCTGCATCTTCCTCGCTAATCGACTGCACCCTCAGTTCTCTCCCCCTCATTCATCTCCCCCATCTCTCTATCTCTGCTTCGACTGCACCCTCAGTTCTCTATTTCTCTATCTTTCTCTCTGTATCTCTGTTCTTTTTTCGTGGATGAATCTGTGATATGGTGTTTCTGCTGGCTGTAGAACAAAGATAATTCAGTCTGGGGCCCCTAATCCTTCCTCTGTGAGGCATATATGATTGAACTTTCCTTGAAAACTTCCAATCGGCTGGATTACTAGTGCTACATAGCTCAATATTGCTGAGTGAGACTTGTGCTCGTGGAAGCCAGCCGACAGTCGCCTTGCTATGATTCTGAACTTCGTTGGGAGAAAAGAAGAGGCCAGATCTAAATCTGGGGGGGGAGGGGATTAATGTAATCTCTGAGCTCTACAAGAATGTAGTCAAAGCTCCAGAAGAAATTCTTCTGAGCAGTCCCATTAAAGCTACCCATTCCCTTTGAGTATCCAATGCCATCATAATACCATGGTTTCTATGGAAGGTGCTTCTGTCGAATAGGTGATCATACCCTGCTCCCCTGCATAGATCGTATAACATTTTGATGGTTTTCTGAGTATCAGTCGACCTGGTCAGCAGAAGGAAGACATCTAATGAGGTTCTCTCCAATGGGATCCTCATTTTCAATGGAGATCGGAATCCCCAGATCTCAGGGACTGCATGGTGCCTACATTGATAGCTGGTAACGAGCTGGTCTCATGCAGCTGTGAGGCTGCACTGTGTCCTTCATCTCCTGGTAATCTTATGAATCCGAATCTGGGCAAGGAAATTTCTCCTAGTAGGCTAGGAGGATGTCAAAGATGTCTAGTTTATTCTGCTTGACAGGATTGAAATTTGGGGTTCAAATCTCTTTTATATGGAGGTTTAGATAGCCTAGTAAGGGCTACGAAATTATCCCTTATGGTTCAAGAAATTAGATAATGATCGAGATAGTTGGTTATCATGGTGAGAGATTGTGAAGGGCGGGCATCAGATGGTCAATAAACTCCTTGTTTTGAAATGTGGCGTTTGGAATTAACCTGATCTTCTGAAGATCTGTGGGCAGGGTTCCGAGATGAAAAGCAGATGAATCGAATTAAAGAAAATGTGAGCGAGCATGGATCGGTATGTTTCAGGCAGACTGGTCATATTTCAGTCCTCTCTCTCTCTCCCTCTCTCTCCGGTCATATTTGCAAGACAAATACTTTTAGTAAATTTACCTTCTTTATTTGATATTGAAAGGGGAGGAAGGGAAAATCTTCAAAGGCTTTTGCCAACTGCAAGCTGGTTCTATTCTCAGTGGCAACAGAACGCTAAGAAGAACTCATCCGGGCCACAGTCAAGATTAGTGAATCTACAAGGACAATTTGACTAACCTGAATAAAGGATTGAATAAATGTATTATAATGCAGTTTAGTGTTTACGAGTAAGCCCCAACCTGTGGGATCCTTAGCATTTAGTTCTTTCCCTCAGCTCCTAAATTGTGGCCCAACTTTGGTACTTGTCACCTTCCTCCTAAATAGTTAATGTTCTTGCAAGCTGAAAAAGTTGGCTCACTTTGAGCTAGAATGATTGTCCTTCAATTCTTACCACTTCAATTGGTGGGGTAGAAAAGAAGAATTCTTCAAAGTTGTATGGATCATGGACCGATGCTAGAAGAGCCAGTCTAAGACTTTGATGACTGAAATATGAGTGGTTTGCCAAGAAGGAGCATATTTGAGTTTCAATTTTTTGCTCTTTTTCTGGATGATTTGACCATATGTATCCGAGAGAAAAACGCCTCATCATGTATTATTCTTGGTTTAACTCAATTCCTTCATAAGACTTCAAGAGACCTAATGGTACCTTCATCACTGAGATTCCTAATGAGGTAACTTTTGAAGGAGCCTTTTTCAACCTGTGTGCTCATTATATTTCATGTAAAGTTTTTCTGTATCGTCTTCTTTGCTTCTGATACAAAAAGAAAGGGATGGGGCAGGTTTTTCGTCTTCAAGTAGGCAGAAATGTGTCTGAGTTTTTCTATGTTCGTCTGGGCAAACTATCGTACCTGTTCCATCTGTTTTTTCTCGATGCTTGTCGTCATTTCTTTTATTTCTATGCACGCCCTGGAATTTGATGTATTTCTGATGCTGAAATCAGCTAACATTGTTGTTTCTTGATGCTTGTTACCAGATCAACTGTTGTACAAGTTGTTCAATCCTTTATCTTGATGGGTATTTAATAATTATAAAACTGTTTGAAGCCTTGCATATCATGGACATTTGAACTTTCAATTATCTGATGGAGTCTATATACCAAATTTCCTTATCATTTGTGTTGGTGTGTACTCTGAGAGGTTTGAATTAGGCGCTTAATACTTGTTACAGGTGCAGTACCTTGGGTTTTTATCAGCTTTAGGTGGTGGATATGCGCACTATGTATTGATGATCACTTGGGTGGACTGGTGCTTATGGTTCAAGAAATAATGCCTCAATGATATTATGTTTTCTGTGGTTCTGCTAGACGATTTCCCATTCATTTTTCACGTAAACCAGCAGCTCTAATCAGAACTGAAAATCATGACGGTTATCTTACCATGAGGATGTAGTCTTCTTTAATAATATAAAACTTTAACACTCTAATCCATTCTCAATGGAGTCAGCAATTGCTATTGATATCAAGTATTCTAGAGATTGGTTGCTTTTACCTTTCCTGATCGCAAGAGCATTTAGTCATTTTCTATGATATTCTTGGAGGATAGAAAAAAATCTATTTCTGGCATTTACCGTCTCTTTGCTTCTGTTTGTGGTTATGATCCTTGTAGCTTGCCAGTATGGTGATGTTTTGTTAAGTTTTCCTCATGCTGCTGCTTAATACTGTTTAGTATTGTCGTCTGTGCAGAGCATATTTAATGACTACAGACAACCATTTGCTATTACTTATTTGGGAGCCTCACTTATGGTGGTGTATCTACCCATTTCATTCATTAAGGATTGGCTGTGCGGTGTATTCAGAAAGCATTCTCGCCGAAGCAGTAGGAATGTAGAGCTTGCGCGAAAATCTTCTGGGATACTCGCTCCTCCTCTTAACTATGTTGAAATGGAAAAGACACTGGAAATGGAGTTGCAAAGCTCTTTAGCTCGGAAGGACAGTGAACCGGACCTCTCTTCACAGGAAGAGGGAGTACCCTTTATTGCTAAACGCAAAGATGAAGTTGATTCAGTGAGGACGAAGAAGGAGTTCACCACGAAGGAAATTGCTATGTATGGTCTTTATCTGGCCCCTATATGGTTTATGACTGAGGTGAGGCTGTTGATCTCTCTACTCAACAATTTGTCGATCCTTTCATATCAGATTGAGTATAATATCATGACCTTAAACTCCCAATCACGATTATGTTTTTCACCCACCGTTTAGTTTATCTCACTGCCACTGTTAATTTATCCCACTGTGTTCAGAGGTTATATGGTTCTGCTCTATTTCAATAAAATCATCAACTTTTCTTCAGTGTGGTAGTAATATTAATTTCCCTGTTAAATTCAGTATTTATCAAATGCTGCACTTGCTCGGACCAGTGTTGCAAGTACAACAGTACTATCATCAACCTCTGGGCTCTTCACACTTTTTATCAGTGTTCTCATGGGGCAAGACTCGCTAAATGTCGCAAAAGTTGTTGCCGTATTGGTGAGCATGGCCGGTGTTGCCATGACAACCTTGGGCAAGACTTGGGCGGCAGATGAGTCACGATTGAACCCTTCTACGTAAGCTCCCATGTCTGTAATCTTTTTATTGGACTCCTTGGAATTCTGAGCTTTTGGTTCCATGTTGGGCAGCCAGGCATTACTTCTCCAGGAAGCAAAACTTTTCCTAAGCAGCTTATGGTATTTTATCAATGGCATTTGAAGTTCCTTTCCATGTGCAGAGTTGGAGAGCGGTCCTTAGTAGGAGATCTTTTCAGCTTTCTTTCGGCTATGTCGTATGGTCTGTTCACGGGTGAGATGCCTTTCGGGCTCTTCGGATTGTTGTTGTTGTTGTCGTTTTGGGGCGGGATTCTTCTTGTTGTTTATTTGTTGATGATCAATTATATAATGGAAGTGGTGATGCAGTGCTCCTCAAGAAGTTTGCTGGGGAGGAGGGTGAAGAAGTTGACGTCCAAAAACTATTTGGATATGTGGGGCTGTTCACCCTTGTCGCCCTGTGGTGGCTCGGTAAGCCTCTCTTGGAAACTTTCATCTTCCCTGATCTGGATCTTAATCACTTGAAGAATGTGTTACTGTTTATCCCTTTATTATGAACAGTTCTCTTGCTTGCTGTGAGCCATTGATTTGAGTTGAATCGATGAGCTACTTACCTCTGTCACCCTGGGCCAGTTTTTTCCCTTATAGTTTCATATTTTATTCTTGCTTGTTTTCTCCTTATGGAAAGCTATACTCAGTCCCCAAAACTCTCTCTCACTAATGCACACAAAACTCACAAATTATATCATGAACCTACGTTTTGATCTAGTTTTCTTTCTTTGTTCGTGTGGTGAGAAAATGGATAAATGTGAGGTTGCCATGGGTACCAAACCTTCAGCGTAGCTAATGAAAGCATATTAGATAATATGGAAGATTGAGCTTTAGGAAGCATTCCCAAAGAAAACATGTCAATTAAATCAAAACTATCAGGAAATTATGACAATTTGAACGTGGGTAGACCCACCCCTCTTAAGGACCCTTCTCATTCATCACGCCATCTGGTGTATCTTATGTGGCTCATCTTCAGGCTCCGTTTGGTGCACATGGTCTTGGTTTATCATGCTATTTCCCCATCTGAGAGGAAGAAAAGGATACTCGGCTCTACTCACCTACTCTGGTGATTGCTCTCAAATCGATCTTTTGGAAGGTAAAAATGCAAAAGGGGAAATTAAGCAGGAACTTACATGCAATGGGGTAACATTTTTGGAACCTGAAAAAGAAATAATATTGGAGAGAGCAGGTAGGGAATTTTATTCATTAAAACATCATTCTTAATGAATGATATTACACTGGGCCCATACAAGAGAAGGCCTGTTGAGGCCATAAGCACAATGTACCAATAACCATCTCTTTGGGATCTTCCTGGAGTGAATGGGATCTCAAGGGAAAACGTTCTATGTATACTTTGTAAGAAATAAATAAATTTGCTCATGTTTCCAATTGACATTGCTTTCCATAGTAATTTCGTTTGAAGAGTATGTTTTTAACAGGTATTTATTACAGTAATTCTTTCATCTCTCTTTTCTAGTATGGCCACTGACCGCTCTGGGGATCGAGCCCAAGTTCACAATCCCTCACTCTGCTAAAATGGAGGAGGTTGTGCTTGTGAACGGCTTTGTGGGAAGCGTCCTCTCAGACTACTTTTGGTATGGCAATCATGGCATGTCTTTGAAGCTCGCGCATGCATGTGTATCCTCATGAGTGTGACTCACCGCTAACAGGGCACTCTGCGTCGTCTGGACCACCCCGCTGGTGGCCACACTGGGCATGTCCCTCACCATACCCCTTGCCATGGTCGCCGACATGATGATTCATGGCCGCCACTACTCAGCCATCTATGTGCTCGGCTCAGCTCAGGTATCCTTTCTAAGTTTGGTTAATTGTTGCCCACTTGACATACGCTCCATCAGGAGAAACAAACCTGACAAACTGTGGGCATCCTCTGTCATGAGTAGAGGCAGGCCCAGAGAAGGAGGGGGTGGGGGTTAGCACTATTAGGAGCTTGCTGGGGTACTCCCATTTTTCTTCTGCCAAGACCTAGTCAAGGGGGGCGTACCAGCCTTCACATCTACGGTTTGGGGTGGGTGGGATTTTTTTCTTCTCTGGGTCTATCTCTTCTATCCGAATCGAGAAAAGGTTTCCGGGCTAGTCTGTCTGGCCCATTAATAGCCCTTGATTTCCTCAATGATGTAGAGTTACAAATAACTGATCTCAGACTTTGTGGCAAAGCTTTTAGAAGTGCCTTTGCCCTCATATAAATTTCAAGAAATAACTGTTATTTATGGATATTGAGATAAATCTACTTACCCATTCTTCCCTGAATTGCTGTTCTTTCTTCTCTCGGTAGGTTTTTGCTGGGTTTGTGATAGCCAATGCTGCGGACTGGCTTGCCCGGAAGCTTGGCTTCTAAAATCATGTGTGGCGAAATTCTTTTTTTTTTTTCGTTTGTCATCTCATTCTTTTCATCATTTTCTTTGTGTCCGGGAAAATGTAAAGGTTTTCTCTTTAAGCAATTGTAGTGAACCATGCTTAGACTCAATAAATGATCGTTCTTCTTCTCCTTCCATTATCTACGCATGAATTTCCAGTTCTTCTTTAATCCCTTGCTCTTTTGTATCACAGACCCCTCCGTCCGCTCTCTCTCTCTCTCTCTCTCTCTCTCTCTCGCTAGATGATGGCTATAATAAAGTAATAATGGTTCTCAATCAGTAGCTTACTCCTCTAATTGGCCAATGAAAAGATTAGTGCTTATAGCTTGCTTAGTCATCTTGAGGAATTATTACAAAAGTAGAGAGAGAGAGAGAGAGAGAGAGAGAGAGAGAGAGAGAGAGAGAGAGAGAGAGAGAGAGAGAGAGAGAGAGAGAGAGAGAGAGAGAGAGTAGAATTGATTTTACAAGATACATATAAGAGTAAAGACAAAAGGTGCATTTAACCAAATAAAATTAAAAGTGATGAACTTTCAATATTAGTCGTGTAGCTAGAAAGAGCCACTGGTGTGGCACTCAAAAGAAAGTACAATGACAAATAGGGCATGGAATCTGGTGTCCTAACCATGATGGATTCTGTTAGAGCAATGTGTGGCATGGGTATCATTTTTCAATATCAAATTAGGCCACATGCACGCTGGGACTTATGACCATTCGTTGACATTTTCATTGCCTTATCATCCAAGTCAAACCATTACACAACTTGGAAAGCCACTATCAACAGGCTCCTATGAACTTTTTAGTGTCACTTAGTGATCCTTACTTTCGGTAACCAGGTCTTATCAACTTTTTATTCAAAAGTAAATAGAAACTTATAATGGCATGAAAGAAATGAGAACTGATCCAACGACCTTTTTCTTCTTCAAAAATAAGTAAATTTGAAGACTAAATAAAATTAGAGAGTTACATTCAGGAAGAGTAAAGATGCAAACAAGTCAAAGAGTGACAGCTCATTATTACATTATTTGTTAGTAAAATCTGATTAATTTTCCATATCTATCAATATTTATCTTCTGTGGTTAAGAGATGAATCCATATTTTGCTAATTATTGTGAGATGATCTTGAGGCTGTTCATGTGATTTGGACTTTTATTATATCTTCATCTAGGATTCTCTATATGAGGAACAAGTCACCAGTGTATACCACAACTATGCCATAGAGTAGTGATACATCATTATCACAATTTTTGTTCCATCCATTGCAATCTCTAGCTTGTTGGATCATGCTACTAGATCTGGATTCTCAAAGCTCATTTAATGGTGGGTCCATGAAAATTTGTTCACCTTCATACCTCTTGGGTCTTCACTTAACATATTGTCATACAAAGTCTAATGGGGAATCTAACAAGTTACGATAGTTAATAGAAAATACTGCAAAGATGCAACTTGTGCATACTATAATGAGCTCAAGCCTCAACAAATTTGTGAGAATAGGAGCATGGTTTCAATATTTATAGGGTTGTACATTACATTCATGATTGAAGTTGTAAGGTTTTAAGATCTTGGTTATTAGCAGATTTTCACGTCTAGATGAGATTTTACCTACCTATTGATGTAATGGGAAATCATTTCCAACTCCTTGCAAAGGAAGGAAAAGGATGGATTTTTTTTCATGTAGAAACACCTGTCACTATCTTTTTTGGGTTTGAACAAGTGAGTCAACTCCTTGCCAAATCTGCTCTTGTAGTATATATTTCTTACGGTCTAAGAGTTCTCACACTATTAAAATTAAACGGTTACAAAATTAGCTCACTTATCCTCTAGATTTAGAACAGATGGGTAAATGCTGGAGATTCAAAGTAAAGACATTTAATTTAAAACTTTATAAATGGCTCAAGTATACTTGCTACTTTTAGATGTAGCCACCTACTATGAATAATAAAAGAAGGAAATAACCGAAATAATAAATCCTTATGGAGAAAATCTCACTCTAGCATGTGTATATGATGGCTTAAATTTAAAAGTTCTAATGGGTTATAAAAAATTAAAATGATATTTTATAATTTTATCATGTTATACTGACATCATATGCATGTTTAGTCTAGTTTTACGTTTCTTCATATCTAGTGGCAGCAACCTGCTAGATTAACTTATTTTAGCCAGATATGTGTAAAAGGTCATACTATGATCATTCAACCCAAAATCCTTATACAATTTTCCAAAGATTAATGTAAAATTTTCCTAAATCCTTGTACATCATTTCCTATTATTTCATGCATTGAAATAATAGTAAGATGATGTAAAATGAACAGTTCACCACAATGTTCCATTGAAACTGAATCTTCTCTCAACATAACAAGCATAATAAGCTATAACCTCTAATATTTAATCATTACGAGTAATCATGAATTAAAAATTCTTTTTTTGCAATAATTGTCAAGATTTGAGGAAAAACATTTCTTTGTCAATTTCCTCGCTATCATCCTATACCATTCACTTCAATGCCATCCAGGTGTAAGAATACCTCCTAAACACTCTCAGAATTCAAGAGAAACAGGGGAACAACGTGATGAATCCTCATATTTGTGGAAGCCCAATGATCTTACATTTAAGCTGGTTTTTTAAACTAAAAAATTACAATCAACTGTTGAAAATAGTCAAAATGTATATCCATTCAACAACCATGTAAGTGTTTTACACTTGGGTCACTAAGCTAACATTTCAGTTGTTGGGGTTAACCCTAAAGGTTGTATGGGACCTACCATGATATGATGCACAGTTTAACACAATCAATTTCTTTTCTTCAAGTTATTTTTTTCTTCAACTTAGGGTTGAAAACTATTCTTGTATTTATCAACAACTAAACCAAAAGACTCAGACAAATTGCTGCAGAATCTGATGTTTATAACAAAAAGTATATTTAGTGGCTTAAAAAAAGACAAGCTGTTACAAATACTCTTGCCTTGAATGTGCTGTTCTGTGTGATGATAAATTCTAACTTGAGAACTTTAACTGCTAAAAATATTCAAGGAATTTATTTATATGGTATCAATTTGACTTAAGTGAAATTCATATCGAACATGAATAGACTATACAATTGCACAATGATATTTCTATTGTTTCTTTGAATAGAGGTGTTTATCAAGATCTGAACCCCAATCAAGATTTTATCAACTACGATCTTTATCTTTTCAACAATGCATACTAAAAGCTTAAAAGAATTTAAATATGAAATGTTTAAAAGTGTACGTAATATTTCAAGGTGCATCTTGGACCATTCATGATTGTTAGACTCTATTTACAAAGTCATATAAAATCTAAAATCTAAAATCTAAAATCTATTATTTTATAAAATAAAATAGTCATTAGAAAGCAATATGACATTGGAAACCAAAAGGATATATGGCTTGTCAAATGGTCATCTCTGTCAAAGTATATGAAGATTTAATTGCACCATTTTGTAAGGAGATTATTTTCTTAATCATTGGCATATGTGGTGTGCCATAATACATGACATGCAATGAAATAAAAAATAAACAATGTCCAAGTGCACTATTGCAGGGTGATTTGTATGCAAAATAGAATCAATAAAATGGGCCGTTACATTATGATTTCAATTGAAACTCATCAAGAAGTTATATCTTTTAATTGAAAAGTTATGTATGATCCTAGCCAGCTCAAAGAGAGAGAGACTGATCAGGAGGGGGGGGGAGTGACGGAGGCAGGATGAAACAAGTAGGTATCACCACGGAGATCCAAGCACATCTTGAGGATTGCAAAGACAATCTGGGTGATAAATAGATTGAGTTAGATCATGGTGACGAGGGACAAGAGCAGGATTTAAATATAGGTCTGTGTGTCAGCTCTCGTGGCATTAGACATCTATCCACCACATCCTTAGAGAGGTTGTTGAAGAGGTTTTGCTGCCTTTTCACCAGTGCCAACCATCTGGTTGATCCGTAGAGACTACAACAGTCTGAAGTCCTTGGATTGGATTCTTTTGTTCATGAAGAAGGAATTAGGCAAATCATTCCAAAGAAAAGAACTAGGAAGGGACCATCACAACACTAAAACATGGCAACCTTTTTGTCTCAGACTTTATAAGCCTTTTACTTTTCTCACCATCATTTCATTATGCTTATTTTTTGTATGCATCAAATCGTTCCCAGGATAGATATACTCATAGATTTTATGATAAATTTCAATAATCTTAGTCTTTTTCAAGAAGGAGAAGTATTTTACAATGTAGGCTAATTGGAAGAAATAAAAGTGTGAACCCATCTCCCCAATTTTTAGAGAGGATCACCGTGTAATTGGCAATAAAATTTTGAGCTCAACATTATACTATGATAATGATAGAATCATGATTACTCTATATGTGAATTCTCTGAATTTTTAGGTCATGAAAAATATAAGGTGAAAGTGTGCTCAACATGAAGTGAAGTAAATGCCCTAGGAATTGCTTCATGGCTCAGCATTTTATTCTTCACACATGAACCATTTTCCAAATATTCATGCCCTAGTTGTGTTATCTCTACATTGGACCAGAATAAAAGAACTAAATATCTGATTCTTTTCTTCTAACTATAATTTTTGTTTTTTATTCAGATAAGAAATATAAGATCAATGTTTTGGTTATATTTTTCTTTTAATTTTTTTTTTAAATCGGTGTGCTAATCTGGATTATTTGAAACTAATTGGAAGTTAGGAGTATGTATTCACCAGATACTGCAATCAAAAATAGATTCCCCATAAAAAAGAGTTTACGACTTACAATTATTTAGGAGTTCAGATACTCATGTAATGGCCAGATTATCTTTCCTCTTTTTTTATTCCAATGATACCTCTTTTTGGGTACCCATTTTGAGAGAAAAATATGATTTCATCTTAGATTGAGCAACAAAGACTTCAACAAACCTACGATGTATACTTAAAAGCTATATGTATGATATTGTTGGGAATCTATCATGGTTTTAATTTTTGTCTCAAAATAGTGTTTAAAGCAATTGTGGATGACCTTCACTATAATCTGTCTCCATTTCACCATTGAGATTCCTGTAGCTGATCCAAACTTATTTTGGATAACAAATTCAAGTTCACCTTCCAGATTCAAAATAGTCTTTGGAATTCGCCAATGGTCTCCATTGGTGAATTCAAGCATCACTCCATCAGTCTCTATTTCACCAATGGTCTTTGGAATTCAAAAACCTTTTCTTAAGCTCATTGAAGTTGGATAGTGATACCTCATCTATATCATGTCTCATGTAGCTGAAAGATACTGTCTCATTATTTAGGTATTAAAATATTGGGACATTTCATCAAAAATATATTATTATGCTTTATTATTTAAATGTCAAACCACTATTTTGGCTGAATCTTATGTTGTGTATTATTTCCTTCATTTTCAAATGATCTATTCTCCTCTGAATGCATCTCGATGGAGTAATGTTCCTTGAGGTTCTATGTGTAACTTGAAGAGTGAGAATCCATGGAGGATATTTGTTACTTGGAAAGGACTTATTATCACATATCCAAGTTTAAAATCCTTTTAGGTGAATAGTTTTCAGATGAGGAACTATCACTGAGATCATCTGATTCCTAAAAGTAAGAAATATACATATTCTGTTTTTGTGGCACATCAGATTGCACATGTTACTAGCTTACACCATGATTGCACATGGAATGTGTTGTGTTCAAGGAACTATGTATGGCAGATAGATCAAAGCATTAATAGTTTTTATTTATGTGCAAAAATATACATAGATATATGTGCATCTCAAAGTATGTTTTTAATAGATATTAGAATTCTTGTTGATTAGTCTTTACATGTTATTTTTCTTAGTCATAATATGTATATATATATTAAAAATATACTAGTTATTATATTGAAGGATAAATATTTTCACTATAAATTATTGTAAAAAATAAATCTAATTATTTCCTACACATGTGATATTTTTTTGTGCAGTTAAAATACTAGGAATGGGTAAAATTTAATATTTCATATTCATTAGAAGTAACATTTAATAAAGTATAAAATAGTCATATCAAATAAATTGTAACTCCCTTCATCTAAAGATTCAAGCTAGAAAAAGGCAACTGTGTTACATATGAAATATTTCCTTGGAATATTATTGCCTTATCATAGAAAAATACGCATCTTTCACCACTCAATGCTATTTAGAAAATTTATGGAATTTTAATTTTCATTTACATGAATTAATTTTATCAGATTAACATTTGATAGTCAATTGATAGGTGAAAATCTTATCAATGGGATAAATTGTCACAATACTTACGAGGTTTATGCATCTCTTTTTAAATTTACAATTGCACAAAGAGTGTACTTGTAGAAGAAGTGTACCAAATGACATCACACAATCTAATTTGCATAAATGTACTATAATACACGTGTGGTCACATAATAAAAAATTGATCAAATAATCAATTATAATAATGTAGGACACTAAATAAAGTGAGACGGCATTACATGGACCCTTGATCTGGGGAGCTTAGGTTGTTCAATGAGTTCGTTGAGAGTGTAAAATAGATGGGGAATCCATTGAATGACTATAGCACAAGTTGATATTCTCTTATCTTGCTTAAAAAGTTCCTAAAAATACAAAGATTCAATCAAATGAACGACTAAAGAGAAAATAAGAACAAGTTATTAAAAAGAATGTCAAAAGTGACGCCAATAGAATGCCATATAAGATGCTTTTGTCCTTGTCAACATCATCACGTCCGTGTTGCAGTGTTAGATAATTAGACTTGGACCTGCAGGCATCTATTGGAAACCCATGTAAGTCTGCATTGCCCTCATAAGAACTCCTGTCGAATGTATGAAACTGTCCTTTCAAAGGTGGAGTGCAACCTTCCAAGCGATTGTATGCAACAGAAAATATTTCCAAGCATGAGAGTTGTAGCAACTCTGATGGTATTGATCCTTCTAATTCATTGTGAGATAAGTCCAAGCTTTCGATACTCTGAAGTCCAGATAAGGTTGTCGGAATCAATCCAGTGAGGTGATTGAAGGAAAGATTGAGTGACTTTAGAGATGTAAGATTTCCAATACTGTGTGGGATTTGTCCCTCTAAATGATTTGATGATAAATCCATCCCGGCAAACAGGTACAAATTATATCCCGTGTAAGTATAAAAAGCGCCCTTTATCCTGACGTTTACATCCTGGATTGCAAGAGGGGTCATGGGCTTCTGATAAAGTACTTGTGAAACCCATAGGTGAAGATTAGACGCCAATTCAATGTCGAGGTCCGGTCTTCTATTAAGACCAGTATTATCTAAGCATTGCGGAATAACACCTGAAAGATTATTGTGAAAGAGATCTAACAGGTGTAGATAGTGCAATCTGCATAAATGCGTTGGTATTTCGCCATAAAAGTTGTTCTGACCGAGTAAGAGAATTTTTATTTGCCGTAAACCTTTTGTCCACTCCAGATTATCAGTAAATGAGTTACCTCCGAGATTTAGAAATTCAACCTGTACAAAATCGGTAAACTTGTCGTGCACTTTGCCGGACAGGTTGTTCACCTCCAGATTTAAACGAATTAACCTCATCAATTGTGAGCACTGAGGAATGGACCCTGAGAACATATTGTGCGACATGTCTAACACGGTGAGTGACTCCAGTTTGCAAAGATCGTGTGGAATTTCACCATGAAATTTGTTGCCTCTTAGAACAAGAGTAGATAATTCCTTGGAAGCCCATATAAACTCAGGAACTTCACCAGACAATTGATTATCATGCACATCAAATATTTCAATATTTTGGATGCTTGACAAGCTCCGAGACAAGCTAGTGAAGTTGTTTCCACCCAAATAAGAGATACGAGGTAGGTTTCCTCTTATCTCCCCAGAAAGTTTGTTGTTCTCAATATTGAGGAATGCAAAGTCTAATTGATTCGGTAATAGAGGAAATTTTCCGCTGAACTGATTATTTCCTAGATTGATCATAAAGTAGTTCATCATCCTTTTTTTGAATTGTAAGGAAGGAATGCTTCCAATGAACCTGTTCCCGCTCAAACTCAGGAAATTAAGACCAGGAAATGTAGTGCTGAAATTTTCTGGCAATGTCCCCCCGATCTTATTTTGACTGAGATCTAACATCATCACCTTCAATGACGGTGTTTTCAGAAGAGGAAACTCCCCTTTCAATGAGCTGTTACAGAGCACCACATACTGTAAATTGATATTGTTCTCAAACAACCAAGTAGGCAGTGATCCTGATATGCCACTGCAAGACAGGTCAATGGAAGTCAAGTAACGCTGAGACTGCAAGAAGAAAGATTCATCAAGGTTTAGATTCTCGCTTAGGTCACAGAAAGAAAGAAAAAGAGACGATAGTTGGAGGTTCGACGCTGGGTCTCCATAATCCATTTGAACTTTCAGCATAAAATTGCTAGAGAGTGATAACTCGCGAAGCCTTGAGCATTTGACAAGATATTGGAAGGAGAAATTTCCGCTGAGCTTGTTGTCATCAAGACGTAATTCTTCCAATGAAGATAGGCTGTAGAATGCAGTTGGATGAATTTCTCCTTCTAGCTGATTTTCGCTCATATCCAAGTGGCGAAGGGAAGTCATATTCTCGAGAGATATGGGTATCGCTCCTTCAAAGCTGTTATCATTAATCTTTAAGCTGGCCAGCTTCTTTAAACAACCCAGAATCTCAGGGATCTTCCCTCCCAAGTTGTTCCAACCGAGATCTAGCAAGCCCAGCTCGCTGAGGTTCCCAAGAAACCTCGGTATCTCTCCTGTTAGAGAGGTGTGTCGCAGATGCAGTTGACGAAGGGAAGACATGTTTCCTAGAAAAGAAGGTATTCCTTTGTCCAATTGGTTTCCGCTAAGATTCAGGATTCTCAGCTTCTTTAAATGGCCGAGAACATAAGGCATCCCCACTTGAAGTCCATTTCCGGTGAGGTCCAAGGCATGTAAGTTGCTCAAGTTTCCTACAAAGGTTGGTATCCCCCCTCTCAAGTTGTTGTAACGAAGATTCAATATCTCTAACTTTCTTAGTTCTCCGAGACAGTCCGGTAAATCCCCCAAGTCATTCCTGCTGAGATCTAATTTCGTCAATCCATTTAGGAATCGTATCGAGCAGGGTACCTTACCTTCCAACTTGTTGAAGCTCAAATCAAGAACACTCAACTTCTTCACGGTGGTCAAATCTGCAGGAAATCGGCCGCAACATCAGCTCATCCAACCATTAACCTTTTGTTGATCTAGGTTGAAAATGGGAGATGTTCTAAACGATTATTATATGTTCTAAGTAGCGAAATTACCTAACCAACATGGTATTTTCTAGCTTATTTTGCAGTTTGTGCGAATATAAACTACCGCATTAAGCCGTGTGTGCCAATGAGTCAGGCAAGCCTAGAATCGCAGGTAGGGCGACAATTTTTCCAGTTAAAAGATATCTCTTAAGGACGAAAATTACTCCATTGTTTCCTTCGCCTTTGTGACCGGCTGGGCGAGACAGAGTCACATGTGCAAGTAAAATACGTAGATTGGGCCAGAGAAGACGTGCAGGACCTGAAATGGCGGCGGCCATGGAGCCGATGATCCGATTATCGGAGAGGTCGAGGTGTTCGAGCTCCGTGAAGGAGGAGAACACGCTGAAATTCAGATACCACGGGTTCGCCAGATCTGGGTCTCCGCCCAAGTTCGCCAAATGGAGCCGCGTCACCCGTCCGGATTCATCACTGCAGTTGACCAAGGGCCAGCTACAGCAGTCGCCGGCGCCTTGGGTCCAAGAAGAGAGCAACTTTGAGTAGGAGCCGTCCTTGACGCTCTCCTGCGAAGACCTCAGCTCCAGTAAAGCCGTCCTTTCACGAAGTAGGCACCCATCGCTCGGCGGCCAGCCGACGTTCAGCAGGAGAACCACTACCAGCACCAACCAAGGTCGGGAAATGGGAGGTGCGGTGGCCGCTTCTGCGGGCATGCTTCCCCAACCCCTCCTGTAGCCTTCTATTATTCACTCAACAGGCCTGCGATCACCGCCCCAGAGGTGGTGGAGACGTCCCCACTATCTATACGTAACGTATGGCTCGCCAGACAAAGAAATGGGAGGAGGAAGGATGCGAGAGAGAGAGAGAGAGAGAGAGAGAGAGAGAGAGAGAGAGAGAGATTGCAGGTGAGAGCGGTGAGGGACAGGGATAGAGAACACATTAATAAATTGATCAATAGTAGCGTTTTCTGGTCGGCAGGAACTGTGGAGGAACTAGATCCAGGTCAGCTAGCCGACCTAAACAGAAAATGGTCATTAAATCTCCACACTTACAATTCATTATCCGTTTCTATCCGTCGCACAAAATGACCTCAGTTTACAGATGTCAAGAATTATAGACAGCATATATTGGGAATTTTTCTGCAGCAGTATACACTGACTCCGAGTAGCAAACAATATTTATGCGTCTCTTAATGGGTTTAATATTCAAAAGGGTTCAATTATTTTAATTAGTAAGTTCTTCACCTTTGTTAAAATCATAGGTCCCCACAATAGTAAGATAAAGATGATAATGAAGAACATAAGAAAGCGACTTGAACCCCATGAGCACGGCAGGATGGAAACATTGAAGCCGGGGGCCATCCGTCTAGCTCAGCTTTAAGTATGCTAGAGACAGTGGGCCATTCAATAAGTAATTTAGTTGACAATGAGTTGCGGGAGGCATCCCCCTACAATTATTCCTATATAACTGATTGAAAGCTATTCTTAATGAAATCCATCCAGTCTGGTTGGGGCATCATGTGTTTTTGACCTAGCCTAGCCATCCTGCCCTAGACCTCAATTCGGGTAACAGTCGAAAAATCTCACAATAGAGGGTCAACAGCCAGCCTAACAGAGACACTATAACAAAAAAATAGCGCCCACTTATGCCCCTTTGCATGATGTGTAGTGATGATGATTTTTTACACATCCATACCTATGTATTTATAGATGCACATATTCCCATCAAGGAGGGCATTGGCATAGTGGTGCCATATCTACAGATGTATTTATAGCGCCATTTTACACATCCAGCGTTTGTGACTGAATTGGTTGGAGACTAGCGTCAGTGGTGCCACTCCACTTGCCCATGAAAGGAGATCTCCCTATTAGAGACAATCCAAGGGATTGTTGTCCCATATGGCTGCCCTAACGTTTTACCACTTAGTCATATAGAACACATCCATGATTTTCAAATGTTTCCTTCACTATGGATAATGGTAGCAAAACTGCCTTTTAATCAATAATTTTTTATGTATCTGTATACTATTACTAACCTTTAATTAGAGACCTCATTTAATCATTCCTTTAAAACAACACAATAAAATATGCCTAATCAGTCAAAACTTTAATTCTACACTTCATGTTCAACTATATGGAGCACATAAAAAAACATATTAGAAAATTCTGAAATCATGATCATAATTAACCAGAATTATGTCACATATTGAATATATCGACGTTATGCAATCACAAGGTTTTCAATATAATTGAAAATTTATATTTTAAAATATTTTATGCACTAATCTCATTGTTAGAGGGTGAAAATCATCTACTGTACTTCCTATTTTTAATTGGGACCTGATGATTTTGAGGATTCTCTTGTAAAGTAGAATACACAATATAGATATGCAAACTAACATGTGCATGTTTGCTAATATTGGGGAAGAAAGCTTCAAACTACTAATCAAAAGATTTTTTTAATACTCTCAATATCGAGCTAACTCCTCAAGTCTCCATGATATATTCATCTACTGAAGTACTTCTGAAGTTACTACAATCTTTGAAAGCCTAAGTTGTTTTGATGATGACAACATGCATTGAAGCTTATTTTATTAATTTCATAACAGTAGAATGTACATATGGATGATCTTGATTATTGTATCTTGAAGAAGGTCTGTGAACTCTTAAGTGACATTTGTTTAAAGGTAGAAGAGTGATACTGATATATTTCTATATAATAATTAAGGTAGAATTTAAGTAATTATCTCATGAAGCAATAGAAAATATGAATTATTTAATTTAAAATGTGTTAGTACTACTTTGGAAGTTCTGTGATGAATTTATCTTTAATTTGGTAATTTTTCTAATTTATTCGATTATGAGTATATTTTTATTTTTAATTAATTTTAATAACATGATTATCTAAGGTTTATAATTTGAGAATTGTTTTACAATTTATAGGAAATTAATTATTGAGTTAAAACATAGAAAATTAGTTTTTCATAAATTTTTTCAATGAATTTATGAAGAGATTTTCTGGAAAAACCAAAATAACTAGCGAAAAAGATAGTGATTCATGGCCACATCAATAGGAGGACGTGTCCATGGTTTATAGGCCATGTAAGAATTAGTTACCAAGAAGTCAACATGTTATACCATGTCACCTATGTATATGCCATTTTTCTTGCTCTATTTTAGGTAGTGAAAAGAATAGAGAGAGTTCTAGATTTTGACAAGTACATTAAGATTGGAATAAAGCTTCAAGGAAAAGAGAAGAAGGTTTTGGGATGAATAAAAGGTGATGAATTGATCAACTTTGAACCTTTTCGAGGTAAGTTCTCCTTGGGTGACAATGGAGATGAGACAAGCGATAGTGACACTTATGAATCAAATTTCTATTGTTTTTGCGCTTTATTGTCATTTTCGCTGATTCCATAGTATAGGTGATAGGTAGATGACAATATTAAACTTTTAAATCTATTTTAACATGTTTTTAATCAATTTCTCATCTAGTTTGTGTTACTCTATTGTTGGGTTAACAGATATGAGTGAATCAGGTTTAATTCTAAGAGGATACCTAATTTTGTGGGCATTAAATAAACATAGAATGGCTGCATTACCAACAACTAAAACAAAACATATAGCTTTCAGATTATGTTTCATAAATGTATTAAGGGTTAAATCCTATCCTAAGGATTATAAAATAAATTAGGAAAAAATCCCCTCATTTATTCTATGAAAAACATAGACATTAAGCATCAACTTATTCAAAATCATGTAAATAATAATGATACTATTTTGAATTTTATTGACACTGAATGTCACCTAGTCAATATTTTTGCTAAGCTTTTGAGTAAATACATTAAATTTAGAGGAAATGACGACACATTGTTTAACGTTCTAGGGAAAATATTGAAGAATACTTGCCAAGGATCAATAAAATGGAGAAAAAAAGTTTGATTTTTTAGCTCACAGTTTCATTCGATTAAAATCTACCTTTTTTATTCCACTTGATTGTCATTTCAGCAAATTTGATCCAACCTAAAAGCCCAATCAATAGGGGAAATAATAAGAATTTAACTTGATCAAATCTTGACTCATAATCATGCCATAAAAGCGAAATTTTATCTACCATTGATCTATGCCATAGTTCTTGAATTCTAACTTATCATTTATTTGAGGTCAAAGAAAAAATCTAGTTGATATAACTCATGTGTAGATGAAAGACCATAGTAAGTCCTCAATTGATCTCCTCTTTTACTTTCAGTTTGATCTTCCAATAGAGTATTTTACTTGATTCAATCTTCTTCACTTCATACTGTAACACTTTCCATCTTACCCCATAACCTAGCCACTCTTCTATTGATGACTCCATTTGATCCCCATTGGTATAACTATGTCAAGCCCAAAAAAGTTGACAGTATTAAAGCAGCATTATCATAGGAGCTTGGAGCACATTGTCTTCTCAATGATGACAAAAATGGGGATAAAATGCATGTCTTACAACAAAGATACTACACCATGAAGAGGACAAATATGCAGCTTGTGAAAGAATAGGGAGAGTGAAGCAAAAGAAAGCATAGGGGAAATGAGCACCATGAGGGGGGAGAAAACTTGACAACAACTTCTATTGTTTATATTGATTTATGTTAACTTTGATGTTCTGAATTTTTAGTTGGTTAACTTTATTGTTTGACTTGAACTCAAATATTTCTATTTTACATTAGATCGTCCAAGATTTGTGACATGAGCAGGGTTGATATACCTGGTTTTGATGTTACAAATATATGTATATCTATATATATATAATTTATTTAACATAGTTTATAATTTATATGAAATTTTTATAGTTATGTTTTCATGATTCCATCAATAATAATCAAATTCATGGTGTCAATCCTTGATATTAAAATATTCATCATGCTATGGTTACCTAATCATCGATCAATATCAAGTAAAGGATTATCCTTTGATAAAAGAATATAATGGTTAAATGGGTATCGGTAAGTCATGATCATAATATTATTTTTATTTATATATTTGATCTAACCATGACACACAACTTCTTGCCCTCCTTAATGGATATAGACAGTGTCTTATTCTCTCCTATGGATGAGTTGTCAAAAGAGTTCAACATAATAAGAGCCAAAAACGTCTCAAACTCAGACTCCAAGACTAACACATCAACAACATGCATGGAGAAAAGCTTAATGAAAACATTATGATAGGGATTGGGCCTGAAAAAAAAAGTTGTTTCTTGTCATGTAAGGAAGGTTAAGTCCAAACTTTAAAGAAATAGATAATAGAATAATGAGATTCAAATTATGGAAGGGTCAAAGATTTTAGTAAACATTCCCAAAAATGGCATGTTTTTTAATGAAATTTCGCAATGTTGGAGATCTTGAAAAGTCGAAAAACTATGAAGGATTACAACTGATAAATAAGAAGAGGCTTGCGGACAAGTATGATTAATTTTCTAACGATTTTCTAAGTGTATCACGCACCTCCCACTGCAAGCATCAATGATGATACAAAAAAACTTCATCCTAATCTTTACCCTAATCCTCATCTGATTTTGGCAAAGTGATTAAAATCTGATTCTAGGGAAAAGCTCTCCATCAGGTCCTAAGGTAACTAGGTGGTGAAGGGAGAGGATACCGTGTGAAGCACAAGGTGCTAGTAGCCAAGTATAACCATAAAAGGTTGGGTGGTTGAGCCCAAGAATGCCAACT